AGTTTTTAAAAAAAGAAGTGACCAGACTGGTGGAGTGATGGGGAATTAATGATTTTGAGGCAACTCTGTCCACTTGCTGACAGAAGCTTTATTTCTACAGCCTTGCATGGTCTAATGCAAGGATCAGGAACATGCAGTCCTCCAGATGTTGCTGGATTAAATCTTCCAGCATCCTTGATCATTAGCAACGCTGGCTGGGGACTGGATTCCAACAGGTTCCCCATCAACAAAATGTCAGTCATGCTCAGTAACTCCCTAGTCTACCCCGCCTGGTGCTTTTCTTCTTAGATGTATCTTTGAGTGTTTGTCTAAAATGCCATTTTGTCGTTGGCTCATATGGATCTGCCCTGTTTATGGCTTGAAGATAATACCTGGTGTCCAATGTCTTTGTTCTAGAGCAGGCATGTTCAACACGTAGATTGTGATCTACTGGTAGATTGTGGGGTGTTCCTGGTAGATCCTGGTAGATCTTTGGCCCCTCAGTGATCTCCCCCTCCCCCCAAGAAGGAGAAAAACAACAACTGTGGTTCCTAAAAAGCTCAATAACTTTGGCTTCCTAAAGAAAGCTCAGCAACTTTGGTCCATTCAACGACAATGGGTAGATCACTGCTAGTTTTTTTATACTGTAAGTAGATTGCAGCCTATTGGGAGTTGGACGTCCCTGCTCTAGAGAGTATTCCCCCCCCCCTATATTTTGATCCCATCCCTATTCCCACATAAGATCAACAACATTCTGTAGCTTGACTGTGGATTAGACATGAGCTACTCCTGAATTGTGGAGGATTACAACTTTTTACTCTGGTCGACAGAGTGTGGTTTGCCTGAATATTTTTTTATATTTCAATGTGCTTTAAGAATAAAGTGATTTTGAAAAGTGAAAGAAAGAAATGAGGAAATGGGGTAGGGTTCCTAATTAAGTAACTATCCTTGCCTTTTTTTTACAAACTTGTAATTCAGGTCTTGTTATATCTGCACATGTTGCCAGGTGTTCAGGCAGTATTATTTGCCAGAAGTGCTTGTTCTCACTTGTGTTGAAACAAGAATACTGGTACGTTTTGTTTTGCATGTCGATCCTTTCTGTGAGGATCTATTTCTGTTATTAGTGTGCTATTGAACTGTTGCAATAGGCTTCAAGTTAACATTCCTTCCTAGAGGATGACCATTTGACTGCATCTTGAAGTGCTATGCAAGCTATAGCTTGAGGAACAACCCACAAGAAGGGTTAAAATGGTAAATCAAGAGAAGGAGGGCACCCAAGGCATGCATTTTGCAAATGTCAGAGCACCTAGTCTCTTACTTTTTAAAGACTATGCAGAAAAATAGCTTATGATTATCTAACTTTATGATTAAAAAAATATATATTTGGTTATATCCTTCATGTGCACACATGCAGAATGTTATGTTTTTATTTTCCTTTTTTAAAAAAATGGTTTTGACTGTCAAAATCTTCAGCAAGAAGTATATAGCCCTGATTTTTTATTTTTTTTTACAATCAACTGCATTAGCACAACGATGTGTTTATGTGCATGCAAACACATCCATGCAAGGGCATCCAACTAGCACCCAACAGCAGCAATTGTATCAGTGTTGTCTCTGCCCCTCTACTTGTACATACAGGCATTACATCAGCACACCTGTTCTGTAAGAGGAAGTTTTGCCTGCTGTACTGCCATCACTTAGAACAGGGGTCAGCAAACTTTTTCAGCAGGGGGCCAGTCCACTGTCCCTCAGACCTTGTGGGGGTCCGGACTATATTTTGAAGGGGGGAAAATGAACAAATTCCTATGCCCCACAAATAACCCAGAGATGCATTTTAAATAAAAGGGCACATTCTACTCATGTAAAAACATGCTGATTCCTGGACCGTCCGCGGGCCAGATTTAGAAGGCGATTGGGCCGGATCCGGCCCCCAGGCCTTAGTTTGCCTACCCATGACTTAGAATTTCTAAGTATTAACCTTACTGAGCCTGGCAGAGGGGGCAAGAGAAGCCTCAGCTGCTGAGAGACCTTCCGCTATTGTAGAGCAGCTAGCAGGAAGAAAGTAAATGATAGCTCCATTAGCTTATTGAGCTGCCATAAGTCCTTTTAGCAGCCAGAAGATCCTACATCTATTTGTCACCTATGTAACACATACATGACAAATATGAAATGTTGGGTCAAATAATAGACTCTTCATAAATCAAATTATTAATGTCTAGTGAATCTACCATCTCCTACACTGAAGGGGTTATCCATATTGTCAAATTGCCCCTGCCTTCTTTCAGGCATGTACTATTTGGACAGGCCTTCTCAATATGAATTTATCTTTTTAACCAACAAGTATCTATACATTTCCCCCAAATTTTAAATTGTTTGATACATATTTATGGGCTGATTTCATCACATCAGTTGTAAGCTGTCTTGATGTACTTCATGTGGACTATAAATTCCTGTATGTAATTATGCATGTGGGTACATGAATGCATAGAAAGAGTTTTGTGAATAGAGCTTTTTTTCCAGCTATTATTAAAAGCAAAGTTGCTATCATAGAAATGGCTGTCAGCACCTTACATGCACAGCATGCTCATGTATCCACATTCAGAAGCATGTTGAATAGTTGAGCTGCATGGCCAGAAAATGGTGAAGAGGTTATTCCAGCAAAACATATAAAAATAAGTACGTGCTATAGAATTTTCATAAAAGAGATAAATGTTCAAAATGTTTCTATTGTATAGAAAAGATATATTTGGAGACAGTGCGAATAGAGAACCAATGATAACTTTGAATAGTAAAACAATGCAACAGCTCGCATGTGGCACTTCTTAAACTCTGACTCCTGGCTACTTATCTGTTTCAGAGTGGCACTCATCATGTGCCCCTTTTCCAATGGGTAATGATGTTAACAAAATAATAGTGCTTAAATGCCATAAACATTGCTGCTTGACTTTTTATGGTTGCCATGACAGTGCAATTGGAACGCTAGTCCTTACCCCCAATTTTCTTCTAAAATGGGTTTTGATGGAGTATACTCTCCATAGTACTCTGGCTGCAGCCCATATAAAGCTGTTTCTGTATATTACTGGCATAAAACTGTGGTCACTTACCTTGGCCTAGGAAGCAAGACAGGGTTGGAAAAACTTGTTTTCTACATAGGGTTGGATTAAAGGGGTGCCTGCCTGTGTACCTGCCTTCAAACTTCTGTCCCTTTATGAGAAGCAAACTGCATATGTATAAATATGCATTATTTAAAATCCAATGAATAGTTTCCTAATGGATAAACAACTTTGGGGGGTGGCAATAGAGTGGGGGAAAGATGAAGGGAGTTTAACTCCTTCTATCCCTGTTGTTGTTTAGTCGTTTAGTCATGTCCGACTCTTCGTGACCCCATGGACCAGAGCACGCCAGGCACTCCTGTCTTCCACTGCCTCCCGCAGTTTGGTCAAACTCATGCTGGTAGCTTCAAGAACACTATCCAACCATCTTGTCCTTTGTTGTCCCCTTCTCCTCGTGCCCTCCATCTTTCTCAACATCAGGGTCTTTTCCAGGGAGTCTTCTCTTCTCATGAGGTGGCCAAAGTATTGGAGTCTCAGCTTCAGGATCTGTCCTTCCAGTGAACACCCAGGGCTGATTTCCTTAAGAATGGATAGGTTTGATCTTCTTGCAGTCCATGGGACTCTCCCTTCATGGATCACTGCCTTGCCATGGCGAAGGGGCTTGAATAACTCAGAGAAGCTATGAACTATGTCAAGCAGGGCACCCAAGATGGACAGGTCATAGTGGAGAGTTTTGACCAAACGTGATCCACCTGGAGCAGGAACCGGCAAGCCACTCCAGTATCCCTGCCAAGAAAACTCCTTCTATCCCTACCCACTATTATCTTCTCAAGCAGCTTGTATCTCACATCGCCACCTGTATTTTGGACCAGCTGCATTTTCTGGATGGTCTTCATGGGCAGCCCCATGTAGACCACACCATAACAGCCTAATCTGGAGCATGAAATGCTAGTCTGGTTTCTCCTCCCATGTGTGCAGCTACTGTATAAGGCAAAACTGGTAAAAAGCGTTCCTTGGCAACTGTTGCAATCTAGCCATTTAGAACTTGGGCTGGATCCAGATTGAAAACAGGCTGTTGCAGGAAGTCCAACCCTGCCCAGAACAGGCTGTACACCTTATTCCTGTCCAAAAGTGTCTCTCTCTTGTCTGGATTTAGCTTCTTAGTAAGTGAAATGATAAATACATGCAAGCCACCATGTGCTAACACTCCACATCTGCTAGCAAGTGACTCTCCCAAGGCAAAATTACTTCATTCAAGCCAGGGAAGTAATTTCAACTACAAGAATGTGGGAATCAGAGGCCATTAGCTTGGTCCCTTATAGCAGATATTAGGCTTCTTTGAAGCTTTTGCAGACGACCAATCTCTTTGCATTTCCCCTCTTAACAATTTATGTGAAGGCTTAATTAGGATGCAGGTTTTACTGTGGTGATATAATGGGCTAGAAGAAGGAATGGGGGAAATATTAGAAGAATCTGAAATTGAGCTCATCTGCATATGTGTGGTTCGTTCAACAGCTAATGTGGTTTAGTGGTTAGAAGGTTTGAACAGGACTGAACAGGCCAAGGCTACTTCCTATCTCTCAGCCTAACTTACATAGCAGGTTTGTTGTGAGGATAAAATAGGGAAATGTACCATGCATGATACCTTGTTTTCCTTGGAGGAAAGCTGTGATATAAACAGAATAACACTTCTATGTGGATATGAGGCCTTTATAAGACATGTTTACAGGCTTCCAACCTCACTGGAAATGTAAATACACAGTTTGAATTTACTGGGAGGCAGCGGACTCAAGGAACCCACTTTATTCTCTACTGGGATAGATACTGCAGGGACTTGGTTCTTGAGTACTTAGAGAGTGAGAAGGAGAGAGAGAGAGAGGGAGAGAGAGAGAACCACCACCACACTCCTTAGTAATGTTTTTTATATATCAACCAAGTGAGGTCATATCTCTTTTTTTCCTTACAAAGGTAAAGCGTGGACACATCCATTTTTGCACACTGCTGCTGCTAGGTCACAGAAAGTAGCCATGAATGACGTTGCACAGAAGACAGAGGTATGTATGGTAGTATGAAGGGGGAAGTACAAACAATAAACTCTGGCTTTATTATAGTAGCCTAAATTAAACAATATAATATAACCAGGAGTCTTAGATCCTTGATTCTCATAATGTGAAGTGGGCACCTGTAGAGTGACGGGAAGGTTGTCAGGGAATGCACACGTCTTAGGGCTCTGCATATTTTCACTCTGTCCAAAAAACTGTGTGAGTTCACATGCACAAGGGGAAAAGGCATGCACAGATCATCATCTACTGCTACTGAATGAATGGGGAAGCCACATTTGATAGGATTTCCATTTGTTGCACAAACTGTCCCTAAGATGTACATCTGACTTCTAGCCCAAGAATTGTGTGTGTGTGTGTGTGTGTGTGTGTGTGTGTGTGTGTGTAGAGTATTTCACTTTAAAACAGTACAATTGTCAAACTGTGAAGTTGTTCTGTGGCATTACAATAAATGGAAAAGTAAAGAGAGGCAAAAAGTCTGGTTCAATTAGCAATTGTGTTGTTTTTTTAATAACAAGTATTTCTAGACATGGCTGTGATCCATCTGTTATTGGAAGCTTTAAGTTTAGGTTTAATACAAAAACAACTTCATGAGAGATTCCTATACCTGTGCAAAAGAAAGAGTCTGTTTTTCTCTTTAAAAACAAACATTGTAAGTTCAGCTCAGGTTCCAATTTATTGCCTGTCTCTTCAAAAGTCTCACATTCTGTCTAATATTCCATGCAATTTCTCTTCATCTGCTTCTACCATCTTTCTCTTGTCTTTGCCTTCTCCCTGTCTTCACAAAGATTCTGCTTTCTTCGTCTAAACCTGTCCCAAAGTCCTATGTGCCCAAACTTCGAAAGGGTGATGTAAAGGATAAATTCGAAGCCATGCAGAAAGCAAGGGAAGAAAGAAATCAAAGGCGATCTAGAGATGAGAAGCAAAGAAGAAAAGAACAGTATGTTAGAGAAAGAGAATGGAACAGGCGGAAGCAGGAGGTCAATTCCTTTGCAAAAATTCATTTCTGTTACTTTTATTTCCTTTCAAGCTTTTAAAAATAACTTGCCAACTTCTACACTGCAGTACAAATAAATATACTTTGATCCAGCTATATAAAATATTTTATAACCTTGCATAAACTCTCTAGATTTATTTATGTTTTAAATCCTTCAAAAAAACAAGTGAAAATTGATGTTTCTCGTCCATTATTTCAGATGATAGAACTACTTGCTTCTGATGACGAGGAAGAAAAGTCTAAAATTGAGAAAGCTTATGTTCCAAAACTAACAGGTAAGAATTAAGAGTTAAAGTCTCTTTTGCAAGAGACTGGACCTCCGTCACCTATCCTTTGGTAACAGCTCATGTTGATTACTGCAACACTCTGTGGGGCTGCCAACTTTTAAGAAGTTCGGCAGCTGTGGTTAGTATAGAATGCTGTGGCTTGCCTCCTGACAGGGATAGGAGGGCACAAAGAATGTATCTGACCAACTGCATTGGCTGTCTTCATGCTTCCTTCCAGGACCAATAAAAAAATGCTGGCAATCATCTCTAAAGCTTTCTATGGTCTGCGGCCTTGAGGAACTCCATTAAGCCCTCAGTCAATACATTCCTGCCTCCTTCCTTAGGAGGTGTGTTGCTCTGCATTCTATCTCTTAGATAAATCTACAAAAGCAAGGTGCACTGTGGTGCTGCCTATGCTCTAGAGCAGCGATGGATTAACCTTTTTCCTATGAAGGGTAATGGACCCAATCGTGGAAGTCATTCAGGAGCCATACAGCACCACATGGCTGTATAGTACGCTTTCTGTGTGCCATCCCATCTCTCAACCACATGAAAATTAGGCCAAGGGCAGTAGCATGTCCCCCACAAGCTGCAAGCTCCCTATCCAAGCTCTAGACTATGCTTCTGTTCAACTTGCTACCTCCTCCTTCACATTTCTAAACAAATATATTTATGCTAATGAAAGCTAGTGTTTTACGAATGATGGATAGTCAGGTGATAAACTGAGCTGTTCGTTTTCCCCTTTTTGTTTTTCATAGGGACTGTCAAAGGGAAGTTTGCAGAAATGGAAAAGCAGAGGCAGGAGGAAGAAAGGAAAAGAATGGAAGAGGAAAGGAAGCGGAGGATTGAACAAGACATGATAGAGAAAAGGAAAATTCAGAGAGAACTAGCAAAGAAAGCACAAGAGGTAGGCGTATAGTAATTTACAATATCCCATTCAAATGTTAAAATAAAAAAACCCTAGCCATTTAAACTATAAACAGTAGTCTTCCACTTCTTACTTCCAAGACAAACAGTGCATTTGAAGCATCAGGTAGTATATGGAGTTTTTTCTACCACATCAGTATTTTATTTACTATAACTATGTATTCTTCCATTCAATTACGTTGGGCGTTTGAAACATTTTGTTTGTTTGCCTACATAGTCACAGAGTGTCATATTCAGCAATGAAGGAGATACAATGTTCTGATGTTTTAAATGGCTGAAAATACAATTTGACTGCAGCAGCAAATGTTTATTTGCAAAATGGACGAGTTGCATTTGAATGTTAAGAGACTATCTGAACCTGGCTTGACTGTACTTGGTCCTCTCTGCAGAAAATGGGCAAAACCAGGGCAAGTTATAGTCTCTTACCTACTGTACTGACACTGAATATCAATTCTGTAGCCATTTGTGAATGCAACATAGCCACATTCTTCCTTGGGGAGTGTCATATTTGGTGTGTTGCCTGCATTCTTGGCATTCAGTATTAAAGCGCCATTTTCTTTATGAGAATTGGGTGCTAGGATCAGGTGTCCCATGCTTTAATTTCCAAATGTGTGTATATGTATGAATGACTGGTTGCTATCAATAGAAAAATGTCCTGTGCTGTGCCGGTACAGCCACACTAATCAAGTCAATTTGCCAGTAATGCTCATATACCTCTCAGGCTTATAAGATGCAACATGTCGCAAGATGTTGAAATATATGTTTTCTGATATTTTAACAATGAGAGAAATAGAGAAAAGGTTATGTAAGGCAGTTTTTTACTGGTTTGAATAAGCTAAGAAAAAAAAATGCTCTTCTATTTGCATACGGAGGGAGAACAGTATGGTATGTTATAAGGTGAATTGCACTCAGAGTATCTGAAAAGGATCTGTATTACTTATTGAAGTGTTTTTGTATTTTGAAATTGACAATCAATCAGTTCAAAAGCAGTTCTGAGGCCGGTATTTTGTCTGAAAAATGATTTGTTCATTTCATAGGATGAAAATGTACAGAAGCAATTAAGACGCTTGTGATCTAACACTAATTTTGGGACATGGCTGTTGTCCAGATCTTGTACTACAAGCCATTGCTCGCAACTATAAAGTAAATACCATTAGAAGTCCCAGTGTTCCTCAAAGTCACCCTTTACAGCATTGGGGAAGGTTGGGGATTTTTTTGCCCCAAGGGCCCAAATAGCTGCTTCGGTTAACTTGTCTACTGTGCTACTGAAAGCTTCTTGCAAACAGGATAATTTGTGCAGCCATGCTTTCTTTAAAGCATTCCTTTCCAGCTTAACTCCTAAGAGCTGCTTTAAACATTATGGTCAGAAGCCGCCAGAAAGCCCATGCAGTGTTCCCATGCTTTACCTTTATACTTCTGTGGAGCTGGCAATTCCAGAAGTACAGATACTACACATGACAGCAGAGGCAAGATGTTAGCTTTACATGCTGCAGAGCAGTAGTTGCAGTGGGGTGGCTAGCCAGGCTTTTTGCCCCAGGTGAAGCCTCCATTGGGGTGCCATTGAGGTTACCTGCCTGTGTATGTATGTGTGTGTATGCAAATACACATGAGGAGTGCCAAACTGGGTCTTTGACCCAGGTAAAATAAAGCCTAGATTCGCCCCTGCATGCTGTGCGTTGTGTTGAATGTTGACACTGGCTTTTGGGTGACCTCCACACAGACACTAGCATTTAAATTTACCCATAACTTTGATCACCGGAAAGGTGCCCTTTTAGAGTTCTTTCTCTTGTTTACAATGCAACAAACATTCATTGTTGTTGTAGACAGTACCTAAGCCACCTTCAGCCTGCCAGAAATTCCGGTATTCTCAGTATCATAATGAAAGGTGAAGCACGAGTAATAAAGGTCTAACTGAACGGGTTAGCCTTACAGACTGTGGCAATAGTGGTTGCCAAATATTTAATTGAAGCAGAGAATGCATGTGTAGTGTGGGAACTAGTATGTAAAGGATGGTTTTACACATTAGATATTCACACTAGATGTTATAGGCACCCTTAAGTAACAATGTACTCCACACCCTATCAAATGAATACAGTGTGTGAAATTCAGGAAAGCTACCGTGCGCTGCTCTGGTTTCACCAGAAGCGGCTTAGTCATGCTGGCCACATGACCCGGAAAAACTGTCTGCAGACAAACGTTGGCTCCCTCGGCCAGTAAAGCGAGATGAGCACCGCAACCCCAGAGTCATTCGCAACTGGACTTAACCGTCAGGGGTCCTTTACCTTTAATTGTTATTGTTGTAATTATATTTATAATTACCGGTATATCTTGCCTTTCCCCCCAGTACTAACCCAATCTCATTCCCAGACATTAACCAGGAAGCAAGAGCTTGATCCACTCTGATCACATTTGAGTATTTTTAAAGGGCTATATGCAAAATTTTACATGTGGCTCATAGCTGATGGACCTACGTATCCATAAATGAGCACAAAATAGGGTTGTGTGAAGGAATCGCCACATAGATTAAGGCCTTGGCCAGACATTGTTCTCCAGGGGAAAATCTCAACCCAGTAAGCATGTTAGGCTGTGGAGAAAGATACAAATTAAGTGCGCTGTTCTGTGCATAGGTGAATGCAGGATATCCCTGCTGCAGTAGCAAGGATTTTAAAGGCTTTCCAGATCACAGGGACAGGGAGACTGTGCTTTTCCAGTGAACATGCTTCAGCTCAGTTCACCTGTTACCAACCCTTCACCAGCCATCTACTCCAGGTCTCCTGGGGCCTGCTGGTTTTGCTGCTTGTCCAGCACATCACAGGCCATGGTACAAAATTAGTGGGTTGTGTTCAGCATGGGAGCTTTCTAGCTGCTGCACATGGTGTACGATGGAGGAGGGCATGCTAAAGTCTGAACCTCTTGCGCAGTTGAGGTAAATACCTCTGTAGAGCAATGTCTGACCAGCGGCTGCTTAGATTAGATGTACACATTGGAAGTGCACCTTTTAATGCCACATTTCGATTTGTCATTCAGCACAATATTTTCATTTTTTTAAATGTTTTTGCAAGGGGGAGCCAAAGAGTCAAAGTAACATTATTGTGTGAAATTCTTATTTAATAGATTGATGAGCAGTTAAACAATTCGGGAAGCGAATCGGCATTGGAGGTAATCAGACTTCTTTACCATGAAACATTCACCTATTTGTGACTCACTGTTTATTACATATCTAGTAATGGCCGGGTTAAACAAAAACACTTGGGAAAGACACGAAACACACTTTGCTAGCAGAGACAGTGTACTATCAGACTGATCAGTGCTTTCGGCACTCGCCATGAGGTAAATGTGACCAGAATTACAATGACTTTTGCTTCTTTACACTGTGACTTTTCTTGGCTCTTTGCCATTTGCCGGTAACCGTTGATGACATGGACGCCTGCACATTATTTTACAATGCTGTTTCTTAATGTTTACTTAATCTGCTTCTGGCCAGGGCTGAAGGGAATGGTAGTGTAATACAGTTGGAAGGCACCATGTTGCTTAGCTCTATTCTTACGGTAATGTGAAGTGCATTCTGAAATGAGGTCAGTAGCCCCAAGGTAAATGTTGTGGTCTCATAAACCCTAAGGCGGCTACTATATTTACTGCTTGAATTGATGTAATGCCATTGCAGACACATTGTATGTGGCCTGTGGACTATCTGCAGACAGTGCTATCTTGATTCCACTATGGCAGTTGCAATACATCTACATACAGTAATTAACAGAATTAGGATTGCATCTACCCATTATGCTTTGAGACAACTTTTTCCCCCAAAAGTTGTGGAACAAGTTAATAGCCAAATGATTAACTAGACACAAGAGTGTCTTAATTAAAGCCAGCTTAGGCTTTCAGAGCTGTTCACTTTTTAAGATTGTCTTTATGAAGTCCTTTGAAATTTTTTTGTTATTTGCCTTGGCAGTATCTTTTAAAATTTAAGATCCCTCAAGAAACTGGCTACATTTTAAATGACTAAGATTTAGGTAGTCCCAGATGGGAAAGGACCCTTTCTTGAAGCTAATCTGGTTTGCATCTGGTCAGTACTTGAATGTGGGATTGCTTGAGAATCCTAGTCTTAAATTCTATAAAAATTGAGTGAATAAAAATGACATTGCTGTGGTTTCTGAACTCCCCACACCCAGTGGACCACTTGAAAATTGCTGATGGACTTGGCAGGCCACTTAATGGTTTCCCTGCCTGTTGTAGCAATTTTAACAGCTGTGGTAGATGCTGTGTGATTTTTCATTGTATTTTAATTGCTATTTGTTGTGTTGTATTTTAACGCTGCAATCTGAATTTTATAGATGGTAGTAGAATAAAATACAAGAAACAAAAGAAGCAATGAAAAGCAATATGAGTATTTAATATCGACATGCCTTGGACCACCTCAACGAAAGCTCATGAGCCATTGATAGTCCATGAATCAGTTTGGGTACTCCTGTTCTAATGTATTTTCCAGAAATTAGGCTAACAAAACGTTTCCAGATATCCTACCATGATTTCATGGAGTGTAACTCCCATCTGCTGACAGTCATCAAAATAGCTGCTCCTGCATGAAAGTGAATTCTTCTGCATAGTGGATGAGGAGGAGCATAGAATCTGACACGAGGATTACTACACTGCTGCATGGTCCCACAATTTTACCATGCCCTTTGTGTGGTACCACCAGTTCTTAACACCATGGTGTTTTTCTGTATTGTTTTGTTTTTTGGCGTGGAAAGTAGGTTTGAGGACAGAAGAGGGTGCCATCCCAGGGCTGTGTGTATGTGTGCGTGTGATCTTCTTTTCCTAGCAAGTGTTGTAATCGGAATTTTAATACTGATGTGTGGTAGATCTGTACCTGTATTAGTAGCACTGCACTTCCCACATACTCATTTATATCACATTCATCGAAGTGGCACAAATAGGAGTGCCTTGTCCTCTAGATATAGTGCAGATAAACATGGACCTTCTATAGTTTTATTTGAGCATATGCCCCAGGCATTTAATAACCATATTTGCTCTACTTATTCAAGAGCATCCTTTTACACTTCACAACATCTACCTAGATCAGATTAGAAAAGGGTATTTACTACATTTGGAGCTAATCTCCTGTACCCCCCACCCATCTTTTAATGCTTGAAAAGTACAAGCAAAGCTCAGTTTAATAGATGTAGTTGTCTTGAGATAACTCTTATCAACTTAAGGACCTGGTAAAGCAGCATATCAGTGTCAAATTAGGTGCTCAGCTTCTATCCGGACTGGGTTTTTACCTGAATGACCTGAACTTTTGAGAAAAAGATAAATGGAGTTACAATACGTTGGAGTCTCTCATTTGTCACAGACTTACTAGCTGGTTTAGGCAAGTCACTCTTAGCTTCTCCATGAGCAATATAGGAATAATACTGACCTACCTTACAGGGTTGTTGTAAGGACTACAAACAGCTTGATAGATATATATTATTCTGCTGAATGTTCAGAAGTGCTAAACTGATGGCATGATTCAAGTATTCACAAATGATTGACACAGCTGTGTCCAGAGCTGGAGCAGCATCTCCTCCTGATGCCATTTTGCTACCCTAAAGACAGTCAGCTGTGGCCACAGATTTTGTCCAGACATCCTCCAATAAATTGAACATTTTGGTAGAAGCGTAATTCTTCACAGGCAGTAGTAGTTGCACAGTCCAAATGTTCACGGTGACATTTGTTTTTAACAACAGGAAGGTGATGATTCTTTGCTAGTGACAGTAGTTCCCGTAAAACCTAGCAAAACACCTGGGAAGATGAAAATAAGTTTTGAGGACCTAGAGAGAGAGAGAGAAGAACAAGAAAGGCGAAAGCTTGAAGAAGAAAAGCGATTGAGATATGAACAGGAAAAGCAAGCTCTCAGGGAAGTCAAATATTTCTCACCAGATGTGGTAAGCAAGATTGCGGGGGGAACCCCTTGCATGTTGACCCTAAGCATGCTTCATTGGAAAAAGGCTCCCGTTATTACAGCAAAACTTGCTTCCAACTAAGTGAATTCAGGAGTGCAGGGAAATCTAGGATTTTAAGACTGCATGCATTAAATATCATGAAGATTTAAGTCGGAATAACAAACTTTTGTATATAGGATGAAGATGAAATGCTTGACAGCGAAAGAAAAGAATCACCCAGCCCTGGCAAAGTGAAACTAACATTTGAAGAATTGGAAAGACAGAGACAAGAAAATCAGAAAAGGCAAGCAGAGGAAGAGGCGAGGCAACGTCTGGAAGAGGAAAAACGTGCATTTGAGGAGGCAAGGCAACAAATGGTAAGCATATGGAGCAAAATATGGTCTTAGTGGAGGGGAGGATGGATGGACTTGGAGACATGTATGCCTGACCATATGAAAATTCAAAGCGGGGGACACACATGCAACCCTACCTCAATGTTCTCTCACACATCATGTCCTGCGTGAATCCTTATGTTGTACTTCCACTTGCATTTGCTTGAATATTACTTGAATTACTGTGCTATTTAATTATATCTATTTTAGCTTCCATGCATGACCTTTGGTATATTTTAGTGGGAAGGGGGTGGGAATCTATATACATTATTTTAATACTAAAACTTTTTCTTGGTTATTTTTAAAAGTTCAATACCTCCCAAATTTGCTGCACCTTTCATCATCATTATTACTATTTACATGGTTTCTCTCTCTCTCCTGCAAGCTAAATGAAGATTATGATGATCAGGAAAATGAAAATTCCGTCAAGGAGTTCCGTCCTGGGAAACTGATACTTACCTTTGAGGAAATAGAAAGGCAGAGGCAAGAAGAAGAAAAAAAGAGAACAGAAGAGGAAGCCAGAAGGCGCATAGAAGAGGAGAAAAAGGCATTCGCTGAAGCAAGAAAAAGCATGGTAGGTGATTTATTTATTAATAAAAATACTTGTATACCACTGTTTCACACAAAAATACAGAGTAGTTTGCCAGTTATATCTATACAATAAAAACTATTTAAGACTTTTAAACCACAGAGCATCAACAAACTATCCCCGAAGTATTCCTAGTTGCTTGGATAAACCCGGCAGCATAGAAATTTTTTAGCAAACACTTTAAGGTCAAGGGGAGGTGCCCCCTAAATCTCTCTTGGGAGAGCATCACATAGGACTGGGCTGATGACACTATATGCGCCATTTCATGTCAATGTCAAATGAGCCTCAACAACTTGCATGATGACCAGCACATCTTAGTCACTTTGGTGGCATCTCTCTCCGTACACACAAGAGGAGGAATCCAACAGCTTAGTGGGTCACAGATAGTTCAAGGCAAACTGTAGCAGGAAAACCAACTAATCCATAGGCTTCAACAAACTTGCTCTTCCATGGACTTAGACCCAGCAGTCTCCACGACAGGCGTTTCCCACCAAATTTCCCTTGCAGTGCCCATGTCTTCCCCTTTCTGTTGCAAGAGCTCCCCCACCATATCTGCAGAGAGGTACCCAATGGTCCAAGTGCAAATCACCTCCCTCACATCTCCTATGGGTGCAAGTTATGCTCATGGGATTATAATCTGCAGAAGATCGGAAACACACTGTTCTGTTTCAATTTACTGAAATTAGCACATGTAAATACAAAGCATGTCCTTCAAGAACTTGTTTCCATTAACTGGTCCCTGTCCCATAACTGTTTCATGTGAGCTTGGCAAAGGGAAAGGCTAGCAGTTTAAGAAGTTTGGATAAAAATTGCAATCCTCTAATTTAGCTCAGAGAAAGAGCACTTCCCATTATGGTCTTGGAGCTACTAATAAGTAAATAGGGATTGCAACCATTGTGCAGAGGGTAAGGATTGCATCTGGTGAGGAAATGGAGCATGTGGTGTTTTGTTTTAAATGTGGGAACATCACGGAGCATTTGGTTTCAATTTCCTATTTGGAAGAACTGATTAGTGCCCAGATCCTGTGTCAGTGTTCTGTTGGCAGTGTTTGTAGGGTTGGATTTATTTAGTATTTCACTTTTCACAATCCTTTAATACATTAATGTGCTTTGGTACATTAACATCTTATCTTTCCCCGCCAAGCTGTAACTTCCATATACATAACTGCCCTGTCGACTGAAGGTATAGGGGTGTGTGTGTGAAAGTGAGAGAGAGAGAGATTATCAGTGTTCATTATGAGGAAGCTGATCACCTTAATTTCAATGGAGATTTTATCCAAGAAAGAAGCGATGTTTTATATCAAACCCTTAGTGTAGTTACAAATAAGCAAACGCATCACAACTACCATTAAGCATAGCTGCACCTTAGACTAAAAAAACCACCTGTACATATAAATTTTATAGGTTTGGAGCAAGAGAAAAGCCTGCAAAGAATGCCTAGCTGAAGCTGATTTTCTAAGTTCTTTCTTCCAATAAGGCCCTGCTGTCACCCCTGAAAAGCTTTTCCAAAGGCTTTTGCTGAATTGAGAAGGGAGGATAACATGGGCGTAGCCAGGATTTTGTTGGGGGGGGGCAGGATTTTTGTTAGGGGGGCAGAACTGACGTGATTGGTCAGTTAGTTAAGTATTTCTATTGTTTTATTGATCTGGGGGAGAAACTGCCCCCCTGGCTACGCCCCTTGAGGTAAAGGAGAAGAGATACTCAAAAATAATATAGAAGCACTTTTTGTGAGTGCCAGAGGTTTGTTGGGGGCTCTTGAGGAGCCAAATAAAGTGAACCTTTTTCAGGAGCCAAATAAAGTGACCCTCTCTAGATCCAAGTCACTTTGTGGATCTAAATTATAATATAATGGGATGATCAACACAAATGTAATTTTTCATCAGTGCAATGATAAAACTATTTCAAACAGAGTCCAGATGATGAGCTTTCGCCAATGTCTAAAACTGTATCCCAAGAATCTCTCACACCTGGAAAACTGGAAATTAACTTTGAGGAGCTACTGAGACAAAAAATGGAAGAAGAAAAGAGGCGTACAGAAGAGGAGCGCCGACAAAAACTGGAAATGGAAAAGCAGGAATTTGAGCAACTCAGACAAGAAATGGGAGAGGTCTGTCAATTCTTAACATGAATTGCTGTGACAAGTGCATGCAGAATTTTCTGCTTCTTGAATTAATACGAGGGGCGAGAAAAGCATGCAGTTTAAAAGCTTGTTGTGAAAATTATAGTTAGTAGCTAACTGGACTTCAAAATAAGCAGCAGGCAGGGTGTTGCGCACCCAGGCAATTCAATGCTGCTGCTCAAAGCAATGTAAATTACATAATTAACAGTGCGTTATTTAAGCACTGCACATTTAGGATTTTTTTTGGTATTATTTGATTGTCAATAACCTTGTGGCATATTTTCCTTCAAATAGGAAGAGGAGGAGTGTGAAACCTTTGAGCTAAGCAGGGAATATGAGGAGCTAATAAGGTTAAAAAGAAGTGGTTCTATTCAAGCGAAGAGCTTGAAGAAAAAGTTTGAGAAAATTGGGAAGCTCTCCGAAGAAGAAATACAGAAAAAAATTGAAGAAGAAAGAGCAAGGAGAAGAGCTATGGATCAGGAAATAAAAGAAAGGGAAGCAGAGAAATTTCAAGAGGTAGGTCCCATTTTCAATTCAGTGTCTGCCTTGCGCTAGCTTCTGTGAGGGCTTGTGTGGCTACCACAAGACTTGAAGCCTTACTGACAGCACTGTTTGTGTAAACCTGTCTCCACATGGTTACTACTTTGCATAACTGGATCCTATGGGACGGTGGGAATGTTTCAATCTAGCAACTGCAGGTAGGAAGGTCACATATGGTTACGAAATTTATACGTTGCTGCATTGCGTGACCCACCTACGAGAAACTTGCAATCACAATACAGACAAGTACTGTTATCAACCAAAGGAACAGTATTCTGAATCTGCCTCGTGATAACGTATGAGCACCACTGGCTTGGCTGAACAGGTCTTTTGTGGGTTTTTTTAAACCATTTTGAAAAAATGCGAAAGTGCTTTTTCAAAAAAATATTCGCAGTGTGCACAGGACAATGTATATAATAATTATCAACAATACACAGATAAAAATCAGAAAAAATTAAAAGCAAATGCTTATCTGGATAGGCTTGTTGGAAGTAAAGATGTTTTTGCAGGCATCCAAATGGGGGATTCACATCCACTTCTTGGGCTACTAGCTGATACCTATAATTAGTTGTGTAAAATTACAGCTTGATTAAATCTGTAGTATGTCAATTTCGCAGTGTCTGTGTGGCTAAGTAGAAACTATGATGATCCCCTTCAGGCACGACTCTGCTCTCCAGATATTTTGGGACTACAACTCCCATCATCCCTGATCACTGGTCCTGTTAGCTAGGGATGATGGGAGTTGTAGTCCCAAAACATCTGGAGGGCCAAGTTTGCTTATGCCTGCAGCAGTTACTTAACCAGTTTTTCCAGAGATCTACTCAATTTAAGAGGACAAAGAGAGTCCTCTGTGGTCAGAACGACCACATTCTGTCTAATGTCTTATTTCCCTGCCTTTTGAAATGGATTTGGGCAAAAAGGAAGAACTCCAGGAACTTATTAAATATGACGCTTATCTTCAGCATGCCACGTCTAGTCTGAGTCCTACCATATGTCACAGTGCTAATGCCGTATGTCTGATTGCTACTGTATAGTGACAATGATGATTTTTTTCTTTTTTTGCCTTGCATCTTGTTTTTATCATGGACTGTGCTCCTATTTTACCTCTAGGGAGTTAGATGAAAATTCCTTTCCAGATTTCATACGTATTATTTATCTTCACAAAATGAAAAAATCAAGTAGGTTTAAAGGCAGTAGTATTTATGATCCAAGTTTCCTGCAAATCATGTAGCAAACACCACCCTCTCAGGATTATAAAGCTTAGAATTATGTTTAATTGTGACAGTGCACTGTAATTTCTTTTCCTTGAAGCATTAAATTATGGCAATACTACAGGATATGCTTTATGTCACTAGAAGAAACTTGTTTTGTTTTGCCTACAACTTAACATCTTGTGGTAACAGACTCTATATATTCAGTTTATGGAGTAGTGAGCTTTCTGCCTGTTTTCCATATCCAGTAATAACAGCTCTCGCCCCGCCCTCCACTTTTTCCAAAAACTTGGTGCCATCTCATAATGTTTTTATTATTCCAGGAAGATGAAGTAGATGTAAAGCCAGCCACAAAATCTGAAGCTCCATTTACACACAAGATAGACATGAAGGCCCGATTTGAACAAATGGCAAAGGCAAGAGAAGAGGAGGAGCAGAGAAGAATTGAAGAACAAAAAATGCTACGCATGCAATTTGAACAGAAGGAAATTGATGCTGCATTGCAAAAGGTGATGCAGGTGGTTTTCGCATGCGCAAACTAGTTTGAGCCATTAGCAAAGTGTCAAGTGAGATCAGGGATTTGCTCCGTGGAGTCAGGAACCCCCAAAAGTGACTGGGTTTAGTTGGGGTGGGGAAGGGAAAGTAAAACAAAGCTAAGGAAATGCCCTAATCTTGAAGGGGTGGGAAAGTGGGGCTCCACCCCCACCCGGGTGCAATAGAGAACTCCCAGGGAGAAACTGCATCCTTTCTCTTTTGTTAGGGTAAGAGAATCCTTGCTGTGTGACATTTCCCCTACCCCAGTCCTCCTTTGGGGCTCATTCTCCTTTTCCCACCTTAAAATTCATGTTAGCCACCCAAAGTAATTAACTCTTCCCTTGCAGCAGAACCCCTGCAGCCCCTCCAACACTGGGGAGGCCTCATCCCCTCAAAACAGGAGACCATGCCTGCAAATGCGCCCACATCTGACAGGCAATAATATACTTTTAAGGTGCTCTGCATGAAAAGCCTTGGGTGCAACTGCTTACAATTTGGCAGGGTTCATCAATTCTGGCGGGGCTCCTATGCCTGCAAATTTTATCTACCACAGTGAAAATGGAAAGCGTATTCTTCTTTACAGTGAATAGAAGGAAAGCAGAGGTTTTGTTTTTAAGAGGGGGAAAAAATGCTTCCAAATATGTCAATTAGAAAGAGTGCTTCGATAAGGCTGCAGCCTGTTGCTACATCCACAAGTTTAATCTTGGAGTCAATGCACATCCCTAAAAAGTTGAGCTCTTAAAAATTGAAAGCCTATCCACGTGCTGGTTCGTTAGAGTAAGAGATGATCTATTATCTAGCAGCTCTAGGTACATGCAGAAGAACCAAGGCTTGTTTTTTTTGGCAAGCGGGCAAGGATTACTATTGCATTGTTCTACAAGGCCTAGAAAACACAAAACATTAAAGGCTAAAAAGACGATCTCCTGGTTATCCCACTGACTTGTTTTGAGATTTAGGCCTGCTTCCCTTTGCATAACTCCATTCTTTCATTGTTTCAGTTGTCACACTAGTGTGGTTAGACTAGTGTGAGGATAGGTCTTGAGAATAGCTGTACCTATAATAAAAAACCTGCAATCAAACCTGCAATCTTTGGGAGTTATCAGTGCCACACACTAACCAAATGAGCTATCCAAGCTGACCATACTGGTACTGTTCAATGTGCTGTATAATGTGTTTCAGCATTTGTTGTTGCAATTTATATTTCAAAATGCAGAAAAAGGAAGAGGAGGAGGAAGAGGATGGCAGCATTGTTAACGGCTCAGTCTATGAGGATGAAGAGCAGCAAGCACGATCTGGTGCTCCTTGGTTCAAAAAGCCTCTTAAAAATGTGTCTGTTGTGGATAGCGAACCAGTAAGGTTTACTGTTAAAATAACTGGAGAACCCAAGCCAGAGGTTACATGGTGGTTTGAAGGCGAAATGTTGCAGGACTGCGAGGACTATCAATATATTGAGAGAGGAGAAACCTACTGCCTTTACTTACCAGAAACTTTCCCGGAAGATGAAGGAGAATATATGTGTAAAGCAGTGAACAGCAGAGGAACAGCAGCTAGCACCTGTATTCTCACTATTGAGAGTAAGAGTTAGCATTTTTTAAAAGTTCTCAGATCTTTAGTTCTTGTTCACGTCTGTTGATCTTTTCTTAACTTTCTTTTCTTTTCTCTTCTCTAGCTGATGACTATTAATATCCTACTTTTTCTGGAGCCTTCCTTCCCTAAATTTACTACATCCATCTTTCTTTCTCTCTCCTGTGGTGGGGCCAACAAGAAGTTGTCTATCATTCCTCAAATAAGATACCCAATTGCCAGATTTATCTCTTGGTTTCAGACTGAAGTTTGGCAACAGAAGTTTGGTTCATTTGACAAACAATGGCTCAATCTCCACTTGTAAACAGCACTGTGGCTGCTTGTTAATGCCACTGAATTGCTTCTGTGACAAGGAGATTCTTATCAGGAAAGCCAAGCTGTTCATATGAAACAGCTTGTCATATGATCCCATCAAGTCTTCACCATGTTAATCAAAATGCACGATTGTCTTGAATGTGATCGGCTACTTCATGTAAGGTTACCCTAAGTAGCAGACTACTTAATGTTAGTTTTCATATAGAAAATTCAGCCAAAACCATATACAAACACAGTATTAAATCAAATCAAATCCAAAGACCACTTAATTCATACTACATAAAAAATGATCTTTATTTCTTTGGTCCTGGAAGCTTTGAGAGCAAAAAGTATATTTTTTTGGTTAAACTATTAAGTAGCCAAAAATAATGTAGTGGTTTATTTAAGTTATGCCTTTGTTTAATGCAACTTTTCCTTTAATATGCTTTAATAAAATTAAACCAAGATTATATTGGCTTGAAAGCAGGATTATGTACCGTAACTAAATGTGTACACACAGTTGTATGTCATGTTCTTTGAAATAAAACATTTGCATTTGTTTTGTATTAGATGGTAGGCATTGTCCAGCATCTTGCTTGGAATATTGAACCAAATTTGTATCTTTCAGGTTGGAAGTGTTAGAATCATAGTGAATGATGTTTCAACTTACATCTCGTATTGTATAATTATTTACTGAATCATCTCACTCAGTATTTACCAGACACAATACAGAAATATGTATGTATAACAAGATATTACAGCTATGCTTTTTGCTACATGAGAAACAACCAACTAAACTCCAATATAGACTAAAATGTGTGCTGGAATGGAGAGATATGGAAGAAATTTGCATAATCTTCCATGGGATTTTGGCTTACTTTTATTGATCAGGACAACTGATTTACATTTTATGCAGGAGATAACTGGGTCTCTTCCTTACGTTGTACCAAATGACTTATTCTGTACCTGAACTGGAAGGTTAATAAATATGTTCCTAAAATTGTTCCTAAAATTGAGTATGTTCTTTATTTAATACTTGCACAGCTGCAAACACTGGAAGAAACGGTAACACTTCATCTTCCACTTGAAAGCTTTAAGTACCTGCCCCTTACCCCCAAAAACCCACAGGAGACAAATTACCCATTAGTTTACATTTATTGAGAACTTATACAAAAACATTACAATTAATGTGTATTCATGAGTACATACAGTGTCAATATTGCAAGCTCAACACAACATACTGTAAAGCATTTGATTTACCTCACGTCCAAGCTGCATGTCCCTAAGATACTTCCCATCACAGTAGCCTTTAAAAGACAATCTTCTTTTTTTTACACGGGTAGTTTCTGTAGAGAACACTATCTTAGGACGAAAATGCATCTTGCATGCATATAAGATAAAGGTTGCATAAACACAGGACTTTCATAGGGTACTACCAGTAGGAAAGGAGTAGCTACTGTTTGCATTGTGTAGGGCCGAATGTTTTGCCTTATGAACTGCTAGTACACACAACAAAAATCTAAAAGTTCTTTCTACTGCCTAGATTATGAAAAGAAAGATTTCTCAGCAGCTGATGTAATATTTTCAGAAAGGTGAATGATATAGCCTACCTAGTTACTAAAAATAACTGCAATTTACACGAATCTAAAGATCACTTTTTAAAACTAGCAAATCATATCCTATACAGCACACATACTGAAGGGTGATCTGTAAACATTGTTATTAGTTGAAATTAAGATCATCTTTCCAAACATTCATTACTCTCACTGCCTAACATTCTGTGACCGAGAAATTTGCACTTATTTCCCCCCTGCCATAGCACAAGAACCGCTCAAGGAAAACGAGGCAACTATGTATATAAAGGTTCGAACTCAATGAATGGAATGGAACCTTTTGATTCAATGCAAGGGTTCTGACAGAAATCAGACAAAACTGAATACCAAAACTACACTTGGTGCAAGAAGATGCCTGTAGGTCCACCAGCAAATTGATAATGAAAATAAAAAAATGCTTAGTATAAAGATTATCAAAGCAGATGCATAATCCCCTATGCCAACCATTTCATTCTAGTTTCTATTACATCCCTTCCCTTGAAATTTCAAGCTATGTTTATATTAAAAACTGAGCAGCGAAAACAAGCTGTTTTAAAATGGGGAAACAAAATCCAACAGAGATGAAGCTCTTCAGCACGTATCTAGTTCTCATATAATAATGAAATCTGACATGTTGAACTACAACAAAATATGAAGTGGCTCGAGGGAATTCAAGTACAACTATTAATTTAGTTGTGAAATGCAAAACATTATCTATGCTTGACTATTCAGCAAAGTGTAACTTGATAGATGGTTTGTATTATTACCACATAACAAATTATGGAACATTTATGGTCAAGCAAATAGCACTTTAAAGAATGAGAAGCGATTAAAACAGGCAAATTATACCCTACACCATTAAGTATGGGATACATTTAAAATCGGTATTGTTTTGCCAATTTTACCTTCTACATGGAGCCCTTCTATGGTCCATGCTCATCGGCTCATCATGGCCATACACTCAAAGGAATCCTCTTTATTGGAAGTAACTATCTCAGGACCTGATTTTATGAGCTATGATTTGGTGCTTGCAGCATCTTCAGCACTGTGTGTGAAAATGAAGGCAGGGTTTTTTGAATATTTTTCTTTGATGCAGAGAAAAGCAGGACTTTTGATAAAATCAAAGCATTTTATTAAGTGACAAACAAAAAACTGATGGTACTGCCTTAGCATCGTCTATCTAAACTGAAAAAAATGCACCAGTTAAGCTATCTAAATAAGCCATATACAAAACATTTAAACTGGCAAAAATATACAGCGATTCAGCTGAAATAGCAAAGTAGGAAGGAGTTTCCTATAAAAAGGAAAGATTTGCTGAACTGTTAACATTTCACTGGTAATACATGCTTTCTACAACTATTCTGCAAAATTCAAGTCTAAATTTCCCTTCTTTATCAAATAAGCAAGCTAGGTTATGTTTTATGGTGTATAACTTAAAATCCGTTATTGCCTTGGGAATGAAACACACAGTATGCTTGAATAAGTAGTATTGGGTATAACATCCTTTGAACATTATAAAAGCATTTGTGAAGGCTGTTGAAATTCTGACCAATATTTCCTGTATCTTGAAAAAATATTTTATATTCATTTGTAACAACTCTGTTATTGAGGGAAAAATAGTAAAAGTGACTTACTCAAAAATTATTGCAGCAATCCACTTATCTTTTAAAAATAAAGATACACATTTACCCGGAAATGTAAATAATTGTTTCAGACTTTCCATTGGAATGAAACCATGAATAGCAGAATACATTTGGGGAAGATATTGGCAGATTGCTTTTGAATACACAAGCACAAAAAATTCTCACAGGGACAACATTAATAAACTGAAATATGTATTTATACACTTCCTTAGGTTGTGCTTACCTGTGCTTTTTGCAGCAGAACCTAAGGTGGAAGGTCTGGGAAGGCACTGTGAAGTATAAATAATTGCACTGTTTGCAATTAATAAAGATTTTATACTTTAAATGAATCAAAATCAACAGCCTCCATTTGGTGAATGATAAAGAATCTGGTGAATTGTTGCTCTGTTTAGTTAGTAACTACACCATTTTCGAATAAGCTACAGACTAATCATGCAAAATATTTGATCTAGAGACTTTACAGCCTACACTAAATATATTTAATAACTTCCTAGTAGTCTTTTCAAAATTTAAACCCTAACCTAAATTGGGATAAAAATAATTCCCTCCTGATTCTACAGTACAACAAAATGCATTTCTAATTATCTGTGCAGTAAAACTACTTCATTTCTGATCTCATTTTGTTCTTTTCTTGCAGCCATCCTAAGAGTATACTCCAAAACAACAAAATAGTTTTCCAAAAATAAGGCTAATAAAGGTTTAGAAATTAACATATAGTTCTATCACCAAATAAATGCAGACAACTGAAGACAATACAACTTCCTCCTGACAAGCATTTCAAACTTTTGTTTTTAACAATGCACAAGTTTTTATCTGAATATATCTCATTTTTGAACCCTAATGAACAATTATTACTTAGGTAAATGACAATTTCTTTTGCTAAAGCTAAATAGCTCAGGAATACTTACCATTAAGCTCATACACATACATTTATGAACACCTAGGTTTCTGAATTAAGAAGCAATTATGATTTGCTAGAATATCAGCACTGTATTTTATTCCAACATAATATTCACACAGGTATGGCATTTGCATTATGTGGAACAGTGACAAAAAGATACTGTTGCAGTTCATCATTTTGTCATTCTGATGTACTTACAGTGCAATGCTCCTTGAAGGAACAATCAAGGATGATACACAGCACAGTCCTCCTCACCCCTACAGAGCTAGTTCTATACTGGCTGGATCAAACCTGCACTTCAACAGACAATGGCAAGACAGACTGTATTGCATGTAATCTAATAGATGCAAAAAAAGCAAACAGTGGATTTTAACAGTATACCAATTTTCAGTATGAATTAGTAAAAGTAAAAAAGTTTTATGGAGATTTTTCAAAATATAACTTAATGACTAGTCTTCAGCATTTTAAAACAGAGCTCATCTGCAAGACGTATTTCTGTTAAGTACTCCCAGACTCCAAATAGCATATTTCTAACACAAACGCAGTTTTAGTAACTAAAAAGCATATAATCCTTACTACACTGAATTCTTAAGCAAAGTGCTGCAAACCGATTGCTTAGCACATATTGCCTTTTAGAACGATTCAATAACAAGCCTGAAAAAATATACTAAAGAATTAAACCATGTATAAAAACAAATGTTAACTATAGCAGCTATATGGGTCTGAGACAGTGGTCATGGATAAAAAAGAAAATGCAACTGTTAATGCAGTAGAAGTATGTCAAGGAACATCTTCATGTACATGCAATTTTTAATCAAGTAGAAAGAGGAGGATATCAAGATGCTAAACAGCAAAATACAGTAATGAAAAAGATCCTTCTATAACTATTCTGCAAAGGGAGAATACCAATGTAAAGCTCAAACTTTCAAGGAAAAAAACCTTAATTGTGTACATGTACAGCATTACTAAGAAACCCTTGAATTCTCCGAGTACCCACATATCCAACTTACCGACACAGGAGGTTTCATATTATTTATTGTAAAGCACAAAACAGGCATTTAAAAGTGATCAAGTATACATTGAAAAAGTACATTTATATCACAAAGCATTGACCACATAATAGTTGCAAATACATTTGCTGGAATGTGTACATCTACACTAATGTACTAAAAACAAACCAATTTCCATTTCTACACAGAAATATTACCTCCTATCAGTAGTGATAGATATTTTGTACATTTTCAAAAAACACTATTTTTAAACCAAACAAAATTATGATCTTCAAGAAGGCGTCTGCATCCATACATTTAACAAAGGTTTTTTTCCCCCACATAATGAAGCAAATACTGTATTGTCCACTTCTTATTATTGGCCCTGTGCGAAGAAATACATAAGAGATACACAAAAAGTTAAAGAAAATCTTTTTTAAATTGTGCTAACTCAGGAGTGAAGCCTTTAAGAAAGAAAAATTGGTTAATGTAATGGTGGTGGCTTCCTGCATGGCTTCAAAAACCCTGGGAGGAGAAATTTTTTGATCAAAAACATCGAATGTATGCAAAGAAAGACACAGAACTCCAGTTAACAGAGCATCAATCAATTTAGGGTTATCTTTTACCAGGATAAATAATGCATACTCCAGGTAAGATATCAAAGTGGGAGACATGCAAAAAAACAAAAAACACCCCACGAGATAAAGGTAAAAAATAATAATAAATCACTAAAATATCAGCCAAATAAGTCAAGATTGTTATACCTGTGGTGCTGGAGGATGTTGTGGCATTCCTTGTGGACTTGTCTGGGCATAATAAGCTGCCTGCTGTCTATAGTATTCAGCCCACGCTGCACTATAATCTGGCTGACCCGCTGGTGGGGCTCCGGCTGGAGCTGGAACTGCCTGACCTAGAACAAACATACATTACACAACTCTGGTGCCATAAAAGGGACAAAAGAAGCTCAAAATAATCTCGTTTCTAACAAACATTACCTTGCTTCTTGTAATATTCCTCCCAAGCCTTTGAATAATCTTGTGGCTGCCCTTGTTGACCTGCAAAACCCCCCACATTTTAATGTAAACACAGCTCCCAGGTACACCAAAATTACAGACAAGAATACAGTGGAAGAGTTCTTTGCTGTTTTATTTGAAGAGATAATATTAAATCTCTAATTTGTATAATATTTTCTTTTACACATTGTTCCACAGTTTAAAATAAAGATTTAAGCACTGTATGCCTAGATTTGAGCTCAGCATTTGTAGAATGGCTCATAGCCCCACCCCTCAAAAGTTGACGGCAGAAGTGTGTGTGGGGAAACCTATAGCTGAGATGCCCCACTCCATATTAAGTATATTGTTACATACATAAACTATCCCACCTGATCCATGTTATTGCCCCCTCTGTGAGAACTGTATTGCTGGGGGGCGGGGCGAGGGGAATGTACAGCACGTATACACAATATTCTACAAAGTGGGCACATAGGAGTCACTGCCGTGTTCCTACAAGGTGAACCAGCCCTGAAGTGTATCAAACTGAGAAAGTTTGAACATTACTTCTCCCAACACTGCTTCAAAAATTAAGAACGCATTTCCTTTCAAATCATGTTTAACACACATTTAACAACACCAGATTTTTCAATTGCTGCCTATGCAGTACATAGAGGAGTCAGGCTGGTCAATTCCTAGTGACCACATGGGTTCCTTTAAATTAGCTACTGATTAATTGTGTATGTTTTAATTAAATAATAAAAATTAGATTTTCGAAGCATATTATATATTTATACTGAATGAAGCAAGATCTTTAGTCTTAAAGTTGCAAGTGTCAGCAATTTTGAAACAGAAAAGGGTCACAATAAAAACTAAAAGAAATCAAGCCTGCCCTTTATGTTTTCCCCATGCCTTCTAAGTGAGTTGGCATGTAATGGTGGGAGAAGGAACTCAAGGGATTTAGAAGCACATCCTGTCATTCCTCCAAAGAACTATCAGATATATGGAGTTAAACTTTTAGCATCACAAGGAATCCTGTGAAGTTGCTTAACCTATGAGATAGAAGTCATCTACTGAGCTTAATATATAATATCATGAGCCCCCAATTTCAGGTAATAACAACATACATATGAAATTAAAAGTTCTGTAACTGGCTCATATCTTACTTTGGAATCAGACAATTCCAACTATAAGGACATTCATACTGATAAAAATGGCTGAAGGCAAAGTACGGCTATTTTTCCGCAAGTTGTAATTTATCAGACCAAAAAGTGGCCTCCAAGTGTCTACTGTTAATTCTATTTCTGAAATAATCAAGGCGGCCCAGATAGGATAATGTTCGGGAATCTTTTAAGTACTGAACACCTTAGGAAAATGGCAGAATAGAAATATTCTGTTTAACATTAATGTTTAACATTAATGTTTAACATTAATGTGATATTTAAAGTATAGCATCTTGTTTCAATTTATTGATGCATGCTTTAATATCTTACTATAAACAAGATATTAACTTGAAAGTAATCCATGAAAGGATTAATTCTACATAATTTTTAAATACATCACTGTATAGTCAAAGGGAGTTGAGGGGACACATGAACAAGAAATGCATGCAAAAAACTAGTGCCAAGTTGTAGTAAAACTTTTGCCAAATGGAAATTGTTATACTAACAGAACAACTTGGTTGGATACTGCTCTTAGTGCACAGTAGCAAATGTATTATTATTTATTTTCTGACATTTAATTTAAGGTGATATACATGGTTCCCAGATAGTTGCCCATCTAAACACCGTAACTGCTTAGCTTCAGCAAGGTGCTGACATTATTGGACGCATACTATACACTGGGACTTAAGTCTTTGAATCTGAAGCTATGCAACATTCAGGAGTGGAGGGCATAGATATTTCCTGCAGTGATGCTAATAAGTTACTTTTACAAATATGTCACAGTCATAAAATAATAGCCCTGGATATGACTACTAGAATCTTTGAATGGATCCAAAGATTCCACTGCATCATGTAAGGCATTTTTGCTTGCCCACAGGAGTATATTACTGACTCAACCACCCTCTGTTCTCAAGAGCCATTCTAGAGAGTCTAACTACCTGAAACAAGGTTATAGGGGTGCATTACTTCTTTCAATATGCCCCTCCACCTGAGGGAAGCACTTTCTACTCAAACAGTTGGGTCTCTGGATCCAAACCTCTATTTTGCTCTAACAAGGTTTGAATAAATTTGTAGCAGAGTAAGCAGTAGAAAACTACAAACAAGGGAATTAATTCATACTAGAACTACTGGTAAAGTTGTAAATATTGAGAAAGCAGTACTAGGGTCTTAGCAGTTTCTTAAGAGAATCATCATATGGAATTGCTGTATTTGAACTAGTCTGTAGATCATATATGCCAGGTTGATTAAAAACATTTGGAAGAACTCTAAACTCAAGAAAATGCCTACCTTTATCTGCTAACAAGGCTATTATGCCCCCAAGAGCTAATTTGGCATTCCTTGAAATCCGACTGAAAAAACTAGTCCTGCATATACTCTATTTTAAAATCTCTGCTCCACAACTCAGATTCAGTCATGCCTTTAATGAAAAACATGGCAATAGCAAGAGAAGGGCAGAATAGTCGTGACAATCACTATTCTCTTCCCCCACTCTGCCACACACACAATCAAATGAATCCAGGAGTAATGATTAACATAATTTTAATTTATGGGCACACCCAAGCACAAATACCAGAATGAGGCTGGTCTACATTAAGAGATTTAGCATCCTGTCAGACCTGCATATATTTCCTTAATTGAGAATACCTGGCTAACCTTGTCTGAAATATATGGGATTTTTTTTTGTAAATTTCTGAATTATGCTCATTAAAAACAACAACCAGGATGTGATAATTCTATAAGAATGCTTAATGTCCCTTGAAATTCCAAAAGCGCTCAAGTCTCTCTCAATCACATTTTTGTTTTCCTGCCTCAACCTAACTCACATGGTACAGCTTCACCTTTCCTCTCTGCTCTTTGCAGGCACAGTGACACTGAATTCTGGTGTGTCCTTACATTAGAGGAGAAAGAACTACATGGGTCTTGTCATGACACACATCTGGCATGAATGGAAATGCTGGCTCATGACAGAACTGTGAGATTGTGTCTATTAAGTGTGGCAGACTTTTCCATTTAACTAGCTAGAGATATGCTCGTTACTGGCAGCGTACATCATCTGATATGATGATGGTCATTAAGTATAATGGTTGTTGTTATCAAGCACTGATAACTCCACAAGGTAGGGAAAAAGACTGTGAGATGTTTTAGGTTACAAAATCTAAGTTACTCTACACTTCATGCAAAATAGCTATCCTTGCAATTCCCTGAGAACCCACTTTTCTTGATACATAATGAAGAGGTATTCATAAGACTCCCAATTCTTAATTTCAGGAGCAACCGAGTAAATTGTCTTGCTACTTAAAAAAAGCATATGAAACAGAAAAGCTTTTTAGAGAAGTAAATAGTAAAAGCCTCCTTTTTACATCAATAAAAATGTAAAACATACCCATTTTTTTATAGTACTCTTCCCATGCCTTGGTGTAATCTACCTGCCCTGCTGGTGCTGGATTTGGCTGATCTCCTACATGAAAAGAAAGTTGAAAGAAAAAGTTTTTTGTGCCAACATGCATAGAAATACTGGCAGAGATAGTTCTGCATTTAAATTTACACACATTATGCGAAGTCAACAGCTGACAGAGACCAAAAAACCCACAAGGTCAACTGGAAGGTATCTCACAGCACAATGAGAAAAATTACATTATGGGTGAGTGACAGTCACTTATTTAGGAACTGCAGAGGAAAAGCTTTGCCATATTGAGATGCCAACACTGAAATGTAGAAGCATACAGCTGATGCAAAATACAAAATACAACACACACATTTTCCAAGTAGTTTAAAGCAATGATTCTGAAACTGGTATTTTTTTTACAGTCAAAGACTCAAGGCATAGGACATACATGATGACTGTTGGTGGGCACCCCACATCAATCAATGTCCTTTCTTCAAAAGGTCAATAACAAAAAATTCCTTCCACTGATTTGTATGGAGCCTGGTTAAGAGTTGCCTCAAATAATAATTTATTATTTGTACCCTGCCCATCTGGCTGGGTTTCCCCAGCCACTCCTTTGCTCTATCAAGGCTCCCTCAGATTCCAATTTGACAAAGTCTGGTCTATATACCATGATGGCCACGTGTCTCAAAATGTGTATGCATTGCAGTTTTTTTTTGCAAGAGTTGTTTGATAGTTGGCTGTAGTACCAAATAAAAGCACTACAGTAGAATCTATTATGTATATTAAAAGGTTAGTATTTTGATCTATTAATGGTATCAACAAGCACACCAGTGATGAAATCTTGACAAAATTTGGGCATCCTACAGTTGTCATGCACCAAGTTGTTCAGGCCAAATTTCTACCCAAATGCACAGATTAGTATATGGTATCTGGAGCACTGGTTTCTTTTTTATTTGGCACTTCCAAGCAGGAGCTGAGTATGTATGGCTGTGTGTGACACTAGCCTTATCCTATCTCTGTATAGAAGGAAATGTGGAAGAAACAGGTGTGTGATTCACACAATGCCACATCAATGCTCTGGCACTAAAGGAATAAGCCATGAACAGTTTCAGGCTCACGTTATTCTTCTTGCTGCTTATCCACAGAGATCCAGGAATTTCAATCCAGTACTTGCCAACACATGATTTGCATTTGCCAAGCTTAAAGCAGCTGTCTGAATAATATGACAAACTAGAGTTTACTGCTAAATCAGGACTAGCATCCTGAACTGCAATGGTGAATAGGTGACAGCATGTCAACCTCTGATATAATGTTCGCCACACTATCATAGTGAAAAGAATGAGGGAAAAAAGGGTAAAAGATCAAGCCCAAAGGAAACTGGATGGAGAAGGGTAGAAAGAAAAGTGACGGATATAGCAGCAATCCAGTGGTAGCCAAGACCTTGACAATGTCCTGGGCACTTTTGCTGAAGTAAGATTAAAATTAAGATGATAGGGCCATAAAAAGTGAAACTTTGGATGGGGTGACATGTATCTTTCTGTGTACCAGTGAGTACTTCCTCTCCTTTCCATTCCATTCCATACTTAGGAAAGAACTGAAAATAAAAGTACTGGGGTAGCTCAGTTGGTAGAGCATGAGGGCTCTTAATCTCAGTGTCATGGGTTTGTTGGGCAAAAGATACCTGCATCGCAGGGAGCTGGACTAGTTGATGCTTGTGGTCCCTTTCCAACCCTACAATTCTAAGATTTTATACAATCTACAGTGGTGCCTTGCAAGACGAAATTAATCCGTTCCGCGAGTCTCTTCGTCTTGCAGTTTTTTCGTCTTGCGAAGCATGGCTATTAGCGGCTCAGTGGCTATTAATGGCTTAGCGGCTATTAACGGCTTAGCGGCTTTAAGAAAAAGGAAACAAACTCGCAAGAACTCGCAAGACGTTTCGTCTTGTGAAGCAAGCCCATAGGGAAATTAGTCTTGCGGAACGACTCAAAAAACGGAAAACCCTTTCGTCTAGCGAGTTTTTCGTCTTGCGAGGGACCACTGTATTGTAAAATTACACTTGGAATATGGTGTACAGTTCTAGTTGCTTCACTTCAAAAATGACATGGTAGAGCTGGAATACATATAGAAAAGGGCAATCAAAATGATCAAGAAGATTATGCAACGTCCCAATGAGACAAGATTGCAACATTTGGGGCTTTTAAGTTTAGAGAAGTAAGAAGGTACAGAAAGGTGCATACAATTATGCATGATGTGGAGAATGTAAACAGTGAAAAGCTTTTCTTCCTCTCACAAAATACTAGAACTTTGGTGACATCCAAGGAAACTGAATCTTGGAAGATTCAGGACAGGAAAAACTTGAGGTAGAGATGGCCACTGACTTGGAAAACAAAGAGGATTGGACGTGATTCAGCAGGCACTTCCTAGGTTATGCTGATTCCCCTTGCAGAAGCTGGTAATCTCTAGTCTCAATGCACCAGCATGCCACATAGTGCTCAACACAATTTTCAATTCTAGTCTTAGAAATAACCAGCATTCATTTTTGCAACAATTTTTTTGTTATAGCATCAAATTCTCAGAATTTCAGGTGAAATTTGTGAGGTAAAGACTCTTTCTCTCAGATTATATGTGACTATCTAGTCAAAACAATGCCCTGGATTCAAAGTTTGAATGAACTCAAGGAAGTTCATGAAATGAAATTTTGCCACCCCTCCCTCCCACCAACTTGTGCCTCCCTGAAAAGCCTCTTCTGCAGGCTGGAGATTCTTTAATGGACAATGTGGGATGGGAAAGTCACTCCAAATTGAGCAGACCTTTCCCCACATTATTCAGGAGAAGTCCCTGAAGAGCTTTTTCGAAGAGTTAAACCTTACTTCAGTGAACTTCCTTAAAGTTCTTTGGATCCAAGCCTCCAAATACAATGATCTTACAAAACTGATTGGGTACCTTGTCCATTGGTCTGAGTGGCTGGTGGTGCACTAGGCGGAGCTGCAGGTGGTGGCTGTGCTTGCTGCTGATAGTAGTGAGCATAATAAGCCGCCCATGCTGCTGAATTAGGGTCTGTTGGCTTACCTAGGAAATTAAACATTACTTTAAGTTCAACATATCTTTGGTAGGCTTCCTTTATTTTCCATAGGCTATAGTTTAGTCACACAGTTCCTGTCTAATTGGCCGTATACAAACCATATTTTGGTTCAAGGCTGCAATCCTAAATACACTTATCTTTAACATTATGGCATGCACAGGATTTTGCTTTAAGTCAAAGTAGCCCAGGTCAATTTCTTAAACTTTCAACAGTATTTAGTTTGTAGTCACATGACTCAAATTGCAATCCCATGCAAACTTCCTTGGTAGTGAATGTCAATAAATCAGTAGGATTTGTTTCAGAGTCAACATATTTAGGAATTTTAAAAATAATGTACCATTTTATCTCTCGTTTTAAACATGGAACTCAATGCAATCGAACACCATCTTGGCTGGACACAAGAATACATGTAGTTTTTTAAACTGTTTCTCCTTACCAGGATCTGGAGGATTCGGTGGCTGCCAGTGCGGATAAGCATTACCCCATCCTTGCGGAGCATATGGTGCTGGAGGGCCACTAAGGAGGAAGCGTATGTGCAATCATTATTAAATAGAAATGGACAGCAACAAAACACAGCAGCTGCAACTACTTCAGACTTCTAAACAAGTCACATGATTGCCACTGGTGCTTGGAGGGGCAGAACCCCGAATTTACAGCACTTTCCACACCCAGTGCTGGAACACCCTATTTCTGGGGAAAGCTCTAATTAGCTATTTGCAGCTGCAACTACTGTAGCAAATGCATTAAAATCAATCCTGGAAATGGGTTGAAACCAAAGGGTTATGCAATAATGTTTTTGGTTACTTGGTGAATAAAAATGTTAATTTACTAGCACTTAGAAAATGTGTTATTAGGCAGCAAAAACAAGTTCTGGCCTGAATTCTACTGATGTAGCCCTGTGTTTGGGAGTGGGGAGAGTGAAGGTGGAGAAGGGGTCTGCTCAGTTTTGTGGTTAAGTAGCTGTCAAAACAAAACAAAACCCGTCCCAGTAGCAAAAGGGTTTGTGATTTCTATTTGATACTTTTGCCAATTTATTTATAAGAGTAAGTTACTTACTGAGGTGCAGGACCAGGAGGGCCAGGTGTATAGGGAGCTGGATTGTAAGGTCCCATTGGAGCCCCAGGAGGCGGCCCAGGGGGCCCATGTGGCCCAGGGACAACACCATGAGGTCCATGTGGCACAGGTGGTCCCAAAGGATTTACTGGACCCTGAAAGCAAAGATAAATGACATGGATTAAGTTGCTATCAACCAACTGTAAGAAGAAGCTTGTTCCAATATCCAACTAATGCTCCTCTTCTCTAAATATTTCCTTTGGGGAAGGAATTCCAGCTCTCCATCCCTCCGGAAATCCTTTGCTCTAAAAAGATTCTGCAGTCACACTAACTTTTACAGAACTCACATTATTTGGTTTTCATGTAGCTTCTTGCAGTAATCAGTGGACTAAGAAGACATTCAAACTTAGAAGTACTAGCTCCTTGACTGCTAACAGTTCACGGGGTAAAAAGCAATTGTACTAGGGCAAATAGCTTGACATATTCGCTACTCAAATAGTTCTATGACATGTGAGAAAATGCATCAAGAATGCAAGGTATATTTTGTGTATTTCCCACCAAAGCTGCCAATTACTACTAGAATCATGAGGCAACTTACGCACAACTATCATAGGAGCTGGTTTCCTCTTACTTTACATAACAATTAAAGAAATATGGTTTTCCAGAATACTTACTCCAATCTTTTCTTCTATGAGCTGCCGAGCATAGTCAATCTGCTGTGGTGTCCCCCGGATGGTAAACAATTTCATATTTGGATCTGCATTTGGTGGGGGGTTTCTTTGCAGTTCTATTCTAGCACCAGATTGCTGGCTAATGCTCTTGATAGTTTCACCACCTGAAATTTTAAGTACAAATTATTGCACTGAATTTGTTGCTAGTTCCTAAAGAAACAGAGTAGGGAAATTTTAAACAAGTCTATGCTCCCCTGAAGAAATATTATCAGTCTAAAACAGAGTAAGACATCTTGAACAGATTCACTTCAGGCTGTATTTGAATTTGTGGTGGGAACCTTTTTTTGTTCCATTGTTTTACTGGCCCTATTCAGGAGGAGGAGGAGGAGGAGTAGTAGTAACAAGTCACACATTCTCTAGCTCCTCAAGGAAAAGTGACACTTCCACCACCTCAGTCCCAGTGCCTAATTAATGACAGTAAGATGTTGTCACACATCACTCAACACTGAATACAGCTACCCCATTTAGAAAATCTCAGTTTAAATGTAACAGAAGATAGAAAAGCGACCTGCCAAATAAATCGAGTTTATTACCTTTCCCAATAATTAATCCAGTTTTTCCAGTCGGGACAATGAAATTAAATTCTTGCAATCCACCAGGTGGTCCCATATTCCAATTGCCCTGACCTCTACCTCGTCCACGACCACCAGGTCCTGGACCACCAGGATTGCCAGCCTAGATTGAGACGAATAAAACAAAACAAAATCAGAAATAATTTGAAATTACTGCAACCTAAAAAGACTAGCAATTTTCCCTGTGTCAAAATTACAAAAATACGATGCATAGTGTCTAAAAAAGAGGAACAGTATTTTTGCAGATGTTGGAGAATCTATGTTACCTTTTTCTGATCCTTCTGATACCTCAAAGTCAGCTGAATGAAAAGCATTTGGGCCAAGTAACCATGGGGATGGGTAAGGCAGGGATAAGGGTTTACCTAAAATATGACATACATTTTATGTGCACCTGGGGCAGAGATGTGAAACAAAAAGCATAGCTACCACTAGCAAATGTCTGCCCAGGGTATACTGCTTCAAATTGACATGACGTGAGTATTGCTCTATATAGTGGGGTAGGAGAGCTGATATTTCACAACTGGCAACCAAAGGAGTGCATTTACCTCCATACCAAATAAATGGCATGGAACAGGGTCTACACTTAGCCCTTCTTTGACATGCTATTTTTTTTTGTATGAGCCTCTACCTACAATCTGAAGTAATTCAGTGCAGACATAGCTTTAGGGATACAAAAGGCACCCTGATGGACTAGACCAATGGCCCATCTTATTAAGCATCCAGTTCTCCCAAGGATCAACCAGATGCCTATGAGAAGACCGCAAGCAGGATGAGCACAACCACCTTAGTGAAAACCATGTCTTTGACAAACAACCTTACCTATCAATGTCATCTGTATTTCCCCAGAATGACAGCTTTCAGTCAACAATCTTTCTATGTACACTGCTAATCAGCAACACCATGCTTGGCAAACACAGTGTTGGTTAACCCACACTGAGGTGAGGCTCAGCATTTATCTATCCCACTGAAAACCATCAAATGCCACAAAGCTTAGAAGGACAAAGTTCCATTAATCCTAGAATTAAAGTGTCTCATGCCAGCAGTTATACATATGAAAGCACGCCCCAGAAACTGATGAGAACTTATTTCATACCATTAAATTATTTTGCAAAATATTTTTTCCTGAATTGCTGATTTCTGTAGCCTTGCAGTGAATAAGAATCACAAACAGGGACTGACAATTTGCAGAGTTGATGTTTTCTTTTAACCCAGAATGGCTATCATAGGTAGGCTAGTGGATATTTTTGGTTTCAAGGCTAGAAATTTGTTAACACAGCTATTTAAGTAACTATCACAAATAGTAAAGCTCCCATTAGCCCACTTCCTTTGAAGTTGAGAAATGTATTCAAATACATTTTAAAAGAAACCCAGTAGTATTTTATAAACCACTTGATTTCATAAACATTCCTAGCAGCTATGAACCAACCTGAACACTTCGAAGAAGATCCGTAATAATTTCTGCTGCATGTTGGCATCTGTCTGGAGGTCCTGTGATTTGGGCTATTCTGTCTGGAGTTGTTCCATCATCTGGAAGAGGAATGGAATATTAAAACAAATTTCCTTTAAAAATTAGGAGAAAACCTCTGAATTTTATGTCATGTACATATAGGCAGTTCACCTGGTTTGAACTGTATCCTCACACCAGCATCATTCTGTATCTTTTTAATCATTTCTCCATTTCTTCCAATTACAATACCAACCGCAAATCTTGGAATTGGTACCTTAAGAAGCAAAACAAATTTTCAGCAAATGTTTCAAAGCAATCAAAAGTATTTATCTAGGTTTATGTCTCAAACATACAAGCAACCCACAATAAAGCCGCCATGAAGAGGATTAGGTTAACAAAAGGTCAGAGAACAGTACGAAAATTAATAGCTGTAAACCAGGCTTCCTCAACCTCGGCCCTCCAAATGTTTTTGGCCTACAACTCCCATGATCCCTAGCTAGCAGGTAAGGGATGATGGGAATTGTAGTCTCGAAACATCTGGAGGGCCAAGGTTGAGGAAGCCTGCTGTAAACCTTTCCAAGCTATTTTTCTAACAAAATATTTAATACGACCCATAAGTATCATAACCACTATGTTTTAGAGAAAGAGTTCAATAATTGCCAAAAAGTTCATCACTAAGTTTATAGGGGCCAAAAAATGAAATAAAAATCTGTTATTATTCTTTTTATTTATATCCTGTCCTTTCTTCTGGAAGAATCAAGGCGGCTTACAGCTAAAAGAGAAACAGCTAAAAACATAGAGGGAAAAGTAACCACTAAAAAACAACAATACATTAATAGTATACACAAACATATCATTACAATAAAATAAAATATACTTTCCTGCCCTTTATTCTAATTTGAAGAAAAAGAAGTGCTCTGTAAAAGACACATTTCATAAAATGTTCTCATTATACTCACATCTAATCCTTCATTTCCTCCTATTCTTGAACCATATTCATTGCGCACCTCTCTAAAACCACCTTGATCACGAATTAGGTCCAAAACCATTTCCTTGGCTTGCTAAAAGAGAATGAGGTACAATTCAGATGCAACAATCTTAAAATTAATTCATATAAAGGAATATTATTTTTTAAAATTAAAATATCATCTTACTTGAACTTTGTAAGGATCTCCTGTGATTCTAAGAGGTTTGTCTGCTCCAGTGTTCTGTGGTCCATCTTGAATCATTACCATTTTTACACCAGCTCTCTCCTATATTCAACAAAATTAATCTGTACAGATCATGCAAATTTAGTACTTTAATACATTAGCCCACAAATTAATTTTTTTCAGCTTACCTGAAGTTGCTTTATTGTCTCTCCACCTTTTCCAATAACTAATCCTGCTTTGCTGGCTGGAATCATAATTTCCTGGACTGCATTTCCTGGACCATCCCCATGATGGAATCCTGGCGTAGGCCTTCCTTTTTCAACTATCTGATCAAGTAATCTCTTTGCAGACCTTGAAAAATATACAATTTATAATAGTGGCAAGACTGGGGGAAAACATAACTGGAACAAACAGCAGAGTCAAATGGGTGATGGCTAACTAGAAAAGCAAGTAATCTGCTTAACAGCAAATTAAAATCTGTGACTCTTTACAGTGCCCACAGCACTTCCATTTAGGAAGGAGGACAAGAAACATGTCATTGAGTATAAGCAGCATGGATGCGAAAAGAAAAAGGCAGGGCGTGCAGACGATCAAAAACACAGAACATGAAGATCTGCAGAATAATGCAGATAAGAGAAAGGTAGGTTAAAATGTACTGGATATACCTGGGGGGAAAGCTCAAACTATACAAGTTTAGCCATGCCTAAACAATGATCATTCTTCACCGAGGACACTAGAAAGTAATTTCTGACATAGGACACTATGCTCTTTAACATACAGAACCATCATTAAAAACACATCAGCCTATTTGAAAGTTTTAAGCAAACACTTACTGTACTGACTCTGGGGTTCCAGTTAACATGCAAGATCTTTCAGGCATGCCACCACTATCTATAAAATGGAAATAGTACAGAATTAATACTACTAAAGAAATCAGTAGCTAGCAGTTATGCATTAAAACTGAATTACATATTCAAAAGGTACTCAAAATCAATTGTCCAAAATGTATCCAAATTTTAACCCATTACTTTTTCCCAAATAGTTTCTCCTAAAGAGTGGAAAATAATTAAAAACACTGGTTTGGTTGTAACATTATTTGCTTGTGTTCCATACTTTTCATTAATAGAACAGGAAATGAAATAGTTACCAGGTGCAATCTGTATTTTGCATCCAGATTCTTGCTGTATGCGAGAAATCTGTTCTCCTCCTCTGCCAATTACTTGAAAAATGGACAAATAAACCAGAATTATTGCACGAATTGCATTCAGTATATTTTAATTACTTTATAGCAAGGTTACACTACTTACTGAATCCAACCATTCCATCAGGAACTTTGTATTCTTCTGTCATTACAGACCTGGGAAAAAAAATAACAAAAACTATATTGCACCTTGCTTGGAATTCTCTCAATAAACTTCAGAATTATATTGTGTTATCTAGTTCCTATTAGTTTTTTTTCTTTGCCAGATTTGTAGTTTTGCAAGCCTACAAATGATAGTAATTTTATCAGTAGCCAATTATTTTAAATGAATAGGTACAATAATATCAATACTTTGCATAGATTTGAATTTCATAATCACTACATGTGATTTAAGGTAGAGGTTTGCACAAGGACTTCCACTTATGCAACAGGATTTTACCTTGCTCTTCTCCATCCTGCATCCCCCTACATGCCTCTAAAATTTACTCTAGTTTTCCCCAATATGCAAGAGCAGATTTGGGGGCATGTAGGAGGAAGGAGAGGAAGGTTAAGCCCCACTGTGTGAGTGGAGAGCTATTCTGCTCACACAAGAACAGCAATGGACAATTTGTGACCATTTGCTGGGGATGCAGGAGAAAACAGGGGTCAGGTGGAGATGCCTCTGAGTCCACATAAATAGAAAATAGCCCTGTCTACTTTTAATTTAAATACAGAAGTCACAAATAACAGCAAATATATGAAAAGCATATGTAAAGAGAAAGAAAAGATTGGGGAAATGTAATAAAACTACATGCATGATATATCCTACAATGCAGGAGGAAATTCACTAATGAACACGTTCTTTTCATTTACCTTTTCAAATGAACCCTATCAAGCTGATTTAAGCCTTATTTCTTGTCCTTAAACATAATAACACCCTTACTGATCCAAGCTATTTTGAAAGAGGCAATGATTTCTCTGTCATGCTGAACTGACTGGCATCTTATTTTCAAAGAGATTTGAGTAGCAATGACAGATTTGCTTACATTGCCATCAAAGTAATGAATAACATCCTGATTCAATTTTAGCTGAAGGCAGTAAGAGAACGTTGCCTGTTTCTAAAATATGCCTTGAAGGCTCAGATTTGTAGCTCACACAGCTAAGCATCCAATCCTGTACAATGCTTGCTTAGAGGTACGTAATAAGCATAAATATACCAACTGTAAGGGAGTAATACTATACACATTAGCTGAAGTAAAGCAAGATGATGCAAGTTAAACTGGTGTAAAGTTACACCAGATCCAAATTTCCTGGCAGTTTTTAGGTCTATTCACAAGGGACAAATTAAATTTGCAAAGTCGATGAATTAACATACTGGAGTCATTCCTGCTTGGGATTGTTATATGCAATTTTGAAGTACTTTTATAAATTTTTGGGAGAAGTCAATATGAACAGTTACATCTTAGAAGAATCAGAAAAAAAGTATCCTACCTCTGTTGCTGATGCATGGGTGGCATCTGATTTCCAAAGGCTAAAATAAATATATACGGTAAACATTTTAATTCCATTAAATGCTCTGGAATAAATGACAACGGGTGCAACACACGGCCTACCATATGAACAATTTGCATATATATTAACTTTTTTCATCTCTCCCATTCAACCCAAAGTATCACAACTACAATTACAATCCTAAACCCATGTAGTGGGAGTAATCCTCACTGAACTCAACAGATAGAGGTGGGTAAGACTACACTATAATTATCTCACATGGGGGAAATACAGCACTGGGTATAATAGCTGAGGTCAGACAGAGCACCAAACCATGAATTGATGATTGAACAAGCCTAGAATGAGACAGAGGCTGAGATTTTTGTCCTGTCGTATGCCCAGTGTAACCATTTCCTTCCAACTTTGCTGATAGCTGAGAACAAGCAAACTATGACTGAGGCTTCACAAGGTATATCTGGATTGCATATCAGTATCAAACCCTGGTATGCATGGAAAACAGACATAATCCGCCAGCCAGAAAGTAAAGACAAATTATAGATTACTACCAACTGAGAAGAAATGAATTAGGTCAAGAATACAAGGATAGGAGAGCAAGGACCAAGCTCACTGTTTTTCCTACTCTTATGCACAACTTCCCCCCTCTCTCCCTACCCTTATACAGCGCATTATTCTGAAGTAAGATCAATGGAACTTGTCTCTTCAGTGGGCAGAACATTTTTGCCTTCACCTTTAAGGTTTCTTCTCCTATCCCAATGAATAAGTAGTCAATAAACACACATTAGGATTTTCTTTGTGTTGGGGTAGCACACTATATGTACTTAGGTATGAACAATCACCAACCCAAAGTCCTATCTCCCACTCTCTTTTGAAGCAAGGGATAGGAGTTGTATGTGGCTTGCCACTTTAGTAACAGATTATCACTGGCTCTATCCAACACTGCAGCTTCACTAGCACAAGATATTGCAGTGTTAGCAAGAAAATGTCCCTCTCCTGTTCCCTTCCACAAAATCAGCTCCAGAGTTTGGGGAACCCACTGGAGCAGATGGATGGGACAGAAGAGAGGAAACCTAAGTCCTGTTATGCCAGTGGAACCTTGATGCCACTGCATTTGATAGAATTACCTTCCCTCATTTTTTTGTTTTTTTTTACAGCAGCTGATACCCCCTGTAATAGCAGCATTGGATTTAATCTGTTATTGCTAGCCTTTCCAGCTGTAATACTTCGGGTTGTATTTAATGCTGCTAGTTCACTCACACAATGGCGCTCCTCCCCTGTAGTCCACAATGCACCCTAAAAACCTTCTCCAGAAGGTTGGAGAACCCTTCAGAACACATTGTAGGGAACAGGTGGGAGAAGAGGCAGGGGAAGTCAGTTGCGCAAGCAGAACTCTGCTGGCGTAGTGTTGGTTACAACCCATTATTATTTTGTATTTTGCTCCTTACCAATAGTAACTTTCTTTTTTTGTTAAGTATATTACTGATAGGGTCCATATTCAGCTGTTTAAAATGTAGGGCTCCCAAAAAGTAAAAGGAGATCCTATATGCCTTGAAAGATCACAGCAAATATTCAGTATATCGAGTTTTCAATTATTTCCCTTCCTGACTCCCAAAATCTGTTCTAGAGGATTGTGACACCTGTCCGCTACTGCAGTGTTTCCCAACCTTTTTTGGGCAAAGGCACACTTGTTTCATGAAAAAAATCTCGAGGCACACCACCATTAGAAAATGTTAAAAAATTTAACTCTGTGCCTATATTGACTACCATATTTTTCGCCCCATAGGACGCACCGCCCCATAAGACGCACCTAATTTTTTGGGGGGAGAATAAAGAAAAAAAAAAATTACCCTCCCCAGGCACGGGGCAGGCGCGGGGGAAGCCCAAGCTTCCCCCGACCCCAGCCCCCAGAACAGCCTGATATCCGCGAGCCTAGGGAGCCACACTGGTCTCCCCAGGCTTGCGGAGAGGTGCGTGAAGCCCGGGGGCGCTCTTCAGCGCGCACCAGGCTTCGGGATGCAGGCAGCTCTGCGCTACCCTCCAGAGCCCCGTGAGGCTTCGCGCTGGGATCCGGGGGGTGGCGCGGAGCTGCAAGAAGCCCTGGAGCGCAGGCAGCTTCGCACCACCCTCCGGAGCCCCGCGCGGCTTCGCGCCAGGATCCAGAGGGTGGTGCAGAGCTGCAGGAAGCCCTGGAGCCCAGGTAGCTCCGCGCCACCCTCCGGAGCCCCGCGCGGCTTCGCGCCAGGATCCGGGGGGTGGCGCGGAGCTGCAAGAAGCCCTGGAGCGCAGGCAGCTCTGCACCACCCTCCGCAGCCCCGCGCGGCTTCGCGCCGGGATCCGGGGGTGGCGCGGAGCTGCAAGAAGCCCTGGAGCGCGGGCAGCTCCGCGCCACCCTCCGCAGCCTCCTACGGAGGGCGCCCCGTGCTCCGCGCTGCTGGCTGCCGCCCGCAAGCCGTGCACGCGGGGGGGAGTTCCCCTGGGCGCGCAAGGCTTGCGGACAGCTGCGCGAAGCACGGGGCGTCCTCCAAAGGGCGCCCCGCGCTGCAGGCTGCCGCCCGCAATGTTTGGATTTGCATCCAGCAGGAGATGCCGCCGCCGCCCCGCCTCTCCCGCCTCCCTCCCACGGCACACCAGGCAAGGTCTCACGGCACACTGGTGTGCCGCGGAACACCGGTTGGGAAACACTGCGCTACTGTATGGAAGGTGAATGACGGATTTCTGAGGAATAAATGAGATGGTTCTATAAAGTGTAGTCTCCCAAGGATGAATCCTGGGACTTGCACTTTATACTTGTTCATAAATGACCTGGAGAAGTGAGGCGGCCAGGTTTGCATGACATCAAATTGTTGACTCCAGTCTGTGAAAAAGGCAAGCTCCATTCTAGAAATCATTACCAGCCCATATCGCAATGCCTTCAATTCAAATGCACTTGGAATAGTGTGTACCTGTTCACCTTCCTTGAGGCCAGAGGTGAGATGCACTGTGGAGTTTTTATTGTTCCTGCTGCTGTTTGTATGTTTTCATGATTATCTAAAGTGTTAACTGTTTTGTTTTTATATGCATATTTTGGTTATAATGCATATGTATGCCATGTATCATTTGGCTGAAAGGCAGGCTATAAAATTTCAAAAGAAAGTTCTGATCATCACAACTACAAAGGGGTATTGTAGAGCTGGAAGTTTCAAGAAAGGGCAACCAAGATGATCATGGAGCCAAAACACTGTCCTACAAGGGAACTTACAACATTTGAGGGTTTATAGCAGGCATAGGGATGATGGGAGTTGTAGTCTGACGGGCTCTTAAGGAATGCTGCTGCTGCCCAAGAGGAATGCTACCTGCTGAGGGCCTCTTTCCACCTGGCTTGGGGCTGGGCTTGACAGGCTTCAGAAGGACTGCAGCTGCTGCTCAGCAGAGGGTTCCTCTTTTAATTTTTATCTGTGTTGTTTTAAACAGACCTGCACCGTGCCTTGCTGGCCTTTTCCCATCTGGCCTGGGAGAGTGGAGTGCTGCCTGACTCCAGCTACAAAAACTGTTGAACAGATTCTTGGGCTGGAATATTGTTTACGGGGGGGGGGGGGGTGTTTGAGAGAGCTTGTTGCATTTATTAATATTATTGTTGCATCTTTTTAGATCTTATGATTTTAGATCTTATGATTTACATGGAAATTGTTTCCATTTGGTTGTGTACTTTTTGATGTGTTTTTATTTATTGTTTATGACTTCTGTGATGTTTGTAATTATGTACCATATTTTTCGCCCTATAGGGCGCACTGGCCCATAGGGTGCACCTAGTTTTTTTTTTTTGGGGGGGGGGGAAATAAAGGAAAAAAAAATCCCCCCCCCAGCCCGAGCTTCCCCAACCCAGCCCCAGAACACGCTGCTATCCGCAAGCTCACCAGTTGGGGACCCAAGTTTGAGAAACACTGTACTAAAGCAGTTTCTGTACTATAAGCACATTATAAGCAGTTTCTCAACACTTTTACATTAGGCTGCTTTTACTTCTGTGCATTTCACAATATTAACCAACAGATAGAGACGCCCTTGATGAATGACTAATTAATGTGCTTATCAGGCTTCCAGACTGCATTTCTCACACACCAAAAGATGTGCTGCTCTAACACAATAATTGCAACTATGGGTTGGAACAATGAACTATTAACAATGGGAAAATATAAACTAATGCCTTTCCACCGATACTTCTGTAAAGGTAAGTGTAAGAACATAGTTGTTTCACTTTTCTTACAGAGCTCTTTGGAATGAAGTATAGAACAGTCCTCCAGTGAGCAGAAGACATCTTCCACACAAAGAAGGAAGCTTTTGGATCTAACAAAATATTTCCAAAGTCACTATCTGGTCTTTCAGAAGGCAAAAATAGAAGGAAAAATGGTTTTTAGTAAATTCACCACACTCCTCTCCTTCATAATGCTACACATATGAGAAACCTGCTCTAAATTCCACAGCACAGTGTCAAATCAAATACCTACTGTGAATACACAAATTCAAATTGATGCAAACCATACTCTGAACCTACGTCTTGTCCCAACTAGATACTGTGCTCAATCCTTTTATGCTGCAGCCATATATTGCTACCTGTCTCCCAAGAACCATTAAAGAACCTAGCTGCTCTATAAGCTTTAATATCTCTATTCTCTATTATAAGCAGCAGACAACAAGGCAAGGCATGGGATTATACTATAATGCCTTTTAACAATTTGTCTCATTGGGTACATTGCTAGTTAAGTTCAGCATAGTGTTAACCAATTATTATGGGAGGTATTTCTAAACATGATGGGAAGCACACATTTCAAATGCATTGAAAGAACATGCTGCAGTATCTACAACATTCTATAACCCATTAAAAATGTAACCTTACTTAACCAGTTCAGATTTTCATAACTGAACTCTAAACAAGTCTGCAGGCTTATAATGAAACCAATTATGCAGTAAGAAATTTCCTGTTGACATTTTTACATATTTTTCTATTTGGGGTTTTCCATTAAAAGCAGCAGCATATTTAAAAACAGAACTCAGATAGTCTCCTTCCAAATCCATGCAAGCACCCACCCTATTGCTTTTGACCAAACATTGCAGAAACTGACATCTGCCCACAAAAAAGGGCTTTCAATCCCTTCCCTGTTACAGGTCCCTGCATCTCCTCAAAAAAACCTTTCCAAAGAGAAAGGTGTGATGTGAGAATATGTGAAAACCCTGCAGAGGCACCTTGAGCAAACAAACTTCTGATGCAACACTGAATCCAACCCGCTGTCTAAATTTACTTTTAACCTTTTTACACTGGATATTTGGGCCCAACAAGATATAAAACATGATTAGAAGATAGGATTGAGCAAGAAAATATCCTCAAGAGGGATAATAGAAAACTATAGAATGTCCTTTCCCATATTTCCTCTTCTACATAAAAGGCTGCTACAAGCTGAAAAGCGGTAATAAAATATATTGGATTAGCAGCTCACAAACAATCTATGGAAAGTTTACACCTGTCTCCTGGCTTATCTTTTGCATCACTTCATGACGACTGCTCAAATGCTATGTTCAATTCTCATGTGTTGGTTACTTCCAAGACTGGATTATTGCAACATGCTCTATGTGGGGTTTCCTTTGTGCTTGATACAGAAGCTACAGTTTAGTGTATAATGCCTTGTCGGCAAATAACACCTGTACTGAGAGATCGGCCCTGGTTGTCAATTTGCTACCGGGTCAAGTTCAAGGTGTTACTATCACTTGGGACCAGTTTACTTATGAGATTACCCTACCCAACATGTGTGCCCTTGATCGCTTCGATCGGCGGAATTGACACTAATACTGATGCCACATAATATCTGTTCTGCATTTGTATGAACTTGATCAGGCTTAGTGAGGCAATGCGTACACTTTGGAACTCCCTGCCTATTGAGATCAAGAAGGCGTCTTCATTGTATTCTTTTCAGTGCTTGCTAAAAACATTCCTGTTCAGAGAAGTTCACTCAGATGCTTAGAAATCTGAGGTAGTTTTATTCTGTTTCAGTATTTTAACTTTTGTGTTTTAAAGTAAGGTGGTATATTTTTCTTGATTTTACTGTTTTAGCTTTTGTAAACTGTTTTGAGTTTTCTAAACAATCAAATGGTGTATAGATTTTATTAAATAAATACATACATACAGTGGTTGTGGTTTTTTTTAAAGGGAGGTAAGGCCCAAAGCTCAGCAGCAGACCCATGGTATCTCATAGCAGTAAAGCCTTGGGGGCAGCCACTGACAGTTACAATACTGCTCTATGGATACATGTTCTGACTCATTACAGCATATCTTCCCGAGTAAAAAACCCTGCCAGCTATTACTTTTTAACTATCTAACGTTTGGTTCATTTCAAAACTATATTCCTTTTATTAATATGAATATTCTGTTTTTAAAAAGCAAATACTGACTGATTCAGAAAGACTCCTTCCACTCCTATTTAAGATAGCCCTCCCAGAAACAGAATCCCTATATACAACACATGTGGTGCAGTTTCAAAAGTGGTTTGTATTGCAGATCTAATTACTGTTTCTAGGGATAGAGGCACAAGACCACCCAGCAACTCTGCCGCATGCACTCAATCACTATGTGCACATGAACACTGGCATATCATAACTATGTATAGAATAAATACTAAACACTTGCTTTGACAAGTACACTTAAGAGCTGACCACAAGGTAAAAACATACTTACAATCATTATTTGGAGGAGCAACTTTCTTAGGCTCTGGTTGATCTGCAAAAGTAAGATTTTTTTAAATGTTTCTGTCACAAAGATAGGAAATTTAAATAAATGGTTGTTCCAGAAGTGCAAAATGCAACTTGTCCAATGCATTTTAGCATGTTTTTGAAATTTCAGGGAATAGGTCATCTAAACAAGGAAAAATCTTATATGTTTAACACTTGGTTAGTATAGTCAGGGGGGAAAAATGCAAAATACTTCCATTTATCAGATAAACTGTTCAAGGTTTAATAAGGCACGCAGGTTTAAACACAATATTACGGATGTCCAGGTCATTAAAACATAACTAACAAACATTTAGCTGTATTATTAGTAATTTGACACTAAAGCTAATGATGCTTCTGTAACAAAAACTGAAAAGACCACCATTGTGAGAAATAATCATTTTACAATTATATCTGACAACGACCACAATACTAAATAGAAAATCAAAATTTAAGATTCAACCAACACATAGCAATACAATCTCAATCTGGGAACTGTCATACAGACTTCCTAACCAAATACTGAAAATTTCACGGCATAAGACGTCAAAACAGCAGATTCAAAGCCACTACCATCACTACCATCCAAATCCGTTTAGTATGAGTGAAAGTCGTAGATAACTGATATCTGATAAAAATTACCTCAAATGTTTCCGTCCCACCCCATATTCAGGAATATATGATGAACCACCATTATTAAGTGCAGTAAAAGTCAGACACATATTCCAAGAAATATTTGTGTCATCCATTTCAAAAGATCCACTAGTTCATTTCACGTTTACATACTAAACACAGGTAATAAATAAAAATTCCTGCCTTTAAAAGGAGAGGGCATTCCCTCCCAGTGTGTTGTACTGCTCGGACTTGTCCAAGAGCCATCTACACATAAAATAAAAAGAATACATTACATACATCATTTGAAGCATCATTAGCTCATTTTTGAATATTAAAAACCTCACTAATAATAAAAGGCACTTTAATAAAGTACACAAGTACTCCTTGTCAAGAGCCTTAGAAATTTTCTGTAAACAAAATTATAATCCTTCAAAACCTACATTCTCCTCCAAGGTCAGAAACTGTCTTCATGAATTAAAAAAAATATTACACAATGCTTTGCTTTTAGAAGATAAACATATTAAACCCTGTTAAGCCCACAAAAGCTTTTTAAAATTAAAAAAAGCTACACATTTCAGTAACGTTTTAAAAACAAACAAAAGGTTCAAGCAAGTTAGAGGAAGACATTTCTCCAAATATTTCAATGGTTGTCTTTTTAATGAAATAACTACATTTTAAAATGTTGTGCCAGCACAATGTAACTTATATACCAAACCACCAGGTTTGAAAAAGATTAACAAATAAGCATTCTCCATATAAATTAGAGGAGCTGCTAATCCTCTGTCACAAATATTTCAACACTGTGCTTCTGATGAATTTTAAATAATACATATTTTACCTACCTTAGGTTTTTAGTTATGTATAAAGGATCATATCCATGTTGAAGATGGACTATTCTACCTTCTAACCAATAACCACGATTAAAGTAATGCAGAAAAGCTAAACTAACTCATGCACTCACACACACACTATCAGTTTATAATTTTTATAATTGAATATATTAGCGTCTTATATACTGATTGACAGCATACCTCCATCTTCAAGAGGTCTTTTTTGTCCTCCATAACTGTAATCATTTGAATTCACAGATGTTCCAGATTCATTTCCAATTTTTGCTGCAATCTGAAAGAAAAGCAAAGGCCAGCATATCAAGTTTTTTATTTTTTTTGACTATGTTGTAAAAAGTAGTGTGTCAAAGAATGATTTTTTTTACACTTGCTGTAACAGATACCTTACATCATACATTAATATGTTGTCAAGCATTAAATTACACTAAACACAAGTTGTCTAACTATGATTTTTGCTCTGGGAGGCCACCATTTGAAGATCAGGGCAAACCTTTATATTAAGATAAGAACAACTGGTGTCAGCTTAACTGGAAGAATCAGACATGCAAGTGTTGAAATACAACAGCAACCAATTATGTTATCAGATGTTAGTGTGCTTGCTTGTGGCAGGCACAAACACGCAAGCAATTTCTTATAGAACCTCACACCATATAGAAGCTAACAGTGAATTGCTTGCTATTTTGCCCAAATGATTAATTTAAAGGGAACTGGCTTTTAAAACAATATAGTGAGGGTGCCTGCCTAAAGTCAAAGTGCAGTGTTATAAATGCTCCTCCTCCTCCTCCAAGGTGTAAACTGGCCCCAAGCCAGTGTATAGATACTTCATATAGTAATTGCAGTAAATCTTCCAAAGGTTAATGTCAGCGAAGATCCTTTTGAAATATCAAGCAGTGCATGTGCTTAGACCAGTGCTTGGATTTAGTATGGGGTTGATGGTGGCTAATAAACTGCAGTTGAACACTGACAAGATAGATGCCCATGTCTAGAGACTTGTGTCTTTTTAAAAGCTATAACTGTTCCTGGATAGTCTGACCATAGTGACCCATGCTCTGGGTTACTGTAATGTGCCATGCATGGTTCTATCCCTTGAAGACAAGCCAGAAACTTAAGTTAGGGCAGAATGTAGCTGCACTCTCTCTCTTTACTGGACAGACGGAATGACATCACAGTGATTCTAAGAGTTACATTAGCGGTTTATTCACTTCAAAACCTATCTTTTCAACTCTAAGCAGCTCACCACCAAAATACCTAAAGGAACATATCCACCAATGCCAGGTTGCCAGGGTGTTTAGATCCTCCAAGGTGGGTTTTCAGTTCCATAACCAGGGCAATTTCCACTATGTGGTGCCATACCTTAGTTGTGCTGTGGTAAAGCCTTTGCTGTGGTGGCACTGCATACGTGGAATGCTCTCCTAAGACTTATGATTGGAGCCCAAGCAATCATGATTTCAGCACCTGGTCAAAACATACCTATTTGTGTCCAGGTATTTTAAAAATTTGGTCTATTTTAACTGCCTTTATTTGGTTTACCGTTTTATTGTTGTATGGTGGATTGTTTATTTTTTGTACTCTACTCTACCTGAGAATCAACAGATAAAAGGTAGATAATTAGCATTTTTAATGACTAAAATGAAATTAATTTATGATCCTGTAAATTTGGGTTCTCCTGTTTTAAAAACAAGAGCCCACATCATATTTTTTCACAAGTAAATGTGTTCAGTGGAACTTTTTCTCATCTAGTAGACCCCATTTCAGGAGAACTTACTTTTGAGTGTGTTTAGAATTGCATTATTTAATATCACAGCTGAAATGAACTACAACCTAATTGGCTCAGGCTTACATTTGAATGTTCCCTTCATCTCCCTCTTCCCCATGATTCTTTTTTTTTAGTTTGAAAAAAACAAGCCTGACAGTTCAAATCCTGTCTCAAAGCAGAAAGAAATTACAGTACAAGGTGAAAGACAAGTAGGGAGTGTGCAAACCCAAGAGTTTTGACAGAGTCATTTATGTAACTCTGAATTATGGCATGTTGCTGTATCTGAGCCACCTCAGTGTGCCAGATTTGGAATAGGAATGAGTTACACATTATACTACTCCTAGCTGCCCTTAGTCAAGATTTTGTTGTTGTTGTAAGCATGTATTAAAAGCACCCCCACAACCTTATTTGTTTTTAAAATGTACCAACATCTCATTTTCAAGATTTTCTCTTCAGCCACTAAGAATGGAAACTAATTTAAAATTATTTCCCCTTGTTCAATGTTCAAACAGCCATTCTGCATCTAAAAAAATGTGTAGAATCTAAAAAAAATGTGTAGAATGGTTCATCTATTTGTGTATATGAAAGAGTGCAGCTATAAAGAATCCACGTCTTTCTCTTTTTATAGATGAGTATATTCAGTCATCTATGAGGTAAGGTGGTAGTGTTGGGCCCTGAAAATTTAGCTTTATACTACAGTTTATAAATTATTTTGCCACTTCCTCTTCGTTAACAAAACTACAACAATTTACTGGATTCTGTACTATCCTCCTTGCCTTACCTCACCCACTTGCAAGGAAGAGGACTGTGATCCTGTCTTGCTGGAGCTTTCAGTTTGTATGAATCGTTTGAACAAAGATATTGGCAACTGCTGAAGGCAAAGAACTCTTAACCAAGTGCTTTCTTAATTCTCTTTGCTTTTATAAATTAGTAAGAGATGTGGTTCCTAGATCAAACTTTTCTGAATTTGGGCTGGTTGTTACATCTAACTGGTCTAAGTAAGTTGCTAGGAAACAAGAAAGCTTAAGGCAACTAAATAAATGGAAGGGAAGCATTACTGCTAAAAATGGCGGCAATTATCTTCAACAGTCAAGTAGGAAGCCAATTCTTATTCCCCGACTGCCCCAAACCACACAACCAGGACAGAGACACCAGGTCAGGACTGGTTGACAACTATAGTATTTCATATAACCTCTTACAGAATCGAACGGGAGTCTTTTTTCTGATTTAGAAAATGCTCTTATCTCACCTATACAGCAGGGGACTGAAAAAAATTAATCTAAAAACTTATGGGGTCATATAAAGTGATATAGAAACAACACCTTCTAATTATTATGTGAACAAGAGGAAAGGAAAGAGTGGACCAGCTACCTTATTAGTTACAATTTCTATTTTATAAAAGCGGTGTTTCGGGTTTCTCCGTGTCGTGCGACTGTGTAAAAAAAAAATTAGGGAAACCCTGAACTGTGAGTAAAAGGGAGGAAAAAAATATCCCAAGTAAAGAGGCGGAAACTCAAGTAAAAGGTGCCTCGGCCATACAAGAGGCTACCCCCCCCTTGAGGACGAGCGCTAATTCCTCCCTCATCCTGTGAAGTAGAAACTATTCACCAAACGATGAAAATCGCTATTGCATGAGGGGAAGGGGAAGACGGTCCTCGCGGACGAAGAGGTAGCGAGGTGGAAGTTGGGGAAAATCAGAAATGCCGACCCACCCGCCTCTTTCTCTCTGGGTTGGTGGTGCACGTAGAGAGGACGCCGCCATTACGGGAAGGCGGCTTGAGAGGGGGAAAAAGGACCCCGAGGAAGAAATTCCCTCATTATCCGAGGGATGGTGTCCCTCAAATCTCACTTCCCTCCCTCGCTCCCGTGAGGCGCGAATCGAAGCGAGGCGCCACAGGACTTTCTCTTCCCACCCCCTTTTTCTAGTCACTGAGGGAACTACGGCGCCCCTGCCCGAAAAGTCCTCCCAAAGGCCCACGGAACAAAAAACCGCCTCAGCTCCTAACGGAGGGAGCGCCTCTGGCGGCCTACGGGACGGCGGCGGTGGTGGTGGGGCGTGCCCCGCTCGCCCTTGCGCAGGACGCCGAGCGACGGAGGGGCGAATTGGGCGGCCTGCTTGAAAAAGCCTGCCGGGCAAGGCCGGCCTGGGAAGCGGCACCCATTGCCCGGTGCCGACGATACACACCTGCCTAGCCCGTTGCAGCGCGTCTTTAAAAGCATCATTGACTGCCCCGCCACCTCCTCCGCCTCCCCCGGGCGCGCCCGAAGAAGGAGGGGGTACCGTAGAGTAATCCGCCATGTCCGCTTCGCCGCTTCCTACCGCGCTCTCTGCCTGCCAAGAAAGAAAGAAAATGGCGGCGGGCGGGAGCCTTTCACATTCCTGCGTCGCATCGTGTTCAACGAGAGGAGGGCGGGGGGGTTGGGGAGGGGGAGGAGGCACGCGGCAAAAGCTCGCGAGACGTCTATGAAAAGGGCATGAGATTTCAAGGCGGGAAGGTAAAAAAAGGGAGGGGGGAAAGCTTTTGAAGAGGGAAAAGGGAGGAGATTATCGCGAGATGGGACGAATTACAGGCCGAGATTTGCAAATATGGAAAGGGGAGGGGTTGCGTGCTCCCTTAGTGGGCGGGAGAGGCTCGCGCGATTTCTTCGCGAGCGAGTTGCGGTGGTGACGTTTTAAGCGGGGTGGAGGGGTGGGCGGCATTACATCTCGCGATAGGTTATCCCCAAAAGCCCTCCCTCTCGCGCTCTTTTTTTAAAAACCCCTCCCCCGGGCGTTTTGACGTTTCTCCAGAGCCGGCGTGTTCGGACAATAGCGGAGGGGAGGAGGCGGATCTGAGGGAGTTGCCGTCGCGTCTCTCGAGGAGCGCCGTCGTCGCGGCCTTAGCCTCTGGGCCTGCGAGTGAGTCTGTCAGGGCGGGTGGAGTGAGCGCGACGAGGGCCTGCCTCTCTCAGGGGGCAAGGCGCGTAAAGTAACGGGCTCGGGCCGCCTTTCGCGGTCGCCTTATATATAGCGACAAACCCAAGCAAAATTGGTGGGCCTGCGAAGCGCAGCTAAAGTTTTGATAAACGTTGTTAAAACGAAAGAGAAGCGCACGCCCCTGAAACAAGCATGTAAGGTCCCGGAGAAAACCATGAATGCTGATTTCGTATCTGCCCATAACGTTTATATTAAAGCTTTTCCACCCCCTGTTCCCAAAAAACAAACACGTGTTTTTTTCCTCCAGGCGGTGATGTCTTAAATTTCGATGTGGCGGGGAGGGGAGGGGCAAATGTCTCGTGGGTTTCTGGTACTGATGCATAGGCCTCAGAAACACTCCAGGGACTAGATGCTGTCTGTAAGTAATAACATGCCCTAAGGGGCTTGCATCCGATTCCCACCCCCAAATTCTGGCAACAGTAGCCTGTGGGTGCTAGAAACCGTCGCTTTGCAAGAGAGTGAACTGCAGTTCCCAGGATTCTTAAAGAGGTGGGGATGTGCTTTTAAGTATATGGTGTGTGCTTTCCATGCACCATCTAATCTAATCCTTTCTAAATGCATTACAGTTATAGCATCTTGGACATTTTGGATCAGACAAACTCCTCGGGCTGTATCCAACTGGAATCCATACTTCCCCCCCCCCCTTTGTGCTGGACTGAGGGTAAGGGGACACATGTTTTGGGCGTGGTTTCTGCCTGCACAGTGATGCTGTGAAACTCCACTTTCAGCCTTTCAAATGTGCAGGTGGATTGAAGTGCCACTGGCAGAATCTCAGCAGCGCAGAGCCCACACAAGCTGACCCTATCGCTGCCACATAACAGCAATTTTTGGCTTGAGCAGCTCCAGGCCAGTGCAGCAATCTGCCTACTCCCTACCCTGGCTACCAATTGTGTAGCAGGGCTGCAGGTACAACAGGGTTCCTGCTGCTCTGTAAAGTCCCACCAGACAGTGAGGTGGGGGTCAAGGGTTTAAATTGCTTGCAGAGTCTTAGGGCTCATACACACTTACCTTTGTTCCACATTTCTAGGCACAGGTCCAGGCTTTCTAGGTCTTTTTTTTCTTTTTGCTCCAGTGCTTACTCCAAAACTCCCTGCTCTTTGCTGCTAAATCAGATCAAACAGCAATCTGCAGAAAACCCATATTTCCATTTACTCCAATTTGGCAGTAAAGATCAGGTTTTCCTGGGGAAAGTGGCAGGTGGACCTGTGCCTAGAAAGTATGGAGCAAAAGGTAAGTGTGGATAAGCTCATACTTGGAAGTAAATTTGGTGAATTCAGTAAAGTCTGTTGATTACAAGGGCTCTATTCTGAGTATGACTTAATTGGAGACAATCCTTTATCTTAATCTGTGATCTTAAACTTGCATGTCTAGTTTAGTATAGTGTTTTTAGACTGTTCTGTAGAATCTTGAGGTTGATTGGAAACTTAACGATTCCTCAATAAGTTCAGTAATTGTGTACAACCTTTGCTGAAACACAGCTGTTGTTGATGTTCCTTTGCAATGTATGACTGCAGGGAAGTGTGACACTGGTTCATAGATGACAACTGTGGGTCCCAAAGATACTATGTGGAAAGTGCTTCTTCAGGATAGAAAAGTTTGAAAACCAAAATCCCATTGGCGTCAAAAACTTTCCAAAAAAGTATATATAGGGTTGGGTTATATTATGTGTTAAGCAGGGAGAAATATATCCCAAAGAGCAGGGTCCATAGAAGAAGCGGTAACTTGCATGTTAGATTTATATTTTTTGTAAGACATACAGTTACACTGTTTTCCTTTTTATCTGAAAGATTTACATAGGGTTCACTAGGCAAGATTTAGTGAGTTAAGGGACTTAGTGTTGACACTTTAGCCTTGATATACGGTAAGTTGCACAATTCTCTCTTAATTCCTTGAACATAGTGATTGGTGGAAACAATGATATGGGGGTATTGTGCAGCTTTTTTTGCCTTCAAGCAGAGGAGACAGGCTTGATATGAAAATAACATTGACTCTGGGCCAACACATGATTAAGACTAAAGAGCAAGTGGCAAAGAAACTACACTGGACAAAGGGCGAGTTTAATGTAACAAAAACAACTACAGTACTTATTTTCCATAATGTTTCTAAACTGAAAACCTTGGGATGGTAAGATTTCTAGTATCCGTAAAGATTAATATTTGTTTAGTGACCTCTAGTGGGCATAGTCAGATGGTGCTCATATAAAACATCCAAAGAGTTTAAAACACAGTTTTTCAAAATGTACTAATAAAATAGCTTGCAAGCGTTTATCCACAATAAGAAGTTGGTTACATTTCATGCAATTTTCCCTGAAGCATAAACATGCTGGCAGTAACTGATGAGAGTTGTAATTCAGCAACATCTAGAGTTCCATACGTTCTTGATCCTGCTTTACAGCTTAATTTAGAGGAGGAGGAGCACTAGATTGTGCACTAACTCATGAATTGCATGTAATCACATGAAGTTCATTATTTCATGAAAGTGTTCTTGCCCCCCAACAAAGGGGAATAGACTCTTGGAGTGGAGAGCTGCTTGGCTTTTTCCCTGCTATAACAACATAACCCATGCTAGGCCTTCGTTTAATATTCCTGCATTCCACAGGAGGTTTTTTCGGGGGGAAGAATGAGAAGAAAAGCCTTTTGGAAAGAGCAACCATTGAATTATTTATAGTTGGATCTAGACAGGATTTTGTGGTAGCTGAACGGATGTTTCTGAGGCGAATCATCGGCAGTGCTTAAATCATTCTCTATTTTTGTAAATAGATTTAGCCAAGGTAAAATCTTGAGGGAAGCAATATAGTTGTACAATTTGTAAATCTTTCTGAGGATTTGCAGTCAGGTGTGGTACAACTTGCAGTACCTGGGCAAAGGGCTTCTTGCTGACTGCATCTAAATGGCTCATTTAATAAGCTGCTGTCAAGTAGAATGGGGGTAGGCTGGGGGTAGGCAACACCCCTCACTACTTGTTTGCAAGGGAAAACACATTCTTGAGTTATGAATACAAATACTGAATATGGTAGTTCTGGGTTGTTATGAAATTATTTGTAACATGCCATTTTATTTGTAACAGGTTCGAAGAAGGGCCTCTTGTGAGATATGGAGTGGCACAGGAATATTAAAACTCAAAGACTTAAGCAACCACCTTTAGTTGTTTCTGATCTGAATAGACAAATTATGCTCAGAGCTATGTAGCTTTCTCTTTCTGTAGAGCTAATGTGTGACATCATCCAGGGACGCGGACTTATAAAAAATATTGGGGGGGGCCCGGGAAAGCTCATGAATAATAAATAAGCTCATGAATATGCAAATAAAGTGGCGCCGCCTCCTCGTGAGCGAATAGGGGAGAGCGTGCTGCGCCTATTAATCAGCTCCAAAGGAAATTGGGTGGAGCTTTTGCTCGGGAGGGAGGGCAGGAGGCATGCAGCCCGCCCCTCCCTGTGCATTTTGGGCTGGGGGAGGGGCGGCGATGGCGCTCTGCTGGAGGGGCGCCGGAGATTATTGGGGGGGCTCCGCCCCCCCAAACGAATTTTTGAGGGGGCTCGGGCCCCCTCAAGCCCCATGGAGTCGGCGCCTATGACATCATCTGGGAATTTTACTTCAAAACATTTGTCGCTTCTGTCACCCAATTACCTGCCATGGATCTTCCTGCTGGTTAGGTTTAAGGAATCAAATCCAGTCTTTTCTTACTGGATTTCACAGCGCAAGAGAATTGGACTTCTAAGTCTTCTGTAAACTTTAACTTTAGCACTGTGAGTCATACTCCAATGTGTGGGTGGAGAAAAGCCCTTGAGAGTAAGTCTCTGGCATGGATACTTGGAAACACACTCCACCCCCCTGAAATACATTGCATGTCTACAGCTGAAATTTGTGCTGTTCCTTTTTTGGTAAAGTTTTGATAGGAATAATTTTCTTATGCTCTACTTGGGATTAAATAGTGGGATAGACACCAAGTCATGTTTTAAAGTACTTCTAGAAAGTAAATGAGAAGAGCTCTAATTATTCACTGGTATATTTTTGAGGATGTTTACCTTTTTCTCAACCCCATTACCCATGACATATTTTAATCTGCTGGACATTCATTGGCTGAATTTTGATGAAATGCTAAACTGGTTCAGTACTTTTAGTATGGCTATAAGGTGGAGTTTTGCAGCTTTCATTCCAGATTAAAGCACAGTTTAGTGTCGCCGCCCCTTAGATACTGGTTAATCTTAACTATGATTAGTTGAAACAAGTCAGCTTCATAAACTTCTATATGAAGCTGGCTTGTTTCAACAAACCATAATTAGGATAACTATGGTTTCCCTGTGTTCAGATGACATGGGTAGCTGGAGGAAAAGTGTGGGAGCCTGAAGGCTGATGAGACTTGTTCTCATAATATTAAAGTAGTTTCAAAATGTTGGTTGGCTTCCTTAAGAGTATCTGGCAAAAGATAGACCAGGAAGAGGAAACTTTCTTAGGAGAAGTATTTTACAGTATGTCAAACAGGAACCTGGAGAAAATGAGAGAAAATTCTTTGCTTTCAGAACAGAACCCTTGCACTCTGATCATGGATTCCATGCAGTTGTTGTGTCATGTTAATTTTCAGCTGCTTAGTGTTCAATATCCTTTGTGTGACATTGAACTGAGTGTCTGAGTAAAATTCTCCACTGATGTACAGTACACAAATAGCATGAGCAACAGCAGAACAGACACTTTTTCTATAAGCTTCAGTGCTCTTCTGTCTTTACTCTCTATTAAGCCCATCACAAAAGTTGGTTTCTATGTTGGTCTTGCCAAAAACAAAGCCAGTGAAAGAACCTAACTAGAGCTTTTACTTGGCAACTGAAAGACAAGGAGAGGATGTTTACACAAAATATTCCCTGCTCAGTTCCAGAACATGATATCCTGAGTTCCTTTCTCACAAAAATAAACTGAGCAGATCAGGATCAGAGGAAACTTCACATATTGCTGTGTGTAAGGATTGTGGTCAGGTAAGGTCCTGTTTTCCTTTACGAGAGTTATTTACCTTTTAAGTTAGGTGGACAGAACATAGCCCCTGAAACAGCTGTCCAATATGTATCCGTTTCTGCCATAACCTTAAAATTGCCAGACCGTATGTAGGATGAACAACAGCCACCATTTATGCTGTGGAAGCTGCTCATACCTTCCTGCTCTGGTCGTGCAGAGAAGTGTATAGGAAGAAGACTGTACTAGGATATGTTGAAGGCAGAATAATGGGGCAGGATGATAGAACAGAGGGAAGCACCCATTAACTTTTATTTACATAGGTTGGCAAAGTAAGATAATAAGTTTTTTGTAAAATCAGTTCTTGTTGCCTCTCTCTTTGCATACAAAAGCTATTCCTACCAATTCTTTACAGCAAGTTACAGTATGCTATATGATGCCTCACTATATACACCTCACCTTGCTTCCAGTAAAACCACCAGCCTTGGTTTTAAAGGCTAGATGTCCATCTAGACCAGGGACGTCCAACTCCCAATAGACTGCAATTTTTTTTGGGGGGGGGAGATCACTGAGGGGCCAAATATCTACCAGGACCTACCAGGAACACCCTGTGATCTACCAGTAGATTGTGATCTACCTGTTGGACATGCCTGATCTAGACCAATAGATAACTCAAATTCCATGTTGGGGGGGGGGAAGGCTTTACAAATAGAAATTTGTTTTTTTTTAATTTAGATTGACCTGTTATTTACTTTGAATTGTTCACACTACTTGAACTGTTTCGGTTAATAGAATAGATCACATCATTTTGAAGCCATGTTGTAGAAAATAGAATAAGCTCTTCCCTAGGTCTTACCTTCCTATTAACAGGAATATATTATTCAAACAAGCTATAAATACACTTTCTGAAGAAAAGACCAGCTGTATTTTCATCTCGTTTTATGGTTATATAACGTGTCAGAAACAGCAGCACAAATACCACCTCGCATGTAAAAAAAGAAATATACACATTACTAATTTTAACTGCAAAAATGTTTTTGATGAATATGTCTGTTTTCTATTGGTAAACTGGTTTGACATAGGGACTTGAATCTATAAAAGAAAAAGAAAGCCAAAATGTCACTTAATAAGTCACACACAGTTTCATGCCAACCCCCTTTCCCACATATGCTCGACTTACAGTGGCATCACTGCTTTTTGTTTTGCTTCACTCACATCTCTGTGGACTAAGTCAAGCAGAATTGTGAAATGGCTCATGAAATATTTTAGAGTTGGTAGGAGGATAAGTACTCACCAACACGTAATGAGGATTGCTCCCTGTTTATTTCCATGAAGAACCTTCTGGTGTAGTGAGAAGCGAGACTAGTGAAAGAAGAGGAATGTGTTATTTGGATTGCTTGTGTGTCCAAATTAACTACTAGAGTATGCTGTGTTCCAGAGCAAGGCGAAGGTTTCTGTGTGCACATCTATGCCCTTTCCATTCATATCTGACACACAGAGGACACAAGTGTCATTGTTGGCATGCCTGCTTTATTTTTGGTAAAAGGTTTCTAGGCCATCTTTCAGACAAAAGTTTCAAGGTAGCTAACCAAAAAATCAGTTGGCTTTAGTAGGATGATGTGGAGTAGGCAATCTACGAGGTATGAGAACTAAACAATTCAGAGGAAAACTATCTTGAGTTGCTCCTGAAGGCTATAGAAAATGCTGCAACACAAGTGTAATTCTGCTGGTGGTAGCCTATTCTACTTCCTCCCAATGTCTCTTGGCAGGCTTTCTCCCATCCTCATTCTTCCCCACCCGCCTCAAACATCCATCCATTCCCTTATCTGGACAGCTGTATATGAGAAACTTCATATAATTTCAGCTGTTGCACTTCAGTAGAATTTATCGGGAATGGAATGCTGACTGTCTGTTGGGGTGTGTGGAAGAAAACTGGGAGGGAAGAGAAATGCAATGGGGAGTGCTGAACAGGATCACTCTACACTGCATCTCTTTGTTGCATACCTTACATGCATTTCTTCAAATTATAAGAAAGCTGCAAGGGAGATGGGCAAAGGGAGGGATAAATTCCCCCAAGGACACCCCCCAGGCCCTTTGTAATCAGGACTGAATGAGCAAACCGTCTCTTGGCATGGAGCAGCTGTTGAAGGCAGGTTCCAAACTCTCTCTTGGAATTCCGAACATTGGTAGAAAGAAATTCTAGTTTTGATGTCAATGGCAGTTCTGTTATGATAAATTTAAAGGCAAAAAGATAATGCCTTCATGGATGTTCCAAGGCTCTCCTACCCCGAGACTTGGGAAATGATTGATTGTACTGTGCTATTCACCATGTCTGAGAATACAGGCTGGTTTTAAAGGTATCAGAATCCACCGCTTACTGGAATAAGCAAACAAACATAAACTAGAATGCTTGAATTTCACTCCAGTGTGAAATCAATGTAACAAACGGATGATTTTAACTGCTTGGGTTAGGCAGTCAAAAAAGCCTGGATAGAGAATATGTGGTTGGGTTCTCCCTTAACAGGCATGCAAACTGGCTCTCTGGGAAAAAGAAGAGTGAAACTATAATACATACCGTAATTTAAGTCATGGTCTTTTGTAAGTCATACTTAATGCGATCTAAGGTTAACTGAAAAGCAACTATTAGCCCCTATTTACTTTTATATTTTCCATGAAACAATTGAAATTGGCTCTTGTTGCTTCTGCTGTTTCAGCTACCTGATTGTACTGTCCACCTATATATTGGTGCCACCTGCAACTAAAATGACTGCAAAAAACTGACAGGTTGCTTTTTGTACCCTACTCTATGCTAGGCTTTTTTCCCAACATTTGACATTCCATGAGGAAAGCAAATTCACGCAAAGGCTTAATCTATTTTGTATCTGTCACTCGTGCCTAGAGGGTAGCATGGAAAGTGACTGGTGCTGCGAGGCAATCAATCATTCAGTTGTGTTGCTGCTAGAGAAGCACTTGCATTTTGCTTTTATAGGCTGAATGTGAAGAAATCAAAACCAATGTACTGGGAGCAGGAGACATGGCCTGTGTTTTATAAGATCTTTACTTTCCCATAATTTTTGTTGTTAATTGCATGCCATCTCTATCCTGTTAACCGATTCCTCACAACTAAGAAATCAGGGCGGCGTTGTTGTTGTTTTTATCAAATAGTTTCATTTTTCACACTTATTACTTTATCACATTGTACAAAATTTGACCAGTGTCTGAAATACACAGGTCCATGTACAAAAGGAAAGTGGGTGTTAAGGTTTTTCCTCCCCTATCAGCAATTCATTCAGATTCAGAGGGAGAAGGACATTGAACAGTTAACTGCAGAAAGGGAACACTGCAGAGTTTTGGCTGTAGTTAGCTTGGGAAGTGACGTCTTACAGCATTTGCTGTTCTAGAAAGAGCACAGACACGTAGTATAATTGGGAGGGCTCTGGGTGGCAGTGTCTCTACCACTGTGTATATTTATCTGTATGAAACCACCAAGAAGGGGAGAATGTAATAAGCAGTCTGCCCGCTGCTTACTAAAACTGCTGCTCTTGTGACTTCTGTTAACGCTTTTCCAGCAACATCGCAAGCTGAGAAACTGGACGCTGTTATATAGAAGGAAATAAACTTTGTGAAGGTTCAGTATGGGAAAGGATTATTATTCCGTTCTTGGGATCGAAAAGGGAGCATCTGATGAAGACATAAAGAAAGCTTACAGAAAACAAGCCCTTAAATGGCATCCAGATAAGAACAAATCTCCCCACGCAGAAGAAAAATTCAAAGAGATTGCAGAAGCTTATGAGGTGCTGAGTGATCCCCAAAAAAGAGAAATTTATGATCAGTATGGAGAAGAAGGTAAAAGAATTTTATGTACAGTAGTTTTAGCTTAAAATAGAAAGCTTTTTTTAAAATGTCAGATGCAGTGAGGCAGTTTTTAAGAAGCAGGTTTGAGCAATTAGATGTAGTAACATAGTTTGAGAATTCAAGACTTGCTTGAGAGTCTAATACTTCTATGGAATGTTCTAATTTAGGTTATTTTCTAGGTGAATCTATTTGATTCATCTGTCAAACATGTTAGTAGATACTGTTTAATTTATGTTACAAAAACTTTGCAATAGTGTGCTGAGTTTGTCTCACTCTTCCAAGCATAAAATGTACGGGTATAGTTTTATTAAAATAAGCTTTTATTAAAAATGTCCCTTCTCAGCCAGGGTCCAGGTGTCCAGACTCCAGCCAATATTGGCATCTTGCCTGGAAAGGAAAGAATTTGTCTGATGTCATGAAATACTAGGACAAGTTTTCAGCTTAATTGTAAACAGTGCTAAAGTGCCAAGGGAATGAGGCCCAGAAGCAGTGTGTTTAGCTTAAAACTATTATGTTAAAATAAGTTAGTTTAGATGGATTCTTAGAACTTTTGGAACTGGGTTGCTACCTTTATGGTTCAAAATCTTGTTCAAATGCTGACCTAAGCTGGCTTCATTACAATAACATACTCCCTCAATGAAACAAGACTTTTCACTTTATGATGGTCTATTGAAAACATGTGAACACTTAATTGATGAGCTCTTGATGATGATTGCTCTGAGAAGTTTGAATTCATCACAAATCTACACATTTCTATAAATGCTGGTTCTACTTGAAGTTTTAATACTGCAGCTCCAGGATCACTGTTTCTCTTGTAGTCATTGGACTTCTGTGAGGCCTTGAAACAAATGGGTTCCTTATTCTTAGTCAAGGATCAGCATTCTTTAGGCATTCACATGTTCTTTAGTCCCCTTTTCATTCCTACCTCCTTTTCCTAATTATACCAGTGTGTGTGTGTCTGCTTCTTTCCCAGCCAATATCAGCATGGATTTTCTACTCGTCCTGTGAGAAATTAAAATGAAAGGAATAGAAGCAGCTGTCACCAAACATAAAATCATGCCTAATATTTCTGTGTAACACATTAGATATTTAATAAGCTTATAAAGCTTTAAATCTTGGTGAATGCAGCAGCTTTACTGGTGCCCAGGACATGGGCAGACTGTGGGTCCAGAGCCCCTTTTTATAGCCATGGGACCTGGTGTCCTTTCAGCAAAACCTATCCATTATCTATTCTAGGAAGTGTCATTCCGCTAAGCACATGGTATGGTTTGTCACCCCGCTTGGCATTAGTACTACATCTGTATATGATCATCATGCTCATCATAGCTAAGAGACTAGGTTTAGACTGAAAAGCCATTTTAGCAACCTATTTTTATTTACTGAATATTTTCTCAGCTTGGAGAAAAGACTTGATTTTTGTTTTCATGGTTCTAAGTCAACGCAAATAAGATTTTTGAAAGTAGAGTTATAAAACCTTTCTAGAGATTTGTATTCTTGCATTTCTGAATCCCATCCTAATGTAAATTTGATTAAAATCCATGACAGCATAATTTCTCTCCTAACTTTGGGTACTACATCCCCAACTTGCAAACATTCATGTTCTTTTCTATTCTCTCTCTCTCTCTCTCACTCACACACACACACACACACACACACACACACTACCAAGCAGCAGATGACATTTAGAACCAAAGACTATAGAGTTATGGCCCACAGCCTTCTCATGCAGAGTCTGCTTAGGTGTTTTGAAGATAGACTAGAAAGCTAAGAAACTGTTTAAATTTAGGATGGCTGCGTAGGTGTAATTAATCACAGAGTGTAGGTGGGTGCCATAACGTTGGAAGAAATGGCAGGCTTGAAATAGCTGAGGTAACTGTCAGCATGAGTGTAAAAGCATAACTTCATAAGATCTCTTTATAAATATCACTTTGCGTAGCTTGCAGTACTTTAGCATTTTCTAATTTCTTGGGCTGTAGTCTATTCAAAACTTAGAAGTAGGTCCAATTAAACTCAGCTGGGCTTCCAAATAAATGCATGTAAGATTGGGCTGTGTTATATTTGATGTGTGGCCCAATCCAATGGTTGCTTCCTCGAAGCAGGCCCTACTGAAAACTCTAAAGGAAGTCCCATCATTAAGTGTATACAGTACATGATTATAGTTGGATATTGTGTGCATTTCGAAACCAGTATAATAATAATAATTTTATTATTTGTACCCCACCTACCCAACTGGGTTGCCCCAGCTACTCTGGGCAGCTTCCAACATGTATAAAAACATAAGAAAACATTACACATTAAAAGGCTTGCCTATACAGGGCTGCCTTTCAATATCTTATAAGGGTTATATAGTTACTCATCTCCTTGACAACTGATGGGAGGGTATTCCACAGGGTGGGTGCCACTACAGAGAAGGCCCTCTGCCTGGTTCCCTGTATTTAAGGTTGGCATTGTTAAACTTATTTGTACCCTTTTGTAGGACTGAAAGGAGGAGCTGGAGGGCCAGATGGGCAAGGTGGTACTTTCCGGTACTCCTTTCACGGAGACCCACATGCCACATTTGCAGCATTTTTTGGTGGTGCGAATCCTTTTGAGATCTTCTTTGGAAGAAGGATGCCTGGTGGCAGAGACACTGAAGAAATGGAAGTGGATGGAGATCCATTTGGTTCCTTTACTTCTTTCAATATGAATGGATTCCCAAGGGAAAGAAACACTGTTGGTAGCCAACCCCGTCGTAAGCAAGATCCCCCTATTGTTCATGAACTCAAGGTATCACTGGAAGAGATTTACCATGGATGCACAAAAAGAATGAGAATTTCCCGAAAACGGCTCAACCCAGATGGTAGAAGTGTCAGAACGGAGGATAAAATCCTCACTATTGATATCAAGAGAGGATGGAAAGAGGGCACCAAAATTACATTCCCCAAAGAAGGCGATGAAACACCTAGCACCATACCAGCTGATATTGTGTTTGTTATTAAAGATAAAATACATCCTCACTTCAAGAGGGATGGTTCAAATATTGTCTATCCTGTCAAGATCACCTTACGAGAGGTAAGTACCTTGTTATGCTTTGGAATGGTATTGTTAAAACTTCATGCCATCTGTGCTTCAAACTTGTTCACATTGTTTAACAGTCAAAGCTGAGTTGAACATGATAATAGCCCACAGATCAGGCTTCCTAAAACTCGGCCCGCCAGATATTTTTGGCCTACAACTCCCATGATCCCTAGCTAGTAGGACCAGTGGTCAGGGATGATGGGAATTACAGTCTCATAACATCTGGAGGGCCGAGTTTGAGGAAGCCTGCCATAGATGATGTTGTTTGATAAATATGTAGACACCCAGATAATGGGCGTGATTCACCTAACGAGTCCTGTCAGCGCAAGCCCTGCAGAAGAACTTCCACTTGCACAATGGGGCTTTCCCCTCTCCTCACCCCAGTGTCCCCTCCAACCAGCATGCCCCAAAATCGACTCTGGGGGAGTGTTGGGAGAACTCCCAGAGCAGCACCCAGGGAGGAGGAGAGGGGGATAGTTCCATCTGGCAAGCTGCAGTTGCTTGCATTGATGGCACTTCCACCATGGTGTAACACTGGATTCCACCCACTGTGTTGAATAGTTCAGCACTGTTTGGAAGAAGGATGACTGCTATTCTTTGACTTTAGCATGTCATAACAGAGTGTGGGATAAAATATCCAAAGCTAACACTGTACTTCATAATTCTGGTTGCTGCTTGTGCCATCTCTTGCTTTCCCCTCATTACCATTTTCTATTCTATTCTGGGTTGAATCCAATGCTAGTCCAACTTGGAGTAGACCCACTGAAGTTAATGGGTCTGGCTAACTCAGGTTCATTTACTTCAATGGATCTACTCTGAGTAGGACTAGTATTGGGCACAACTCTCTGCCTGCAACAAAAGTTAGTCATGTACTCAGTTGAGCCTACCTTTTAACTGGCTGGGATGTTTTCTGATTCTATTCAGTGGCTCTTTGCAGTATGAGGATGTGGCATCGATCTGCAGCATGATAGAAAATGTGTTGGTCTAAAAGGTTATTGGAACACAAATGCAGAAACCCAAAACAGACTCATGAGCAAAACTCCCACCAGAATGCCTCTGGGGGGTGGGGGAAGCACCCACCTACACTCTAATAAAGTTGCAGATTTTTAAAACAGCAGAGAAATCAGTGCTGTGTGGACAACAAGATCTGCTTTGCTTCTAATTTTGTAGCAATTGAGTAGATGGATACAAAATGGTACAGTTATGCAAACCAACACTTGGTCAATGTAAGCAACAGTAAACTTAGCTGAGATGGCACAGGTTTAATTTTAAACCAATGCTTTTATATAAATGGGTGTTAAATTGATGTATATGTACATTATGTTGCAGTTAGAACTAAACAAGCAAAATGAAATAGAACAAAACTAAACTAAACTAAATAGCACTATGAGCTATGCCTTATAATAATATTACAGATACTATGTAAATACCTCTCTATAGTGAATCTAAGCAACTAATATTTTGCTAATTTTATTTTGAATACAGCTTAGGCCAGGCTTTTTTTGTTTTGTTTCAAGTACAATTAGTTAGAGAGTCTGGCATTCCTAATAGGTTGGCTGACAGTGGTTTACTGGGATTCTTACATAAACACTGAATTCTGTGCATGTAGGACTCCTTCATTTTTGTCCATGGGTTGCAAAACGAGTGTAGTGCACTTATGCTTTGCATGAATAGATGAGGGATAGGCAACATGATGCCCTCTGTATTTGGAACTAAAACTCCCAGCCACCCCATCCACCGTAACCACTGATAACGAATGAAGCAAGTTGTAGACAGCATTATCTGAAGGGTACCATGTTACCTACATCTGGCTTAGATGGTTCCTACCTCAAGGAGAAGATGGATGGTGTGCAGTAGTGACCAGTGGGGCTGCATTGCTAACCTGACTTGCCAACACCATGAAGTCACTGCTGGTTAGCAAGAGGAGGAGTGGCAAAGCAGCAGGGAGTTTGGTATGGGTGCAGCCAATCTAATGCCTTTGCACTACACAGAGGTCCCCATTGCCTTGCCCCTCTCCCTCTTGGTATTGGGCAGCAATGCATGACATTGGGAAACTAGGTCAGCAAAGCAGCTCCACCGGCCACTGCCCTGCCAACCACTACTGGTAGTGCTTATATGCACAAGAAGCTCCATGTAAAGCAGGGATGGAGAGCCTGTAACCCTCCAGATGTTGTTGGATGCCAACTCCCATAAACCTGAGCCAGCAATGTCATTGGTCATATGGGAGTGGTCACAGGTTAGCCACTTCTGCTCTACGTAGTGGGAACTGTTCAGCTATGTTTGCTTATTGTTTTCCATTTACAAAACCATTTATAGTTATGAAATGCATACCTAGGATTGTGCTGTAAGAATTTGGGCTACACAGGAATTATTTGTATAAGATTCAATCTCTGCTTCTGAAAATTACACCCTAGGCTTTACTTGAAAATACGTTTACTTATAGTGTTTCTAGCATTACCAATACACCCAACATAGAGCAACAGTATAGGATGTATAATACTGTAACTGTATTTCTAAGTTATATTTCATAGATACTTATCTTTCTTTAAGTGCTTTACAAAAAAAATAAATGTCCTGCTGCTTCTGATTTGGCTTTTTAAACTTATTTTTTAGGCCTTGTGTGGCACCTCAATCAATGTACCAACAATAGAAGGTCGAACCATACCTATGACAGTAAATGAAGTTGTAAAACCTGGAATGAGAAGAAGAATTATAGGATATGGCTTGCCATTTCCCAAAAATCCAGACCAACGAGGTGACTTGATTATAGAATTTGAAGTAACCTTTCCAGACAGTATAGCTCCAGCATCAAAAGAAGTACTCAGGAGAAATCTTCCTGTTTCATAAAACAACATACTTTTTTGAACTTGTTCCAAAAGGACACTGAAAATTGAAGAGTTGAGGTTTATGCTGTAAAAGTGCAATCTATAACTGTGGAACTTAACTTTTTTGTGTGTGGATTGGGGAGAGAGTTATGCAGTGCTGCATGAGAATAGGAGGCAAAAGTACAAAACACTTGCAATCAAGTATGAAGCTAAAACCATTTGCTGTGTATTGGATTTTCCTTTTCAAAAAGTTTTATCCAGTATTTGCTTATAAGTAAGATGTATTTTTGTGTGTGTGAGGGGGGCACTTCTGTGCATATCTCATATGTACAGAATCATGAAGTGCTTGCGTTTTAAAGCACTTTATTTCAGATATTTCTTTATCATCTATGTGAGATTATTATATTGCAGGATCAGAAATTGGAATTCGTAGTATGAATCTATGTAACGTTTGCAATATTTATGTTGTGTATATGCCAATTCGCTATGTTTACATTGCACACAGCAGAAGGCAGGAAATCTCACTTGAAATGTTCATGAGCCTGAAGGGTAAGTTTTTTTCCTGCATTGTTTTTGGATTCCTTTCCTCAGTATTCTACAGATGCTTGCCTAACAGAAAATTATATGTCTCATTCCACAGTCATACATATATGTACCATGTCATGAACATGCTCCAAACCAGAACACATAGTGGGTGACTCAGTAGTTGCCAAATATTCAGGGTCTAACCCCTACCCTACATTTACGCAGCCTCCACTCCTATCCAGCCCAGGCCAAGAGACTCCCAGACTTCACCTGACGTTCCTAAGATTCCAAGGGAACAAGGGTCAAAGCAATACCCTCTGCTGTCTGACCTTATTCTAAAAACACAGTACCTGGTAGGGAACTAAGCAGTCAAGTATTGGATTTAGTACCAAGGCATTACCTAAATAAAGCTCGCGTGCGCACGCACACACACAATTCCGAAAGGTGGTACATTTATTTGATAAAAGGAAACATTAGTGAGAACAAGTATATTTGGGCAATTATGTCAGATCAAACAAACTGTGCTAAACCAGCCAGTTCTGTACATATCAATAAAATCATTGGCTTCGTAGGGACAAAAGCATACAACACAGAGCAAGGTAATCCAAATATGATCCGAAGGTGGGATGTTCCCTGCCACAAGTAAGGGCCTGCTTTCTTCTAAATGCCGCAGCAACCTAGGTAAATCTTGTTAACCTGTAAAAAGGCCTCAAGACCCCCCCCCCAACATTCTGGCACTTTAGGCTACATGCTTTCCCACCAAACCCAGCTCAAGCAACCATTCCAGTCAACAAGCTCACAGCTGATTCACCAGATTTCCATATGGAAAAAATGTGGCAGCAGTTGCTTTAATGTCCATTAAAACATATGTCCAAATTGTGGAACCTGCCTGCTGAGATAGCGAGTCTATATAGAAGGGTTATCTGAACAAATGTCAAGGGAATGGGCCTATTTCAAGCACATTAACTTCACAGTCTTTCACAGTTTAAGCCCCTTGAAACTTCTGTGGTCAGTAAATTAGTAGTACTCGGTCCCACTTAAGAAGTTGTAAGCTCGTTCTGAATTATCTAAATGAAAGGAAGAAAATGCCCTCAATTATAGTTTTCTAAAAGAAAAAGAATCTATAGGGCTGGTACCCTTGGATGGCAAAAAATAACAAGTAAACATCCTTTTAGCATTTGTCTCTAAACTTGCTGCAATATGTTAACATCTGAAAGTCATATTCTTTAAAGAAAATAAATGATTTTATGTACGTACAAATGTGCTAGGTAGCTGCACTGTTAACCAACAGGGTAATTAACAATTTTGTATGCTTTTATGTAGAAAATTAATTATGACACCCATTCTCTAAGCAGTAGCCATCTATAATGCAGAATAGTTATAATGGGGGGGGACCATTCTAGAAACTACCCATTTGAATGAATTGGCAACATTTAATAAGATTTTATACATGGGATATGAAGAAATATGTGCATTCTGAAAGAAGGAGGATCCAGAACTTGCACTCGTGACACTAGCACTCATGACACTAAAAGTGAGAAAGTAGAAAATGGCTGCTTCATTCTTATGCATTTACATATCATTTATGATCTGTATTGCATTTATATGTTTTTTAATTAAATATATTGTTTCTAACTTGTGTTTTCTATTTTTGTAATTTCAACTGAGCTGGGTGCGTGAGAGCAAATGCATGTAATTATTATTTATCTATGACTTTATTGAATTTATATCCTGCTCTTGCTTCCCAAGGTAGGAGACAACAAGGGATAAATAATCTTAAAAACAATTCCAAAATAGATGCAGACTGGGAAGGAAATCAACTTAAATGACTTTTTGAAAAAGGAATGTGTTTCTTAGGTGCCAAAACCCAACAAGGATGACATCTGGCTAATACTTAAAGGGATGGAATTCAGAAGGGTAGATGCCACAATGATAAAGGCCCAATTCCTATTGTGTGGAACAGAGCTCCTGTTTGATGGTATCTGCAGGAGGCCCTCACCTGCTAAGCACAGTGACTGACTGTGTGTACAAGGGGTGAGATGGCCTTTCAGGTACCCTAGTCCTGAGCTGTGTAGGGCTTTATACAGCAAAACCCAGCACCTTGTACTTAGACCAGAGCTTAATTGGCAGCTGCTACAATTCTTTCAACAGTGGAGTAACGTTTTAGCAGTACCTTGCCCCAACGTGCAGCCAATCTGCCACCTTTTGCAACAGCTGAACCTTCTGGGCTAACCTCAAGGGCAGCCCCACATCAAGCACATTGCAGTAATCATGCCAGGAGATTACCAGCACACAGACCATGGTGGTCAGGCTACTGCAGTCCAGGAACAGCAGGAGCTGTCTTACTAGCCAAAGCTGGTGAAAGGTACCCCTAGCCACAAGGCCACCTAGGTCTCTAAGCATCCAAGATGGATCCAGAAACACCCCCAGACTATGAACCTCCTTCAGGGGAAGTACAACCCCATCAAAAACAGGCAATCACCCAATTATCTAGACCCAGAAACCGTTTACTCACAGGACCTCCATTTTGCCAGGATTCAGGGTCAGTTGGTTGGTCTTCCGCCACCTCAGTAGAGTCCAGGCACTGGTCCAGGGCTCTCAGGTGGGTGTCATTGCCATTCTAAGAGAACAAGGTAAGCTCCGGCACCTCTTTTTATAGAAAAATAGCACTGCCTGTAGTACAACTGCCAGGGGCCTGGAAGAATAACCTAATGCTATTATCTGAAACCAGCTTTGAAGATGGGATCCGAACCACTGTAAAACAGTGCCTCTAATAGCCATCTCACAGAGTCAGCTCAGAAAGATACCAAGGTCAATGGTGTCAAAAGCCGCTGAAAGATCAAGTAAGAATAGGCTTTTGATACATTGACCATGGTATCTTAAGCTAACGTTGAAAGATAGGTTATAGGCTTGTACTCCCCTGTTCTCTTCCTGATAAAGATGATCCATCAGGGAAGCCAAAGCTGATTGAGTCCCATAACCAGTCCTGCACCCAGACTGAAATGGGTCAAGACAATCTGTTACATCCAAAAGTACTTACAATTGGTGCACAACAACTCTCTGAATCATCCTTTCTAAGAAGAGGATGGACAGCATGCAACTGGATGTGAGTTGTCAAAAACCAATGGCTATTTAAGAGTTTGTTTAGTAAGAAACTATAGCTGCAATATTAGGACTGCAATCTTATGTACACTTGAAGAGTAAATACGCTTTTCAACATTCAGTAGTAACCCCCTCCCCTTTTTATATGTTAAAGTTTAACAATAAAATAGTTCAGAATCCAAGAGAAAAGTAGATATAAGTAATAGTACAATCTCTAGAACACATGAAGACTAGTATGTGTTAAAGGTTTAATCCTAGGTAAGATGATCCTTTAGATATGTGGAATGCTGGCCATTTAGGGCTGTAAATGTCAAAAAGAATACCAATAGGCAGCTGAGCCAAGATCAGACTTACGTGCTTTGTGTGGTCTGCTCCTGTCAGAATAGGCTGCAGCAGTAGCTTCCAAACAATCTTCAAGGGCAGCCCAATGCAGATCACATTACAGTATCCATAATGAGATGTTACTAAAGAATGGCTAAAATTCTGATATGAGAGAACGGGATATAATTTGCTTGCCAGCTTAAAATGGCAAAAGGTGTACTCCTTGCCACAGCTGTCAACCGAGAAGCACCAAATCAGAGTTGAGAGTCACTCTATGAATAAGAAGTCGCTTTTTGAGTGGGAATTCGACTTCTGGAAGAACAGGGAAATTCAGTCTCCCTGCATTGCTGCTCTCTGTCTTATCTGGATTCAGGGAATCTTGCTGTTTTTTATTTGATATAAATAGATGTCAACAGCACATAATGCTGCTGTCTACACTTATGTAATACATCTCTTTGGTAAATGTACAATAATGTTAAATATAATGTTAAAAAGCAGAGAGGCTAAGATAGAACCATCTGGAATCAAACAGGAAGGAAGGAACAGAGTCACTGCAAATCGGTTTATCCACTGTTGGTTTTCGGAATTCAAACGCTCAGCAGAAATTGAACTTATTGAATCCCTGCTGGAGGAGCACACTTTTGCCCTGGATATAATCACAATGAGGCTATAAGTTTAGCAAAATAAAAAAGCTATGTTTATTATAAGAAATGCATGATAGGAAAGATCCCAGTTCTATCTGACTTTGGTAGATATGCCTTGAGCCATGCTTGCTTTTGCAACTCAGCAGGAGAGATGCAGAAAATATTTCCTTGCTGGAGGTAAGGATAAAGAAGGAAGTAGGAAATTTGTTAAATTTGGTTAAAAAGTGTGACACTTACTTTAACAACTTCATGGTGAGTACTGGCACCTATTTTTCTAGAAAAGAAGCACTGCTTAAGAGCATCATTTTAGCACCCAAGGGAAGGACAACAGAGGTTAGGTCAGAAAGGACCGCCTAGGAAACTTGGATGTTCCTATTTCTATGTACTCTTTCCCACGCACACACGTTAGCCTCCAGTATAAGCTGAGTTGCACCTCAATACTTCCTACATTCCCAATTGTCTTAGCTGGTAAAAGTGTGTCAGATGCTTCTGAGTTTGTAAGTTAATTAAGAAGAGCAAGCAGGTTCGCATTCTCGTACAGGAAGAGGCACAGACAGTTCATTAGGGTAACTAGTTGAAGAATATTTTACATTCTGACTGGTATGGATCTAGAAAACCTGATCCAAGTGTTTCTCGGAACTAGGTCTCAGCATTCCAGGTGCCAGGGATTGGCTGAGCTGAGAAAAAGTGAAGGCAGAGAAAGATCTCTTTTCCTCCCAGTCATAATGACATAGCTGTCACCACTATTGCAGCACCCACAGCTGCGTACGAAGGAGTTGGAGGTGCTGACAGTAGAAATCTCAGAGAGAAATATGCATATATTTCTACAAGCTTTCTGCAATGTTGCTCATAACTATTGTCCCCAATCTGAATCGAGGCTTGGATGTTTACTCATCACATAGACCAACAGCCGCTGGATGCTTTCCAAACTTTTCATGTTGGTGACACACTTTTTAAACATGCATTATTTTGTGATACAGTAATTCAGTTTTACTAGAAAACCGGAGGTTCAACTAACTCCTTTCCAGTCCCAGGAGTGAGGAGCTTTTGCGTGACACTGCAGCAGACACACTAACATGTCACGACACACAGTTGGGAAAGCTCTGCTGTAGACTTTCCAGGCATAGATAGCCAGGAAACAAGATACCATTGTGTCTAACTATTCCCCATCACCTGCACATAGCAGCCAGTGTGTTGGATTAGGGGGCTGTGTTTGTAGGGAAATGTGTAACGTCATGACAGTGTCTCATGCATTTGTTTTATTGGATGTTAGCTAGGGAAATGCATGGGTCAGCAACGCTCATTTATTTAGCTAGGTCTTTAATTAATGTTTACTTAGGTCTTTAAAGCTGCCAGTAGTGTAGTAGCTTGGACAGGGCTCAGCCAGGGGATGCTGTCTGTGAAAGTCTGAGGAACCCTCAGTACCCATCAGTTGTCTGTCAAGGGAATAATATTTATTTCTGCTACCACAAAGAGTTTTTCCTGTCCATTACGTGGTGACAAAGCTGCGTTCCTTACTCAATTAGCCTGTAATTAAGCTTAGTACCAACTAACTGAAACAATTGCATATTCCTTCCTTCCCTCCCCTTTTTTTGTTTTCCCTCCATCAAACATTAGAATTTAAGCTCAGTGGGGCAGGGAGTGGGGCGATTGCACTCTGTATAACACTATGCACAGTGATTGTTTCACGCAGATAAATCACTGTCTCTTATAACACACAATGAACTGTAAATCTGGGCCTGATTAATTGTTTTCAGAGTTTATGTAAACATTAAAGTGGGAGAATGCAAAATACTGAAATTTGTAAAGTAGTCCTGTTGACCTCTAGTATCATTTATAGCAATGTCCTGAACAGTCAGTGTAAATAATTTATATAAATGAAGTTTGGCAAGAATCCTTGTCTCCATAATCTTATATCCTTAATAGCATTTTCTATTGTGATCATCTTGATCAATATTTATTAGTCACCATGATGTGGTTTAAAAGTGTGTTTCATTTTATTGCTTCTAAATGAAAACCTAGGAGAGAGCAGACCACAAGTCTAAAGTTCTTCCATTTCAAAATGTAGGTGGATGCTTTTTTTGAGCACTTCCCTTCTTTTTTAAAATGACCTAATACATTTCCTTTAAATAGTTTTCCATTAAGAGAGATATTACAGTTAGTGTATATTATACATATTGTATATTATATGAAATCAAGTTACAACCTGGCTATTGCCTGGATTGATTTACCTGTTTCTCTGTTTACCTTGACCTCAGCCATTAGGTGAGTTGCTGTGATTTGTTCATATAATTTCACTACAGTACTGTCTGCCAACTTTCTAGTCCAGAACTTTCTAGTTCTGTAACAGAACTGTAAGACAATAAGCGGTCTGTGTGGTTAATTGTGAAACGGGTGCTAGAGGCAAGGAGTCTAAGCAATGGGAGTCAAGAAGATCTAGATGCAGAGTTTTGGGCTGAAAGCGGGAATATATTAGTACAACCTAATTGGCCACTACTGTGGTCCGCTTGTATGCAGAATTTGTTTGAAATAAACCCTACTGGTATCCGTAGACAGGATGTAAGCTTCATGCTCAACCCTATGCGTGTTTTACTTGGAAGTTCCAAGTGGAATGGTTGTGCAGTGGCAATTTTAGACTCTGGACTTAAATCACCTTATGATTCCTTGTGACACACATAATTTAATTGCAATTTAAGTGTTCATTTATTTCTAATTGTGGAAAGCCAACCAGTGGGGTTTTGACCTTCAACTGCAGATTGACATCCTATGCCCTTTTAAAATGTGGCTTTTTTGGGTGGGGGCGGGGATGTGTTATTGGGTTCTTGTTTTTATTTTGATTATATATATTGTGGTTTTTAAGTTGATCTTTTCTGTGAACTGCCCTGAGACCTCTGGGTATATGGCGGTATATAAATTCAATAAATACTACTACTACTACTACTACCAATCTGCGCTGATGGCACCCCTGAAGTAGCCTCTGGTCCACAAAGCAATATGCAGCACCAATCCTTCTTGTCTTTAAACTACCTAGGACTTGTGTTGTTCTGTTTCGTTTCATTTCATTGCTGAAATTTATTTATGAAGGACATCTTGTCTGCTGCCTAGCCTGCCAAGCAGTAAACATTTGCCCACGTTGGGCAAAAAATTGCTGCATTGCAAAGGATCGGACTAGATTCTCATCATGGTCATAGGAGCCAAGTCCTAGGAGACCTCCCCAAATAAAATATTTGAGGTGGCTGGGCCCTCTCAAAGTTGATGGGCATTGCCATTCAAATGATGTACAAGTGCCGTGTCATATGATCAATTATGTGGGGCGGGGCTTACCTGGCTTACCTGGGTACCCCCAAATATTTTATTCAAGTTGGCAACCCTGCTCATGGTCCCTTCCAACTATACGATTCAGGTTACCTGGGCGGGCGCTGCCATCTGAAGCACAAACTGCAGAGAACTGAGCCAAAAATGTATAAATCTAAATTAAATGCTGGAAATGTAAAGAGAAAGAAGGTTCTTTTTATCATATGTGGTGGTCTTGTAGTAAAGTTAGGGCTTACTGGGAAATGATATATATAATGAAATTAAAAGGATGTTTAAAATGATGTTTGTAAAAAACCCAGAAGCCTTGGGGGGGGGGATTATAGGGACAGAATTAAAGGGACGCAGGTGGCGCTGTGGTCTAAACCACTGAGCCTAGGGCTTGCCGATCAGAAGGTCGGCAGTTGGAATCCTTGTGATGGGGTGAGCTCCCGAGCTCCTGCCAACCTAGCAGTACGAAAGCACGTCGAAGTGCAAGTAGATAAATGAGGAAAAGAGAGCAAAAAAATCATATAAATAAGATAAAATCTAATGGCAAAATCATACGTGGTGGGATTGCAAGATTATAAAAAAAAAAATTTAAAAAAAATTGGGAAATGATAGCAGCTTAGTCATGCTGGCCACATGACCCAGAAAAACTGTCTGTGAACAAACGTTGGCTCCCTCGGCCAGTAAAGCGAGATGAACGCTGCAACGCCAGAGTCGTTCGCAACTGGACTTAACTGTCTGGGGTCCTTTACTTTTACCTTTTTTTATAGGGACAGAACTACGTAAACTGTATAGAAACTTATTCGTGTATGCAACTACAGCGGCAAGAATGTTACTTGCCCCAAAACGGAAAGAAGCAGAAGTCCCAGCAAAGGAAGAATGGATACAAAAACTTATGGAATATGCAGAAACTTGCCGGAAGAGTAAGAAATCAAGATAACAAACTTTTTTTTAAAAAATAAAAGAATGGAAATGGTTTATTGAATATTTACAGATAAATTGCAAACAGAGAAGAACATTGGCAGGATTACTGTGATAACCTGCAGTTTCGTAAGAGTATATATTTAAAGAAGACGAACAAATGAGCAAAGTAAGTTAATTTGGATATGCAGAAGATATTAAAAACAAATTTAAGGAACCGCAGGAAGGGGGGGGAGGAAGTCAAGTTTTGAAATGTCAAAAGGATTGTAAAATCAGTGAAATGTATAAAACTGAAATGTATGTATGTATGTATGTATGTATGTATGTATAAATAAATAAAGAGAGAAGTGAGATGCCCCCGGAGCTTACCCTGATTGACTTCGGATGGTTTAGGGTTGCAGTGCTTTGGTGAGGACTGCAGCCTTAAAGGGGCAGGTACTCTTGTGTGCTCAGCGTCCGTCCATCCATCCCTGGCGCGGCTCTAAAGCCAGGGCAGCGGGGGGGGGGGGTTAGGTCCGGTGCTGCGAAAGCGCGCGCAGGACACGCGCGGTTGCTCTCCGCTGCCCATTGGTTGCCGGGTGCCATCACCTGCCCGCCGGGTGGGTGAGCCGCGAGGAGATGAGCGCACAGCCCTGAAGGGGCAGAGTCCAGGCAGCAGGGCGAGGAAAGAGCAGCAGCAGCAGCAGGTGGTGGTGGCGGCGGTGGTTCTGCATCTCTCCCCCCCCCCCGCCCTCTCTGTGGCTGCGTGCAGGCGCGCGGGAAAATGCCTCTGGGGCTGAGGGGCAAGAAGAAAGGCAAGTCCAGGGAGACGTCCACGCTGGTGGAGGGCGAAGCCCCCCTGGCGCGGGGCAGGGGCGACGGGGGCGACGACGACGACGCCAGCGGCAGCAGCGCCGTCGGCGGGGCTGGCGTCGGGGGAGGTGCCGCCGCCGCCGCCTCCTCCTCGGCGCGCCAGGGCCCCATCCGGCTGGTGTTCCACACGCAGCTGGCGCACGGCAGCCCCACGGGGCGCGTGGAGGGCTTCGCCAGCGTCAGGGAGCTTTACGCCAAGATAGCCGAGGCGTTCCACATCGCCCCCAGCGAGGTACGTGCCCAGAGGGGACTGGGCGGTATCCCCCCCCCGGCTCCCTCGTGAACGGAAGCCCCCCGCTACGGGGGATTTGTTCCAAATCTGGCGCCCCCCTTCGGCAGGGGGACAAAAGCCCCCAAAGCGCGCTCTCTCTCTTTCTCGGGCCACCGGCTCTTTGGTTTGGCTTGGCTTGGCTGTTCACCTCCGACGCTCTTCCATCACCCCGAGCGTCGTTCATGGCTCCATGTTTGGGCGAAATGTTGGGCTTAGTTGCCAATCCGCGCGTGGTAAGAATCAGCATCAAGGGGGTGGTGGGTTAGTCCAGAGACAGAGCTTTTTGGGTGGGTGGTGTTTTGTTTTTTAAGGGATCTTAGCAAGGAAGTGTTTCTGGAAATTGAGATAATGGAGGGTGGGTGGGTGCCTTGCTGCCTATAGGTGTAGGCTGTAGTTAAAACGCGCTCCTCACATGCTCAGAGGCTCTCTTCCCCACGAGTTTCTAGGCCACACTTTTCGTTCCTTTTTTACTGCTGACTCCTGAAACAAAAAAGTGTCCAGAATTGCCTTTGTGGGCATTTGACCTGCTCTTAATTCTGGGCCACCCCTGTATTTCAAAGCTCATTAAGGTATTTTTTGGCAAGAGGGACTGAGTAACTGAGTGTGGATCAGCCGATGGTGCTGATCTCTCCTGGTTCAAACAACAGTGAAACATTGATTGATTGATTATTATTAAAAAGATGCCTCAGAGTATAGAGGGAGTGTGTTTTTTGTGCTCAGCAGTGCTTGGCCCTATGAATCTCCTGGAATCATATATGAATCTCCTTGGCTTACATGATGAAAGAAAGTTGAGACTATATAACTGCTCCTGCCACCACAATGCATCCATATGATAACTGAAGTGCAGCTTAGGCTGTTATTTGGAGCCAACACAGAAATCATATCCCCAAGACCATTTCACAAACCCACTGCAACTGTCTGAGCTATTCTAGTTTACAGAGAAGTTTTTCTGAGTTCAGTGAGACTATCCTGAGGAATATCTGCTTAGGATTGCAGCCTGTATCTCTATTTTTCTGACACGCGGTGGAGCTTTAAGGCAGGGTGAAGAATCCACAAACCTCTAGATCCAGGGGTAGCCAAGATGGTGCCCTCTGGATGTTTTTGGACTACAACTTCATTCAACCCCAGCTGGCATGGCCACAGTGTTCAGTGATGATGGGGATTGCAGTCCAGCTGCACCACATTGGTGACCTCGGCTCTAGATCTCGTTGGACTCCCATTGACCCTGACCTTTGGCTACGCTGGCTAGAGCAGATGGGTGTTGGAGCCCAGTGGTATCAGGAGCATCTCTGTTTCTCTACCCTTGCTGTAAGGCAACGAGTGGTGTGGAAAGGTGCATTCTAGACTTCTACATGTGAGTCGGGTGTCACTTTTCTGCTTCAATCACCCTGGTTTTTTTTAAAAGTTTAATTTTGGAGGAAGGAGATCATGAAAGTGGTAGAAGTGTGGATTTTCTCGCACCCTTTTAGTGTAAGCACATGGTGATGTGAGGATTCTGATTCGAACTGGAAGTCAGTACAGAACTGTAGATCGTAACTTCATATTCATTAAAAGCACAATATATGGGCGCAATGTTATGCTTGTGTCATGAGACTTGGTAGTTTTTTACGGCAAAGTCTTGATCCACAGAACAGTGTGGCTGTCGTTTGCAGTCATTACGGTACCTGAAGCAGAACAATGTTATTGTCCTGAAAGTAATAATAATTTTAAAAAACTGTAATAAACTATATAATCAATAAGTTGTCCTTTAATGGCACCTGAAGACCTGCCACTTGAGATAGATTGTCTCACTGTGCCTAATGGCTGGGCAGGGGCTCTGCAGCTATTGTTCTGAAGAGAATGCATTTAAATCCTTTGATGGGATCTATCAAACCTCTTAGGTTGGTCAGGTTCCATTGTGGTTTGTATAATTGCTTCTGTAAAGGTTGCTAACCTTAAACCAAAGGCAACATTTTTATTCATTATCCAAGTTGTTGTAATTGTCCTATATGTGTAGCTTTGAGCACCGAAAAAGAAGCAAGCCTGAACACATGTAATTATACTCCTGGCTACATGGATCATTTTACCTTGGCATTGCAGCTTGTCACAATAGTATCTCTTCTTTATTATCATGAAGAACAATAAGGTCTTTGAAAGACAGTGAAGTTTCCCCCGGTGACGAAGAACTGCAAAAGTTATTTCACACCAGACATGGTCCTCAGACTGGCGCACTATCGTACTAGCAGCTTGCAGTACATAGAACTGGGCAACTCTTATTCTTTTTATTCCTGTGCAAATAAATCCTGTAACTAGGAGTTGCTCGGAATTCTGTACCTGGTCATCCATTACTTAGTTTATCTTGAAGTATGATGGTGTTTAACTCTGGCCTTGTTTAAAATTGATGCACTCTATTTAACACGCCTTATGCAAATCAGGGAAAATATGCTAGTGATATGCACTATTGCTTGGGAGTAGGTCATTTTATAAAAAAACTGGAAATGGTAGTAGCTTGTTTGCTTCTTGTATCAGTGCAGTAGAGCTTTGTTCAGAGGATCATGAGAGAGCTGACTATATGATACAAAAAATAAAAGAAAATTGTACATAAGCATTTCTATTGTAAACTGTCCTGAGATCTTGGAATGAATGAAGGCATGGGAATTTAATAAACAGAAATTCTTCTTGATCAAGTGCAAAATATAGAAATCATTCCATCAGAAAGCTGCGTGACACTTGGACATACAATCTCTGTATACCGTCTTTCTTCTAAAACTTGGAACATGCATGGAAGAATTCTAATTCCTAAGCTGGTTTTTGCAAACTATGTGAAGGAAATGTTTAGACTATTTGGCTTTCATCTACTAGGAACTGTGAATTATATTGAAGCGGAATTTGTAACAAATGGTATACAGATGAAATGTCGTATTGTAACATCAATCATACATTTTTTTCTGCATTGTGTCCAATTATACTTTTCAGTGTCATTGTCAATGATTGCAACAAGGACTCAAGTATTAGTTCTGTGTTTATGGAACTTCTGAATGGTGCTGACAGCTCAATTTCCAGTAAAATAAACACATTCCTCCTTTTTGAGCATGGAGGATTACAGCAAGCAACATGGTTTAATTAACATAACTCCTTTTAGTGGCTCAGATTTCAAAAAGATTTCTTCTTAGTGTGCTTTGCATCCATTTGTAAATCCATATATCTATGGTGGCTCTGTGCAGTTTTCTTGCACACTTTATTACTGTATTTTTATTTCTAGGCAAAGTACAAATTACTTGATTGCTTCTTGCTGTAGCTCAGAGGGAGCTGACTTTGAGGGGATCTCTCCATTTGCTAGCATGTCACTAACGCTTTATAAAGGTGAGAGTGGACATATTGTGGAAAACAATCTACCTAGTTACTCAGTTCCATTAGATAATTAAGTAGTATTGTTTCCATTCCTCTACACACCAGTCTGTGCCGTCTCCATTTCTTGTTGAACTTATGCCTGTTTCCTCTCCCTCTACTGATTATCTGTCTATATTTCATGAGATTTACCGTATTTCTGAATTTATATCAGAAAAGGATTGTGCAACCTGCATTTCATCCTGTGTCCAGTTCAATCAGCTCTTAACATCTGGGATTTTTTAAGGGCTGAAAGTTATGTACTGCATTGCTAACATTAACACAAAAAGTATAAAAGCAAAGCCCCTTTTTGTGTCAGCAGTGAGTGGTAAATTCTACTATACATTGTGGCAACATGTAACTTGAATGTATTTGGAAATAACTGAAAACAAAGGTGCATTTAAGACTCACACAGGAAACAAGTAATGGATGTAGAATTCTCTTGCTCTAGGAATAGTTATTTCAGTGCTGGTTACTGTAAATTATTGAACAGTGAGTTAAACTTGTTGGTGAAGCGAAACTCCGATACAGCTAAAAATAAATCCAGGGCTTTCTTGATGTTATGTCATTCCTTGTGTGGATTTCCCATTGAATCAGTTGTTTTAAAGGACTGTAGATTTATCACCGTATTACTATGCAATTTGTTCTGTGAGTCTATCCCTTGCTGTTTCACCCCGATTGGACCTTTCTCCAAACCAGTATCCTCCTTTGGGAGGCTGCACTAGGGATAGCAACAAAGGGAGGAAACAGTGCTGAGTCAGCAGAAATTCTTTTTTGAGGCATGTGTGTGCTCCACTTCCACAACCTTTTCATAAAGCCTGAAAGGAGGGCATAGACGAAACCAGAGGAAGTGGAGTTTGTTTGCTTTCTATTAAGAGAAGTATGAGCCAAGTTCCCCCAAACCTTTGCTAGAATATGAACACTTAAGCTCTGGAATTTTGGCAACAGCATTATTATTATTTTTTTAAACCAAAAACAAACAAACTGAGTTTGATATGAAATGAAAAAGAACACTCGGTAAATGTTACAAAATGCTGTAGTATTAAAATGTCTCCTTATAGGGAGCATATAACACCAGTGGTAGCTCAATTCCACTGGCTACCTAATTGCTTCCAAATTCGTCAGTGTTGACGAACTTGGAAGCAAAGAAGTGAGTACCTTTTACAGACCTGAATGGCATGGGTTTGGTAGCCTTATAGAAACATCTTCTCCCATACATTCCCCCTGCTCCCCCCCGTCCCCTGAGGTCTGGGGTAGACACTCTATTTCCTGCAAAATATTGTTGCATTCCACCTCAGTCTCCGAGCGGCGCAAAATTCCAGGGGTGACAAGACAGTTACCCAGGGTTCATTGTTCCCTTTGGATTGAGGTACAGTGCTGACTGCGGTATCTTTATGATATGTGGTTTGTTTACAAATACATACAATCTGTGCCTACAATGGAGGGGCCCACAGCATTAACACCCCAAGAAGGTGTTTTATTATTTCGGGTTAATCTAGCGCTTTGTTTTTGTACAAATATTCTTTTACAATATTTCACATTTTTTTGTATTGCGGTTGAAACATGTAAGTCACCTTGAAAGATTTCTATTAAGAAAAGTGACCTATATAGATTTTAAATAAATAAAATGTTCATGTTGTTGTTGTTTAGTCGTTTAGTCGTGTCCGACTCTTCGTGACCGCATGGACCAGAGCACGCCAGGCACCTCTGTCCTCCACTACCTCCCGCAGTTTGGTCAAACTCATGCTGGTAACCTCGAAAACACTATCCAACCATCTCGTCCTCTGTCGCCCCCTTCTCCTTGTGCCCTCCATCTTTCCCAGCATCAGTGTCTTCTCCAGGGAGTCTTCTCTTCTCATGAGGTGGCCAAAGTACTGGAGCCTCAGCTTCACGATCTGTCCTTCCAGTGAGCACTCAGGGCTGATTTCCTTAAGAATGGATGCATTTGATCTTCTTGCAGTCCATGGGACTCTCAAGAGTCTTCTCCAGCACCATAATTCAAAAGCATCAATTCTTCGGCGATCAGCCTTCTTTATGGTCCAGCTCTCAAATTCTACAAGGAAGGCTCAAGCAGTATGTGGATCGAGAACTCCCAGAAGTGCAAGCTGGATTTAGAAGAGGCAGAGGAACCAGAGACCAAATTGCAAACATGTTCATGTTACTATTTTACATTTTTCTCTTGTGCTTTTTTTGCCATGTTTATTTGAAACTTGAGTTACTCCTTTAAGAGTTCAGGGGGGAAAACATTTTGTTGTTCTGCCATTACTCTCTTGTATCAATCAATCAATCAATCAATCTTCAATATTACAATCACAGATCAGGCATAAATTACAGTCAAACAAATGCAGTTAACAGTTTAGAGGCCAGCAAAAGACTGTTAGGAATTAACAGCACCTCAAGGGACTAAGAAATGGGGGTGCTTTGTTGCACATTCACAAGTCACTCTTGAAATGGATTGCTGAGTGCTAGTATGGTTGGTAAAAAAGATTTAACCACCAATTTCCTAACAATGCATGCTGATGCACAGAATTTTGTCACTTTCTTGTATAAAAATGAATTCTTGCAAAAAAATGCAGAGTGGAATGAATAATTCAAGTTCTAGTTTGGCTGACATTTCTTCCCCAATGGAGGTGGCATAAAATTGGTTCATGAAGAGGCGGCAGTCTGTTTGTGCTGCCCAGTTGCAGTTCTAAATTGAGTTAGATCATCTCATGTTTCTAAATATCACATTTCTTTTCTGTTGCCAGTTGTATCTAGTCAAAGGTGTGAAACCAGTTATGAGATTATAGCTGTCTGTTGACAAGGTCGAAGTAACAAGAATATTTTTTTAAAATGGCAAATGCCCTTGATTTTTTTAAAAGAAAAACAACAGGAATGCAGTGATTTTGTTAATGCGAATCACAAGGCCTAACAATGCTAATATCTGAGGAGCTTGGAAATTGCTATATGGAGGCACTACAATTATTTCCTGAATGTTTTATCAGGGCTGAACCATATTTTTAGTACCGCTTCAGAGTGTTAATTAGCTGAAAGTTTTAGTTGATCTGCAGACTGATTGCAAGTTAAAATTTGTTGAGAATGAAAAAGCACTTTCTAGATGCAAGTCACATAGAAATAATGGGTCTTCTGATTGGCAAACCTAGCAAAAACAAGGGTTATGAGGGCTTTTCTTTTCTGTTTGTATCTAAAGCTAGTGGAAATTTTGTATTTCAGTATGAATTCATAATGGAATAATTAAAAAAGCCCACAGGAAACTCAAACTGAAAATGTTTATTTGAATATTGAATTAACCATTTCTTAATTAACATTTCTTAATCTTCCACAGTGATTATGGATTTTGAAATTGTTCATGTTTGAAGGCTCTGCTATATTAATGTGACAGGTATATTAGAGAAACTCAAATTAATGAAATGTAAAATAGCAAAGATGGCATTTCCTTCTAACAACTCATGGTAGCTTTTGTTTATTGAATTGCAATTTTGTGCACTTAGGATAAATTTAAGTGTTCTCTCCCCTCACCCCTAATTATTCTCAAAGTCACCTATACTGAACTTTTGGTAATATGCAAATTCATTTTATCTTTAAATGGTTGGGAGACATTCAGATAAACAAATATATCCTGAACCTGGCTCTTGTTATAGGGTTCATTATTACTGCAACTTGTTACCTCACCTGGGTTGCTGGGTAGACAGTGCCATATCTTTCCAGGCTCTGTAAAAGCAAAATACTTTGAATTGGTTAAGGCTGCAATCCTATACACATTTATTTATAGCTTTTATATGCTACCCAACAACAAAAATATTTTTTAACCTGGGAGTAAACCCTATTGAACTCAATGGGACTTACTTCTGAGTAGAAATGTATAATCAGGACTACTTCTTGCACTTAAGGAAAAAGAAACCATTAGTTGATCTGAAATTATGGGTATTATGTTCAGATGGTTACTATTGAGCCCAGGCTGTACTTGGCTGTGAAACAGCACATAGCATGCATGTAACCAAACTGTAGCAGAGTGTAGACTGTACAGTGCAGTTGTGCTTTAGCATACAGCTGATGTCAGGCTTGTCTGAACATTTGTGTGGGGAAAACCAGTCTGTGCAAAACTTTATTCTTATTTAGATGAATTTTAATATTACTGGTTTCTGGCATTAGAGAAAAAGGAAGTCTCAAGAAAGACCCAGCATTTATGATTTGCTCCAGGAAGTGCAAAGTTCAATGCCGGCGAATTGCCCTAGTTGAAGGATTACTTCCATGGGCAGTAACAACTTGTTTTTAAGTTGAACAAATTCATGCAATGTAGCATAACTTTTTAGCAACATCTAAAGACATCTCTGTTGTGTTCCTTTTTTCTTCTTCTACTCAGATCCTCATGCTTATGCCTCTCTTATAGATCCATGGCTTAGGATACCTAAGGAAACACTTCTTTTGCACAACTGTAAAAACAATGTCCCTTCAGTCTTAAATTCTTGAGTTTTTAATGTTACTGTTGCACATCACCCCCAATCTCCAAGTGTTACAAGATTCCAGGGATTTCCAGGCAGTTTACACAGGGTTTCGTAGAAGCTTGGATAAAGAGGGGATGATAAGTGCTGAAAAGGGGTAGGCAAGACACAGTTTTCTTCGGTCTTTTCTGCACCACAGTCTCCATAACTTTTACTTTTGAGCACCTTCATGCCAGCTTCTACAAACTGACTCCTCTAACTGTAGACCCATCTTGCAGTACTTAGTGGAATGTTACTTCCCATGAGATATTTTACGTTTACTTCATACGGCAAATCATTGTGTGTAAAAGCCACAGCTACATAATTTCAAGGTTCTGCTTCTATATGCCCTACAGTAATCCATAGGTAACACAGGCTTTCTCCATGGAAAAGCCTCTGGGATCAACCTAGACATAGACAAAGGGATCACATGCTTCAGACTACGGGAGCACTTTGAAGAGTGTAGAAGCTTTCACAGGGTACAGCAGCTTGCACCACCTGCATTCATGGTTCAGTTTTTTTGGCCATCATATGATGTTAGTCATGGGTGTATGCCGGGTATCTCAGATAAAATGCACTTGTTTCCTCTTTTTTCTTGTAGATTATGTTTTGTACTTTGAACACACACAAAATTGATATGGACAAGCTCTTAGGAGTGCAGATTGGTCTCGAAGACTTTATATTTGCTCATGTAAAAGGAGTCAAAAAGGAAGTGGAGGTTTTCAAATCAGAGGAGTCACTTGGGCTTACCATTACTGACAATGGAAATGGATGCGCCTTCATAAAGGTAAGAATAATGCCTTGAGTTGTGAGAGATCTGAGCAGAAATGGAGTTGCAAATTGTTTCAAATACTTCTTTGTGTTTGAAATACTTCTTTGTGTTGGGACGCGGGTGGCGCTGTGGGTAAAAGCCTCAGCGCCTAGGGCTTGCCGATCGAAAGGTCGGCGGTTCGAATCCCCGCGGCGGGATGCGCTTCCGTTGCTCGGTCCCAGCGCCTGCCAACCTAGCAGTTCAAAAGCACCCCTGGGTGCAAGTAGATAAATAGGGACCGTTTACTGGCGGGAAGGTAAACGGCATTTCCGTGTGCTGCGCTGGCTCGCCAGATGCAGCTTTGTCACGCTGGCCACGTGAACCGGAAGTGTCTCCGGACAGCGCTGGCCCGCGGCCTCTTAAGTGAGATGGGCGCACAACCCTAGAGTCTGTCAAGACTGGCCCGTACGGGCAGGGGTATCTTTACCTTTACCTTTTACTTCTTTGTGTTAGCAAGAATGGTGTAGTGTTGGCACTATGGAAGTAAGTTAGCAAACATCCAAAAGCAATAATTTGAATGGGGGTATTGAAGAATTATACTCATTGGATGTTCCCACTTGGAAAGAGGTCTTTTTCATTGATTTCTTCTTTCCCCTTCAGTCCTTGGAAAAAGCTTATCCAGACACCTCTCCTCTCAAACTTCCACTGGGTGTTAGTTCCTTTCACAAACCAAAGGAACCCTTCTGTTCATGGAAGGGCAGCTTTGGATTCAATTTGTTGTTAGAATACACGTAACCCAAACACAGTCAGCAACATTTTATTGACTATTATATGGCTATTGGTAGTGGTAGGCGTGAAGCAGTATGCTGACTTGTTTAGGGACATGTCGTTAGCATACATGTGCACTGGTCAAGAGATGTGTTTTCCAAACTCAGTGCAAAAGTAGATCTGATATTTGGAGAGCCATTACAGGCAACAACTGATTGATGCACGTTCAACTGGTGTACACACATGCGCACACTGCTGAACCCAGGCATGACCCCCAAAGTCACTAAAAGGGTGGAATGGGTTTGAGGCAGAACAGAACATTTACATGGACCCTGCTGACATGCACAGTTGTCTGGAGCATAACCTCCACGCAAAACAACAATTGCCTGTATTAGATTTTCTAACTCTAATGTAAAAAGCCACAGGGAGGGAAAACTAGGTCAGGGCTATGGCACTAGGGGGAGTGGGATTCAATCTCCCCCACCCCCCATTATGCTTTCTAGTGAAAGCCATCCTTTCAAACACATACAATATACTGCTATGGGTTGGATTCAGCCTTGTGCTTTCCGAATGGAAGTGTCTCATTCATGGAGGAACTGAGGTCCAGTAGAGCAGGCACAGGCAAATTCGGCTCTCCAGATGTTTTGGGACTACAACTCCCATGATCCCTAGCTAACAGGACCAGTGGTCGGGGTGATGGGGATTGTAGTCCCAAAACATCTGGAGGGCTGAGTTTGCCTATGCCTGCAGTAGAGGCTGCCTCTGAAGAAAGGAGGGGGGCAGTGATTTTTGCCAATTCTTCCTTCTGCCTGCAGCCTGTTATGCCACCCCCAAGCTGTTCCAGAGGGTCCCACAATCCTCTCTAGCAGCTTTTTTTTGGGGGGGGGACTGCAGGGGGAAGGTGGAACTGGTGGAAATTATATTTGCCCCCTTTCCACAGCAGAGTGCCCTTGTTGATGGAGTTTCGCCCATGGGTTTGTCTGGATCCAGTGTTATGAGTGTATTGAATCTTCCTAATGATCTAATATCTTACTGGGAGTGATAATCACCTTGTTCCCAGAAACTGCTGGGTGACCAGAAATGTATTCTCCCTAAGAATTAAGTAGCACAATATTATAAATCAGCAGTATCACATACATTTTATGAACATGTACATGGAGTCTGAGTTCTTGATTGCACAGCATACTTGCCTTCCTTAAGTATTGATTTTGATAAGTATGAAATGCTATTTGTTGCATGTCTAGCCTGAGTTACATTGTCTGCACTGAAGGTACAGTATCTAGCAATCTGCCTGTGCAAGCACTGTTCCATGCTTACAAATTATTTATTTTTGTTAACAAATTTTATATGAAACTTTATTGTAAAAAAAGGCACAAAACTAACCTATTTCAAAAGTGGTAGGGTTATAAGCAGCAAATCAATTCAATCGAACAATAAGATTTTAAATTATATGGGTATCCTAGTTTGGGTAACTGGGCTCTTTGTATCCTTTTACAGTGCTTCCTTGTTTACTCCCTCTAGCTCAAAAGGTGAGCTTTGTGGTTTGCATTTTGTGTGTGTCATACTATGCACATCATAGCCCTTTTGGCCCAGGCTGTTTGTTTACTGCATTCATCGCAACTAACAATAATGCCTTTTTATCCAACAGAGAATTAAAGCAGGCAGTCTTATTGACCAAATAAAACTGGTATGTGTTGGTGATCACATAGAATCTATAAATGGAAAAAGCGTAGTGGGCTATCGCCATTATGAAGTTGCTAAGAATTTAAAGGACTTGGAGAAGGGTCAGACATTTACGCTAAAATTGATAGAGCCTATGAAATCATTTGGTGAGTGACATGTATCCGCCATAAATTATACCTGTAGTTTCCTTTTGTATTTGATTCCAAATTGGGTAAAACTTGGCCTCTTTGATTGGTCAGAGGAAGCTTAAGCAATTAGAAGGGTGAGACATAAAACGAACATTGTCTTATTAAGCTAATTGCAGCCACCAGTCAGATATGATGCTCCGCTTGGGGTTCCATAAACTTGCTTTTATCTCTGTGTGTGGGATCGTAACAACAGGGGAAGCCTAAATGCAGCTTGCGGGGGGGGGGCGGTATTTTTTGGCATTAAGTCTCCCACCAGAACCCCCCCCCCCATGCCTTAGTTAGGCATGAAAGAAGCCTTCTGCTGTTTCAGGTGTAATTCAGCAGGCGGACAGACTGAGCATGGGACCCAGACCTTTGTGTTTGTATTCTGGGTGCTGTGTAGCAGGCTCAAGCTATGGGGACGTAAGCAAGAAGGCTTGACACTGAACTGCCAGTGAACTGGGATGAGTTGAAATAAATGGTTTTATTACTAGATCTTGTAGGGAAACAGTCCTTTTAAAATAGTATTTTGATATTCTAATTCCTGATTCTATGATTCTTACAGATAACTATTTTAAAATACGCTTTTACTGTGTTTTAACTTTTCAAAACCTGCAGTAGATGCTACATTTATTCCTGCTTTAAGATTTTTCCGATGCCTTGATTTTTACCCCATGCCCAATTGCCTTCCCATACTGCCTGGTACAGTAGTCTGCTGGGTCAGTAAGGAAGTCACAGAGGATAAAGGGCTGTTTGGGTAGAAGCAGCTAGGAAAATGAAATACTTCCTCTTGGTGGCAGCAGCAAAAGACCACAGGAGGGAGCTAAGATAGTAGGTTGGCTCATCTCTTCTTTCCCTCTCACATTGACAGTAATTATTGGGTAGGTTAATGCAGAAGAAGCTAGTCCTTCAGATGCCATGGATCCAGACTGTTTAGGACTTTATAGCGCAAAAGCAGCACTTTGTCCTGTATGTAGAAACTAGCTGCAACTACATTATAGCACAATTGTACTGATAATGGTTCGAACACAAGACTCATTTGTCTGAAAGTGTGATGTCAAACAAAGCATGGTGGACCCTGTGCTGATCCTGATTTCATTTTTTAAAAATCCATTCAATTAGCTGCTAATCTTCTATGCTGATGTGGCTACCTTCTTCAGATAGATGACCAAACAAATCCTAGGGTCTCTGAATGATCTGAGGCAGTTTTCAGGAGTGATGCCCAGTGATAATATTTTCTTTCTGCTGGCAAGTCATATTACAGCCTTTGGAAAAGAGTAATAAGTAATTTCTGAAGCTTGATTTTGTAAAATAAAAGAGGGGTAGGGAATAGAGAGAGGGCCTGACTTTTTTTTTTTTGAAAGGGAGAGGCCTTCCCTCTTTTTTAAAATAACATTTAAAATTTTATTTGCTTAAATATGTTAGAAACCTACCTGAGTGGGACAGGGTGGGATAACAATGTAAATACAGTGGTACCTCGGGTTACATACGCTTCAGGTTACATACGCTTCAGGTTACAGACTCCGCTAACCTGGGAATAGTGCTTCAGGTTAAGAACTTTGCTTCAGGATAAGAACAGAAATCGTGCTCCGGCGGCATGGAAGCAGCAGGAGGCCCCATTAGCTAAAGTGGTGCTTCAGGTTAAGAACAGTTTCAGGTTAAGAACGGACCTCCGTAACAAATTAAGTACTTAACCCGAGGTACCACTGTATTGTTGTTAGCCCTATGACACTGTTGTGGAGGACTTTTGGATGGCTGAAACATCATTGTCGTCATTAATTTGCCTGCCCTTCAAGGCTGATTACAACAATTAAAACACAATGTGAAAAACAGTTTAACACAACTTAGAACCATAAAACATAAGGTGGGCCCTCAAAATATGTATTCCAAGTGCCAAAAGCCAGGGTAAAGAGTTGTAAAGGAGGTAAACATATACTGCAGTTGTTCTTGGCACATTTATTCTGTTTCTGCCCTTCAGTCCACAGGTATGTAGTCCATTTGAGTTATGAGGAATTTCATTCCTAACTTTTAATGGGATGTAGTGTTGCCCTCTCTCTCCAGAGAAGGTAATACAGAGCATTTGATTGCAGAACACTTGCCTACCTCATTTTATTATTAGCTGCCCTAGTATAATTCCAGAAAGTTCCCAATTTCAGTGGTATCTCAGGTGATTGAACTTGGTGCTAGTGGAAGGAAAGGAAAGGTATAAAATAATCAGCAGAGCTGTTGTGCATCCTAGCGGACACTTGGTGTCAGAATGCATACATTTAAAAAGAGGCATTTAAAACTGTTACTGCTGGTAACATCTGCAATAGCATTGTAAGAACATATTTATTTCACAAAAATTGTCTACTGCTTCATTGTAATAAAACCTCAAAGCGTTTACAGAAAGAATAAAACAATAAAATTATCTGTACTAAACAGTTGAAAACAACGGCTCAAAATAATAATAAAGATAATCAATAATAAACTAAAAGCAAAGTTAAAGCGCATGTCAATATTCTATAAGTCTGAATAGGCTTGCCAAAACACATGAAATATTTCTGAAAAATAATTTACATAATGTTTTGAAAGTATTTTGCAGATAAACACTCAGTCGCTTAGAGTAAGGCTCTAGGCAGTACTAAATTGTTAGTAAAGAAACTTTTTCTAAAAACAACAAGCAGTCTTTGCTGGATCTTGTCTATTTACTAAGTTTTTCCAGCTTTTGCTGTATAGATAGTGTTTCTGCCAGAGCTCTTAAGAAAGTGTTGTTTGAAACATTGACGTTTCCCAGCAGTTTAACAGCCCTGCAGAATCCACTTTAGATGTTTGTGTTGATTGATTGCCAATCTCCATCACATTGCAGAATGCGACCCTAATTTTGACTTGCCATTTTGTAATCTAAAAGAACAACTATTATTTTAGGATCGCAGTTTCAAATTGCCTAATTAATATGTCTGCTACAGAAATGATTGAACCACGGTCGAAAGGTGGAGGTTTTACAGAGGGGAAAATCTCCCGAGGGAGAGAGACTCTTCGACTGAGATCCAAAGGCCCTGCAACAGTGGAAGAAATGGTGAGCTCCCACATCGAAACTTAAGTAGCCACAGTTGTTGAACAGATTATAACAATAACAAAACACTGGGGTTTCTGTTTTAGTTCTTAAATGTTACATAAGGGAAAATCCTAGGAATTTAAATGAGGGTTACTTCCTGCCAAGACCCAATTGTGGCATTCCTTCATTATACTAGTACAACAAAAGCAGGTTCTCCTCCTTTTCTTCTTTTATTGGAAAGTGCTATTGCTTAAAAAAACCACCCTGATTGTGAGGTATTGTTTTTTGAAAGCATGTTATATACCTTTCAGCTGTCCCAATTTTTCAGATTTGTGTTAGACTACAGCTGCGCAAACTACCAAAAGTCTACCTTAGTTTAACTGAAACGTCTTTCTAAGACAATCCCACTCCTGCCCCACCCCAGACAAATTCCCCTCCTTCCTTACTTGCCTCTAATCGGTGGTGCTGAGATGAGCTAGAGAGGTGAGCACTGAGAACAGGGAAGTTTTTCTTCCTTCTCCCCCACTCTCTGTTACCCGGGTATCTGGGTGATACAATAATCCAGGGGACCATAGAGGATGTTGTTCTTCTGCTTCTGCAGAAGAGGGGGAGGGAAGGGGTGGGAAAACCCCTCAGGTCCGATCACCGCTTCTCACCTTATGTCTCTTTGTTTTGACAAAGCCTTCAGATGTTGAAGAAAAAGCTACTAAGAAGGTTGATGATCTTCTTGAAATGTACATGGGAATAAGAGACCTCGAACTAGGTAAGGGTATTTATGGAACTGTGAGTAAAGTAGTATCCTCTGCCCAAGCCAACACAAACTTACATGGGACTAAGCCCAGTGGGGCTTACTTCCGATGTGACATGTATGAGATTGCGCTGAAAGATTCATTTCTAGTTCAGCTGGAGAGCTGCCAAATCTGAGTCTGAGTATCTTCTGTAAGCGTTGTAAAACGTCTACATTTTGTTTGCAGTTTTCAAAGTGTGAGGAGTTCTAATATGGGTCCAGATTTCCGGTTCGTTTAAATTTTGCATTGCATTGAAACAAGCATTTTAACATATTAGCCATATTCAGGCATTTCAAATGCAGCCTAGAGCAGCACTTGGGTAGCAGAGGCTATGTACGAGTGCACAGGCTTCACCCTCCCATCCTCGCCAACGTTGTCTTCTGTGTTTTCCAAAGCTACTCTATGAAGTGGGGAATCCTCCTCAGCATGTGGAGGCTCCGATGCGTTTTGGAACTCTGATTTTCCAGATGCATGCTTCCCCTGTGTACAGAGGATGGCTTCCCCGATGCAAGCAGTTGCCCTGGAAAATGGGAAGGGCGATAGTGAACAAGACAAGAGATTGATGCTCATGCGCAAACTCTGCTCCTCACATGCTGCTGTAAGCCATATTCAGAATGACCTGGATATAGAGCTATTATGTTCCCAGAGCCACTGCCGTGGTAGGCTAGGAATCCAATTAATTGACCACATTAACATATGACTCTCCAGTCTCTCTGCTCGCAGCACAGTTTCCAACATAACACCAGAACCATTGTAAGCTTTTGAAGATAAGCTGTTCAAAACATATAAATGACTGCTTTCATGCACAGATCCCATTGCAAAAGAGATGCGTGGGGTTGAAACCTGCATGCTGCATGTGTGTGCTGCATTAGATCCCACATATATATCTTTAATGGATGATGATGATGATAATATATTATTATTATTATTATTATTATTATTATTATTATTTATTAATATGCCACTCATCTGACTGGTGGCTGGTGTGGTTAACTTTTGAAAACACAAATCTCCTATTTGGGTCTTGATTACACTGAAAACAATGATATACATGCCTGCTCAGAAGTAAATCCTGCTGAGCTCAATTGGGCTTTCTCTGAGGTAAATGTGTAGAGGCTTGCAGACTGAATGTGTATTCCATCTCTCCCAAACAATGAATTGGTGCTGCTGGAGCTTAAAGGTAAAGGACCCCTGACAGTTAAGTATAGTCATGGACGACTCTGGGGTTGCGGCTCTCATCTCGCTTTACTGGCCGAGGGAGCTGACATTTGTCCGCAGACAGTTTTTCCAGGTCATGTGGCCAGCATGACTAAGCCGCTTCTGGCGAAGCCAGAGCAGCACACAGAAATGCCGTTTATCTTCCCACCAGAGCAGTACCTATTTATCTACTCGCACTTTGACGTGCTTTCGAGCTGCTAGGTTGGCAGGAGCTGGGACCAAGCAACGGGAGCTCACCCCGTTGTGGGGATTCGAACCGTGACCTTCCGATTGGCAAGCCCTAGGCTCAGTGGTTTAGACCACAGCGCCACCCGCTGTACCGATAATGTAGATGATGAATATATGCAATCATATCTAATTTTTTTTTGGGGGGGGGATGCATTGCATATTCCACACACTGTTCCACATGCATTAGGATCAGGGCCAAGGTTTCAAAACAGGGTTGTTGCTTTTTGTCGCAATCAAAGCATACACCGGTTGTCAATGTATATTGTGTGTGGAGCCGCTGTATCAGCTCTGCGTATCTGAGAGTGCAAAATAAGGCAACGAAATGAGCACATCTTGTTGTGTCTAATGGTTCTTATGTCAATGTTCTGTTTATATATAACAATTAGCTATCACAAATCTGTTAAATGACATGATGCCATGGTGGCTTCCAGTGGTGATTGACAGAAGAGACACTCTCAGTGGAACTGGGATGGATGGGTTTCTCTAGAGCAGATTTAGATGTGGGGGGCAGAGGGCACTACCATGGGGAGTGCCAAAAATGGACTACCTCCCCGTTCCACTCATGAATTTCCCCCCCGTTAGCAGGATTCCTTTCACTGTTGGATACAAGCCCATGACGGCAGATATGATCAATCACTCAGCGAAATGAAAAGTGAAAAGTGGATTCGTTCCAATAACACCGATTACTGTTCAGTTAGGAATTTCATTTGTATTACTCATGCTAAATTAGCCTAATCGCTAGGACTGTGAAATGCACTCAATAGGGAAAAGATTAACGCTGCCCCATCCCCACTGTGCTCATTTCAGAAAAGGAGTTTACTCTTAGGTAACATAGGCTTTCAATGTCCACTAAACGATGATCCCTGCAAAGTCATTTGAGGCATAGAAGTTTACAATATAGCTGAGTGAGAACTCTTTGCTATTTGAGTGACATGCAGATCAATTACAAATTAAAAAATGCACATATTTTTTGATATTACACTAGATACTCAGTGGCTGCAAATGTTTAAAACATGTGGCATCTTCTTTTGAACTGTGAACCTACTGGCTCAACAGGAGGGAAATTAAAGAGTTACTCAAATTACCAAAACAATTCCAAAGTCAGCCAGGATCTAAAGGTGGCATGTGTACTTTTCTGAAAATGGACCTTAATACTGTAATTAATAAAAAAATTTTTTGGTAAAAGGTGCCTGTTTGGGGCACGTTTTGCATGTAACTTCCTTGCATGTAACTCCAGGCACACTATGCTTGGAAGTAAATCCCACTGAAACCCATGGGATTATAGTTAAAGTACTTAGGACTGTGCTATAAGCAAATGCAACTTAGCTTGCACTTGGGATGCTGAAAAGAATTTCTTGTGAAAAAATGCAGACGGCAACTCTATAACTAGATCAGAAGAACTGGTGATGTTTGACACTGTAATGATGAATCTGTTGCATGGGTTTGGGCCCACAGATGGAGTTTGTGGGTTTTTTAAAAAAAATTACCTTAACTTTATGGAAGGTTTTCTAAGAGGGCCTTGGATCTCTTGAAAGTCTCTCCCTTTGATGTTCACACACCTAGGTTACTTGTATTAGCAGAGGTTTTTCCTTAAGAACCAGCTCCTGCTCTCATCAAATGCACCCATGATCCTGTAAATGTATGTAGAATTGCACTTGAAACATCACAATATTTGTACAGTACTAGAAAATATATATTTTAAAAATATAAATGTTAACATGTAAAAGCTTATAACATTATACAATATAGCAGTTCTTTGCAGTGAGCACTAGGGGTCAGTACATGATCATTGAATACCAGCAAACTTTTGATGCTATATAAATGTGACGCTCAAAATATATAAGTGTAACTAGAAAAACCTCTTAGTGGTGGTCACTAGAACTGTGGGCTTTTTTGGGTTAAAATCTGAGCTGAACTCTAATGTTTTCGTTCTGACAAATGTAATACAGTATGTTTGACTCAAATGCAATGGTTTCTAAGATTGCTTTCTAGTGATACTTCAATACTAGACATATTACCTTAACCTTTTTAATTCACCGCACAGTTCATCCTCTTGCACACATTGATTTGGATCCAGAGAACCGCAAGTAGAAGAAGATAACGTTTTAATGAGGTTCCACCAACTTTTCTGCAAGTGCTCGTGAAAGATCTTTTCTGGTGCAGCTCCAGTCCAGGGTTGGGTTACAGTGCCAGGAGCATAAGGAAGTTAGAGGTGTTAGCATATAAAGTCCAGTGAGCAATAAAGAAAAAGGCTTTAAAAGAGCTAGAGCAGAATTTGTGTAACAGCTTATGCTAATGGAAGAGCTTCCCTGCACTGGGATCACTTTCCTTACATGTGCTGGTTTCTGGCCAGGAACATTCCCTCTGCTAGCGAAGGGCTGTTTCTGGCCAGAGTGAAAGGGCACCTTTGAATCTAAACTATTTTGTGTGCATGTGTGTCATTTTATGTGTGTCAAAATGTAGAGCTGGAAGGGACCCTGAGGCTCATCTAGTCCAACCCCCTGCAATGCAGGATTTTTTTGCCCAATGAGCTATGCCCTTCCTTAAAACACTTTCCAGCCTGATCCTATACAAGTTTACTCCGAGCGTTGGCATGCATATGTAGGAAGTCAGTGACCACATCTTAAGAAAGCATGCCCTTAAGACATGTTTCATGGACTTCCACCAGAACTTGTGCTTCTAAACAATTAGAAACTTGATGAATGTTCTCCCTTAATTTTTTTTAATTTGCATTTTCCACCAGGCTGCAATTTTTCCCCCCAGCAGGTCATCTATATGTAACCACCCTATTTCATATTTGTGTCTCTGAAAAATGCAGTAGGTAACTAACTGCTCCTCCTTTTTTCCTTTTAGCTGCAACGATGGTAGAAGCTGGGAAAGGCAAGAACAACCCAGATGAGTTCGCCATTGCCCTCGATGAAGCTTTAGGAGACTTTGCATTTCCAGATGAGTTCGTCTTTGATGTGTGGGGAGCCATTGGTGACGCGATGCAAGGACGGCTTTAATGAGCATCAGAAAACTTTGTCGGAGCACAGTATCAGCTTGTGTAAAGCATATATCTATAGACATGGCATGGGATACGGAAAGCATCTGAATGTTCAGAAATCTGGATGAAGTAAGCTGTTATTTGATGCCGATACAAATTCCTTTAAAATAAAGTTGAGTTCAAGACTGCACCCATGAAGCTTTAGGCTCATATGAGCACTTAATCTGAAATACTTTGCAAAGCAGTTTTCTCTGCATATTTACTTATATAAATGAATATGGCTAGTGGTTAAAGAAGAGGGCAGGTTGACTATCCCATGAAAATGGAGTGTGTCAGAAGGCATGGTGCCAGTACCTGATGAACCTGAGCAAAATTTCATTGGAAAAAAAACACACCTTGTGTCCATTATTCTTTCCCAATTACTCCAGTGGGTACACTGCTGCATTCCCAGCATTTTCTCCCCCAAAACAGTACTTTGAGACTGTGAGGGTAGAGGAAAGGCCATCATTGGTGGAGTGTATGTTTTGCACTTCGTAAGCCCTTGGGACATAATTGGGATTTTGGGAAAGCTGAGAACGTCTGAGACACTGACAACTGCTACCGGTACTGAGATATATGGACTATTAGTCTGCCTCAGGATAAGACAACTTCATATTTATGCTACTGTATAAGCAGGCAGATGAATTCTTTCACCATGTTTTATGGTGGTGTTATTATGGATACGAGTCTCAGAACTTTGGCACTTTCACAAATGATTTTTAAAGCAGTTTTGGCATTTCCCACTTCTGTAAATCAAATGGAAAAAAACAACAACTATGGATGGAATGTACTTCTCGTTTTACAATGCCTTCTAGATTCCCTTTCTGTATCAATGCCATTTGAAGTGACACATCCCAAATTAAAGTTCAGTTTTAGTGTCACTTAGGAGAAAGAAATCTTTTTTCCATTTGTTAGTCCTGTGGATGAGTGGGCTCAGATGAATGTATTAGTACAAAATGCTCTGGGAACAGTGCAGAAACCCCACCGGCCTTAAATTTGAATCTTTTTTTTTGTTCTTGCGTGTTAGAAAAGTAAAGAAAACCTTATGCTTTTGGGAAGCTTCACAAATGTTTTGAGGCTTTACTAGTGAAGGGTATCAAAGTGAAATATATAAGCCAGGTGTGGTATGCTCTACCATAGAGTTCCACAAAACAACCTGTTTTTTGCTATGCCCATTTATTTTGGACAAGTCAGATACAGGGGAGGTTCCTAGGAAATGGGTGGGACTGCTCTGTAGGTGATTTTGATTATTTGAGTTGCACTGTTGCATGGAAGATACGTTGGTCGCTTTAAAAAAGCAGAAGTAATTTGTAACTATTTATTCATGTGATGATGTTGCAATAATGGTGTAAATATCCTTAAGATTAACCTTTGATTTTTTAAATATATATGTAAATGTCATTTTTGTAAATCTTGGAATATTGAGGAATTGCTAATGTGCCAATGATTGAAAAAGAAAGAAGATGAGAGAAATGATACAAGATGCTGAGCTTTAATTAGAACGCATCTCTTTGAGATGCACACATCTCTTATTTGGCAAGATGAAATATTGCTAATCCTGAGCATATAGAGAAAAGGCTGTTTACTAATAAAGGATGTTTAGTCACATAAGAGATGAATCTTGCAAATAAAACTTTGCTACTAGTGAACAGGCTTCTTGGAATGATGGAAAGAGATTGGGAGTAGAAAACTCCCCCCCCCCCGAAGATGTTAAGGTGGTTGTCTTATGCCAGAAGCTTAACCTGTCTTTGACACCACAGAAATGAAACAGAAGTGCGAAGCCAGTAAACTGAGACTCTGGGTCTCCCAGATGGGGGGGCTTAATATTGCAAATGGGTGTTTGGCAGCAGGTTTAAAAAAATTATTATTATTGGATATCCTTCAAATGGATGAATCCAAATTAATAGAAAAAATGGGCTGGCATTTGATGCTGACAAAGTTGTGTGGACACTCCAAAAAAACTTGGATAGATGAATAGCAAATTCCCTTGAAGGCAGAGACTCTAAAAATGAAAATACTGAAATGATTTGAACAAGATGCTTTTTATCACAATGGTGCCTAGAACAGGGAAGGACAACTGATTTAATGTTATACAGAGATTTATCTGTGTGATTTATGCGAGAAATCAAACAATTGGAGGAGGGTCCACAGCCTGGAGATGAAGTCCACTTGAATACATTATAAAAACTGTTAAAAGTCACTACAAAGCTATAGTCCTATAGATTTGACACTAAGGGAAGGCGAATATTCTTTTGCTTAAAACATGATTGGAATTAAAGTTGGTAGGACTTCTTTTTGAAAGTCTGCTTATATGGATGAGTCCTGCCAACTTCAATCTAGCCTCTCCTGCCCCCTCCTCTCTCTCATAATATGTTGAGTTTGTTATGCAGTGCTTCACTTTAAGTTCACATAATTCTGTTAATTACTTTGGTTTCGTGTGTTTTGTGTTCCATAAAGTTGGGCTGTGCATTTTATTGTTTTCTGCCCTTCAGGTTGAGTTCTAAGCAGTCCAGAAGGATGACTGGAGCCAATAATTAAAATTTGTTTCACAAACAGTAACTTCATATGAGCCAAATGTCTCACTTGAGCAAAACCGAAAAGAGTTTCAACTTAACTTGTGCAAATGCTGTATCTTTGCAATGTTCTTTTGTATTTGGATGCTAAATAAACAAACCATATTTTCTAAATGACTTCCGAGGTTTGCTTTTTATGATCTGAGGTGTACATTTGCAAGAATCCTAGGTCAGCAAGAGAGATAAATGAGCAGAATTACACGGGGAGTCATCGGCACACAAACCCCCTGCTCTATGACTGCATTTTGAAATAGTTACTGTGCCACTGACTGTATGTTGTTAACTTTCAGCCCATCATTGCAGGAATCTAGAGAGGCCAGAGGGCAAAAAATGCTTAAAATGGCACTAGCAATCAGTTACTAGAGAATACCAAGCCTTATGAATACCAAGTTTTCAGACGCTCCTGTTAGGCTTCCAACCACTTGGGGGAACCAGCACTGTGTCTTCAAATGCACTATGGATTGTCTGAGTCTTACCGACATGACACTTTCACTTGCGACTATGTTTTATGCAGAAGTGTAACTTCACCAGAAGTCTACAGTTATAGTGGTCAGGTTGCTGGAGAGGAGCAGGCAGACATTTTAATTCTGGTGGCCAGTAGGAAAATTCTCTAGCATTCTCTGCCACAGAAGTGTTCTAAATTTGTAATAAGCTACCAGCAACTTTTGGAGTGCCTCTTTCAAAATAGCACCAAACTCAACACATGTCCTCTTCACATGCTCCCCTATGAACTCCACCATCCTGCAAGGCAGAAGGTACAACAGGGGAGGACTTCTTGTGCCTCAGTGGAGGAGGAAGTCATAGTCAGAGCTCCCTGGCTGCTAGAAACGATGGCTGTCTACTAAACCCACCTAAAACATGTAAACTCCACCCTGCTCTGCCCCAGGCCCTTGCCACTTCAAGTATTACTGTGTGAACCTATCTGTCAGGCTCCCATCCCAAAACACAGCACCAGTGACTCTTTCTTGCAAGTATTAATTCAGGCTAATAGCACTACAGGCTCAGCAGCAGCCCCACTCCCAATATGTTATTCAAATTGACACCCTTGAAAACGAACAATTTTTGTTGTTCTCTCTCTTTCTGTGGTGTGCTCATTTATATGTTACAGACTATAAAACTTTTTATTTATTTTTGCTTCTCACCCACCTCCCTTTCCCTGGTTTGGAAAAATAGTGTTTATTCATTCTAGTCTGCTCTGGAATTGGATCCCATTGGTTTTTATATAAGCATGAACGTGTACATGCATCCTGCCTTCAGTTCCTGCTCTCTGTCTCTCAGTATTTTCTAATTTACGTCGATCCACATTTCTTTGTTTTAATGTAATCCTTATAAGTCTGAGGTCCTTACAGTTGTTTTTTTATTGCCCTAGACTCTTACTGCCTGTCAGCTGCAGTTTCCTATTGTCAGCAAGTGACACCACTTTATTGGTGCTGTTTGCGTCTTCTGGGTCAAGGAGATGAAGAAAGCAGGATTGTAATCTGACCTTCATTATGTCTGTCTGTGGCTCAGAACTTTGAATGCTTCAGCTTTCAAAATGGTGCACTCCAGAGAAGAGGTTACCAGCTTGTCTCTGTCTCTCTTAGGCCGTAACAAATACCGTATTTTTCGCACCATAGGACACACTTTTTCCCTCCTAAAAAGCAAGGGAAAATGTGTGCGCGTCCTATGGAGCGAATGCAGGCTTTTGCTGAAGCCTGGAGAGTGAGAGGGGTCGGTGCGCACCGACCCCTCTTGCTCTCCAGGCTTCAGGAAGCTATCCGCTAGCCGTGGGAGACCCAGCTCTCCCACGGCTAGCGGAGCGCTGCATTAATCCCGAAGCTTGGGGCGTGCGGAGCTCAGCGCGCCCCAAGCTTCTGGGTGCTGGCAAGGTCTCGCTAGCCCTGGGAGAGCCCCGCGACGTCGCGGGGCTCTCCCAGGGCTAGCGAAGCGCCGCGCTAATCCCGAAGCTTGGGGCGTGCGGAGCTCAGCGCGCCCCAAGCTTCTGGGTGCCAGCAAGGTCTCGCTAGCCCTGGGAGAGCCCCGCGACGTCGCGGGGCTCTCCCAGGGCTAGCGAAGCGCCGCGCTAATCCCGAAGCTTGGGGCGTGTGGAGCTCAGCGCGCCCCAAGCTTCTGGGCGCCAGCAAGGGCTAGCGGAGACCTTGCCGGCGCCCAGAAGCTTGGGGCGCGCTGAGCTCCGCACGCCCCAAGCTTTGGGATTAGCGCTCCGCTAGCCGTGTCTAGGCTGCGGATAGCAGCCTGCTTCCCGGAGCGTCGGGCGCCCTGAAAGCAGAGCTCCAGGCGCTTCGGGAACACATCCGCAGCGTGGGGAGCCTTGCAGGAATTCCCCACAGGGCTCCCCACGCTGCGGATAGCAGCCTGCTGCCTGGCGGGTGGGGCGCCCTGAAGCAGAGCGCCCCTCGCGCCTGGCAGACATCCGCAGAGTGGGGAGCCTTGCAGGAGTTCCCCACAGGGCTCCCCACGCTGCGGATAGCAGCCTGCTGCCTGGAGGGTGGGGCGCCCTGAAGCAGAGCGCCCCTCGTGCCAGGCATACATCCGCAGCGTGGGGAGCCCTGCAGCAGTTCCCCACAGGGCTCCCCACGCTGCGGATAAGCCTGCTGCCTGGCGGGTGGGGCGCCCTGAAGCAGAGCGCCCCTCGCGCCAGGCAGACATCCGCAGAGTGGGGAGCCTTGCAGGAGTTCCCCGCAGGGCTCCCCACGCTGCGGATAGTAGCCTGCCGCCCGGCGCGAGGGGCGCCCTGAAACAGAGCGCCCCGTGCGCCAGGCAGACATCAGCCAGCCCCACAAGCTCGGGGGACAGCAGGGAGGCGCAGCGCCACTATCCCTCTGTTCCTCGACCTGGTTCGGTTTCCCTGACCTGCTTTTGGGGGGGAAATAAAGGGGGAAAAATTTTCCTTTATTTCCCCCCCCAAAAACTAGGTGCATCCTATGGTCCGGTGCGTCCAATCGTGCGAAAAATACGGTAAATTTTAATGCAGTGCCAGGATTACAGTGGTACCTCGGGTTAAGTACTTAATTCGTTCTGGAGGTCCGTTCTTAAATTGAAACTGTTCTTAACCTGAAGCACCACTTTAGCTAATGGGGCCTCCCGCTGCTGCTGCACCGCCAGAGCACAATTTCTGTTCTCATCCTGAAGCAAAGTTCTTAACCTGAAGCACTATTTCTGGGTTACCAGAGTCTGTAACCTGAAGCGTATGTAACCCGAGGTACCACTGTAGGTCCTTTTGCAGTGCATTTCTAATCTCAACTATCATAAAATTTGAATACAGTGGTGCCCCGCAAGAGAAATGCCTCGCAAGACGGAAAACCCGCTAGACGAAAGGGTTTTCCGTTTTTGAGTTGCTTTGCAAGACGATTTTCCCTATGGGCTTGCTTCGCAAGACGAAATGTCTTGCTAGTCTTGCGATTTCCCCCCTGCTCCCCCCCCTGTTTCTAAGCCGCTAAGCCACTAATAGCCTTTTAGCAGCTTAGCCGCTAATCCTTTAATAGCCGCTAAGCCGCTAATAGCGCTAATCCACTTAGCTGCTAATAGGGTTGCTTCGCAAGACGAAAAAAACCGCTCGAATCGCGGAACGGATTCTTTTCGTCTTGCGAGGCACCACTGTATGTCAAAGGAGTTTCAGACTAACTAAAAGAGTGATGGGATAATAAGCAATATTTAGTTGCCTAGTACAGATCACATGTTACCTTTTTCACTTTGTCTGCTGTTGAGTGCAAACCTTTTCTTCCATTCACTTCAATGGCAGCTCCCCATTGTAAATTGCAGGTGCATGGGACACGATGCAGAGGCGAGCAAGACATTAAAGTTCCCCTATGCCCCACTGGGTTTTCAGTCCAGAATACATCTCACCCCAGCTAGCATTTTATGAAAGCAAAGGCTTTTGTTCAAGGGAAAGTATATGGTTAACACCTCCATAATTTCCCCCTAACAGTCATAATTTGAAAGTTTAGGGAAATATGCAAGTAGACTGTTGCATTACTGAAGACATAAAACCTTCAGTGCATCAACTGATTCATTTATATGTTCTCTTAATTATTCAAAGAGGTACTTTTATTGCCCAAAGAGTGGAAGCATTTGCAATTGTAATGAACTAATAATATTGCCCAAGTTAAAAGATGAACAGGGCTTCTTCATAATAATCAATCAAGAGCATTCCTAAAACAGAACATAATTATGCCATGTCAACGCATGCTGATGAAATATTAAGATTGCCAGGTTGTTAGGTACCCTCAACCGTCAGCTTGGCTTTTTCATCTTATCTGTGCCCATGAAACCAAATTTTTACTACAGTCTTTGAAAGACACTTTTTGGGTGACTATGGGAATAGCTTATAAGGTATGATGAACAGTTTACAATATTAGCAGTTACTATTCTGTCTGTGATTTAATTGATTAAAGTATTGCAGAAAAAATAATTTGAAAATGAACCAAGTTTTTTTTTGGGGGGGGGGGGGAGACCTGTTTTCATCTGCAAGAGAGATTGGAGGGTGCTATTGAATGGTTTGTGGATTTAAATGAATTCTCTGGAGTCTAGTTGTATCTAAGCAACCAAGCATATGAATAGTTTAAGCATGGGCCAGGCAGTTACAATTAGCACCATGTACAGAACAGTTGCATACTATCTAACTGACCTGCAGCCAACCTATAGCATTTGCAGGAGGAAAGTGTCATTTGAAGCCAAACTGACACATGTACAGTTACAAAGAGGGCTAACTATACACATCTGTTGCAGCACAACCGAAATTGCCATTCCTACCTTTCCAGAAATGGTCCTTGCAGTCATGGCATGGTGGTGGGAGATAGGGAATTCTCCAGAGTCTTCTGTGTGGTGCAAAACATCATGCTACCACGTGTGTGGGACGTGGAAAAACTGAGAATGCGGGGAGCCAACCAGCTTCATTGGTGTGCTCCCAGAGGCGGTGGGGCTCCATAGGTGGACCAGAGTGAAGACTACTGAAGTCTGGCCCGCCTCTGCAGCACAAAAGGCAGGTGCGCCAAACCACCCTACCCCAGTATTCAGCAGAGCTTCCCACTCACCCACCCTCTATTTGAAGGTTTCACAACCTTGGATATCCAGCTGCTTTTAGACTACAATTCCCATCATCCCTGACCTCTGGTCCT